TCACAGAAAATATTTTACAAATATCTTTCATAAACTCTTAATTAGCGCAATCTTGTCATAACAGCATTTTATTTTTAATTAAAGTTATGATATCAAAATTCAATGTCTCAATTGAATTTATATGTCGCAGATATAACTAAAAATTTTATCTACTAAGAAATAAATTTTTTTTTTTATATATAAAGACTTGGGATTGACTTCAATGTGTAAAGAGAATTTACATTTGATTAAAAGAGAATTAAATACGATATTTGATATGAAAATCACGTAATTTTCGAGCCGCAATTGCTGGAATATTTTTACGACACGCGATGGCACGAATTTAATTGCTAATTGGACTTGGAAAGACGTCAAAGAGTGGATCTGCTCAAAATTCAGTTTTTTCACGATAGTTTATGACTCATTACATGTGTAGTAATGTCGAAAGAAATGCATATCGCGTAATGAAAAGTTGCAACACTTCTTTTCCACCGCGGCGTATCGAGAGTTACGTAATTAAGCGTCTCCCCACTGTTGCCTTATCCAATTTATCGATCCGTTGATGCGGTAAAGCCCGTGCCGATGCCTGCGCTAATTGCAGCAGAACAAGGTACTAAATTATTTAGCTTACACGTGCTGGAACCGAGAGCAATACGAACGTCTAATAGCGTCCGAGAGCGCACTTGGCACGAGGCAAAATAGATACTGATTGCACGCGAAAAATTCAATGTAATCGCACAACCTTGTCGATACACGCTGTTTACGAACTATTTATAGGATTTACTTGAAACATTGAAAAATAATTCAAGAAATATCAAGCGTTCATGTAATGCAAGTCTAGATAGAATTGTTTTTCATATTTTTTGCTGATATTGAAATGAAAATAATTTATATGTATCTTAGAAGTAATACTTTGATGACAATAAGATATCTCTTTCTAAGTGTGTGAGCATAAATTAACGTTTTTGCGCATGCTTGTGATTTTCCTGCTTCTTCTCCTAAATGAGTCAATAAATGCAGAGATGACGTTTACGCAATATTGTTTTAACTGATTTAAACTTCGTCTCTTTTATCTGATCGTGAAGATAATCAAACGTTAACGAAATGTCCGCCTACAACTAAAAGGAACTACTTGCTTGTCGGACAACGATATCCAGCGACGCACGTAATATAGAGACATCTGTCGAAACTCACCACGCCGAAATTAACTACTTTCAGTCGGCTTTTTTTCTAGATAAATAACGACACCTAAGAAGTCTGACCGGCGTCTTAATACAGTTTTATACAAACTCTCTGACAAAAAGAAGAAAATAGGAATGAAAACACAAGCGAAGCTTGTCTAATGAAAACTGAAAACGCTTTAAAAATCCTTGATTTGATTAATTTATTTGTTGAGATCACTTATCGGTGATCTTTTCGTGTCCGTTTTAGAACGACGATAGTCAAGATACTGTCGCGTCGCGCCGTCTTGCTTGCTTTTGGAAAAGCGCGATCTTACGACTCGAGCTATTCCCTTGGAGACCGTTTATCTCTAGAGGTCACGGAAAAATCGATGATCCATTACTGTAGTTACGATTGGTCCCCTACGGACTCGGCACGCCAATCATATCGTTCGATGCGCCCACCGCACCGTCATATTCATCCCACATCCATTCTGACAGTACCTGATTTACCCGGGCGTACCCCAGAGAGCAACGTCGGGTACGGATCGGAGTCCCTTAGTGCGCGCGGTCGACCGGAATTCTTCCTCTGTGCGCGAATCGCGCTGCAGTGTATGCGCGATATAATCACACAAACCGCCGCAACCGTATCTGCCAGAGGGATCATTCCCCGACAACGTGATCGGCGACCGATGATAAACCACCGTGTAGCTGAATAATTATCATCGAAAACACGTGCGCAAAATTTTCTTTTCCGCGTGTTACGTCACAGCGGCAACAAGCCTCGAAAGTCTTGATGAGTATTTTTTTTGTTATCGCGCGACGTCCAACTTTTTCGAAATTGTTTTGATTTATCTAAAAAAATTCGTGCCTTTAATCTCTTTCTCTCTCTCTCTCTCTCTCTCCTCTTTCTATCTTGTACAAGATTTTTATATTAAACTTACAATTTTGTTCAGAGAAAGATGATTATTATCTTTTCTAACTATTCCTAGCTTTTTTACTTTTATTTGGAAGCTTGTATTTGCAGTTTTGATCAAAACAAGATTCAGCCGAGTGTATTAACGGTATTAGCAAAAACAGTAAAGTAAAAATGCGAGAGGTTATTGATATATTAGCTTTTTTTACAGATTGCAGCCTCGGTTGCGTGATAGGAAAAGAGATTGATCGCGGTGCTTGCGCCATTTTATTCAGACGAACGATAATCAATATGCATACAACGACAGGATTACCGTCGATTTTGAATAAAAATGCATCGATAGCTTTGTACGGTACGTGTGCAGTGACAGCTTCGATTTCAACCCGACAGTTCTAATCCACTGCGGAGGCTCCGGTGATTCGGTCGATACGTAGGTAGGATGCATTCACCCGATCGGAATTCTTTTACGGCCCAGTTTGCATTTCACAATCTACTCTGAGTGAAGCATCGGCTACGAAAGCATTTTTATCAAAGTCTCTTCTCTGGACAGTGCGCGCGCTGTCATCTATATGCATTATAGCTAGGGAAAAAAGCAGCAGCATTGTTTCTGCATAACATTTTCAAGAAACATGTCGCTCATTATTAGACTTTTTTATGCAAAACTCAAACAAACTGTGACTCTTGAGATTTTTTAGAATACCTTGTGGTATCTTACGATGCTATGATAAGCAAAATAATATTCCTCTTTCTTACTGTATAAATATTAATTTAATATTAATTCATTCACAAATGTTAAGTATTATAATACTTACATATAATGCTTACAAATGTTAAGTATTATATGTTAACTACATCTGTTAAACAAAATAAGTTATTTTCGTTAAATAAGTATATATTTTGAAAATTTGGAGAGAATTAAATGTTTAACACATCCCGATTTGCATCGCGTAAACTTTAATAGAACAATATATGTTGCCGGCAATTTCTTTTTGTTTAATACACGTTATAACTCTCACTTACGTAATATCGGTTCAATTGTTCACACTCGTGGTGCGTGGCGTGTGTTTGACAGGTGACGGTGCAATTGTTTGTCGTTAAAGGTTTGGCGAAAAAAATTCGACGCCGTTTCCATTAAAAGCGGCTACCCGCCGAACAAAAATTGCGCTTTTCCGCCAGCTGGTCGCCTGATATTAACAACGTAACAATGCGCACTCGTGAGATCCCCCTCGAAAAAAAAGTGGACCACGATGGACGCGACGCGAACTACGAAATTGTTTCCATTTCGGCCGCTCGTGTTAACGTGTGCACTTGCACCTCGCTTTTTACGCGGATCGAGCAGATTATTTCCCATAATCTAGGCATGAGAAGTATGATAACAACAAGAAGCGATTTAAAATCCGATAACGGAGAGCCAACTATCTCGCACGTTCTTCTGAGAATCAAATTCTTGTAATTACCTTCGAAACAAACATTCATTACACGAGTTTTATTCGTTTCATTAATTAAGATTCGCTCCAATTATCTCGGTCAGATGCAAATGAGTGAAGATACGGAGAAGACGAAGTTCGCTAATAACGTCATCCATCGACGTTTGAACTGGGATTCCCCTACTGGTGTCGATTTACATGAGATATTGCTGACTCTGCGGCAGGAGCATGCAATTATTGATATTTTTCAAACATGATACGGTCGAGTTTGGCTTGATCACGATGCCGGAGCATCTTTTTCACGGATGGAAACTCGTGTGCTGAATGGAGTACACGTATGCAACGAATCGAAACCAAGCTGAACGCGGTGTGGTTAATCCTGGATAAAGGTTGTACATAAGTGCACATGCGTGATACGCTAAAGATCCGTCCGATACATAAACGCGATATCTACGGATTTATAGAGCATCGGTTGAATCGAGAAACCCGTGCGGCTGATCGTAAACAGTCGACTTCTCGAGCCAGCAAAATGCAAAACGAACTGATTAGATCCGTTATGATCTCGGTAATTATGACAACAAGTAGGCATTAGCTGATGATATCTCGTTGCCTTGATAGATATCAGACTGTGTTTACAAATTTGACTATATAACTAGACTGTCAAGTATTCGAGGTACTTTTCCTATCTTAATCTCCATTTTATCTATCCGTCGTTTCGATAATGATTTTTTCGTAAAAAAAGTGTTTTTTTTTCATTTAAAAGTTAAAAAATAATTACATTATTGAATATGATGACTTCTCTTCAGGTCCTTGGACCTCTGAGAATTATTTTTTAACACGAAAATATCAATATTTAATAGAGAATGCGAATACAAGTGAGTTTCTCGTCCATGTAATTATTGATAAGATAAGGGCCGTCGCGTAACGTGAAGCTCCGCGTGTTCGGCGAACTAGCGAAAAGGTAGGAAAACAGAGGCGTGTGTGTTCTCCTCAAGATTTGTGGCTCTCAGGACGAAATTTATTACGGTGCGCGGGATGTTATCCGTATACATAAAATAACAACGCATCGCGTGCTACCATATGCCCTGTTGCACATCGCCGCCGCCGCACGTTCTGCGAGCTTCAATTTCAGGAAGGTCCGTGAAGAGAGCGACGAAAATTTGTTTCGCCGAAATATGCGCGTTTGTATGCCCTCGCGTTAAAAATTGAAAAGCAAAAGTACTCCGATAATATCTTTCGCCGTTCTGCAGAAAACAAGTTACGCGCCATACGTGCGCGCTGCGAGTTTGCGAGGCTATATACGCGCAGCCCGTCCTCCGTTTTTCCCGGACGTAGCAAACACAGAAAAGACGAAAATATGCAAATTGTGTTTTCATTTACTTGCTTTGCACAAAGAGAAACTCGTCTGAGTGAGATAATCTAAAACTGTGCACCCTTTTCGCGCGCTTGGAGCAAAAACACTCGAAATTTATATATTTCAAACGTTTCATTGACAATGAAAGTGTGAGAATAAAATCACACTCTTTCGTAACAGTAATATATTTAAATGTTTTTACATTTTGTAAGTGCATGTTTTTACATGTACAATTCTTGTGAAGTATACATTCTGAAAATGTTAAATTTTATACACTAAAAAAGAGTTTTGAGATAACAAAAATATGGTAAATCAAACCAAATAAAGTGTTCTGGAAACCAAATTTTGGTCGAGATTACCAAACTTTGGTAATCTCAACAGAACTGTTTTTTTGTAGTATATGAAACAATGTCATGTTTACGTTAAATATAGTGCAATATCTATGTATTTTCTGTAATAATTCTATAATACTTGTCTTACTTAGTTTTTAATATTGTTCGCCAAGATTTTGTGTGATCACACTACCAAAGACCAATGCTTAATTAATGCATGGAATATTTCACATACAACTACCTGTAATACTTTGCACTTAGACAGAGTAAAACACTCAATGATTGGCACTTTAAAAACCTGTAAAAATCTCTAAAATAATTTTGCCATAAAAACTCTACATTAATTTACTACAATATCAAGTAATTATAGACAGAACTGTTAACTAAAAAAACCAATAGATGCCAATTATTGAAGGAGTTAACTATAGATTTGATTGTCTGTATATTGTTTCGTACATTCGCAACAGGATTAGGTATGTACATATCTAAATAATTACAATTAAATAATATTATCGCTAATGAATGATTATGTCGGATTTTATACTACGTCACAGAATAAACGTGAACACTAGATATAAATGTTTGTGCAATCGGTGCGACATATTGAGTGGTCAAGCTACGCTATATATAATACACATATACACACGGTATCGCATTCTTTTTCACATTGACGTGTGTGCGACGACAGTCCACGTACAAGCAAATCGTCCGCACGTCGCTACGTAAAACAAGCTCCGACGAGAGAAACGTACACGAATGTGACATTTGCATTTCTCTTTCTACCCATCTTTACCGTATTCATCCTACGTACACGGTAACTACATCTTCATGAGATAATTGGACGGAGCAAAGCGTGTGATACGAATTTGCTGTTAAGAACGGCATATTAACACGCGGAAACATTATATAAATGTTACCTCAAGAATACGCAGTACGAAAGAGAATGCGATTACAAAGGAAAATGTAATTAGATACAGTTTTCTTACAAGTAGTTTTAGCATATGTTGTATGTAACAAGAGATTAGAGGATATAGACCGGGGCAGAAAGTCACACAAATAGTTGCTACAATACTTACATCTTAATAAATATAAGGGAAAATTCTCAATGCATGTATTTGCACTAAAGTAAACCAAGTTTTAAGTGCGTTACGTAAGCAGTAATTTAATAACAAAATAATATTCCAATATTATTTTGTAATGAGAATTATTATATTGAGTGGTTTTTTCATAATATATATGACAAACGAAACGATTTTAGAAAACTTGGAAATATCATGGAAAAAGGTGGTGCACTTTACCGGAAAAAATATTATTATAATCCTTTTCCTGTACGGATAAACGCGGCGAGTAAGACAAATGACAGCGGAGCAATGGCGGTTTGTGGAATGTAAACACTTGCGTGTGGCGAGGAATATGCCGTGCTTATTCAAATTGCCGACAGATAAAATCTGCAAGAACATTACGAGCCACACGCTTCTCCCCACGAATAAAATCAGTCGCTGCGATTATAGTGCGCGTGTGTTAAACATCAAATTGCATTAAACCACTCTTTGCGTTGAATTTCGCGTTTTCTGCTTGACTGGCATTTTACCGATGTTTTCTGCCTCACACACGGTATCCGGAAGCTTCGTTCCCAAGGTTTCCGGAAAAATCAAAGACAGAACACCCGCGGCCACACCCATGGATCCAAACAGAATGAGCGGCAGCGAAGGCATTATTTGCGCCTACGAATATGTTAGAGCAATTGTTGCATATGTAATAATGTTTTACGAAACAATTTCTCGACAATAAATATTTATTCTATATTTTCTTTGTAAAAATTTCACTCAGAAGATTGACTGTAATATATCTTTGCTAAATTGTTTATTTTCTGCTTGAAAAGAGTTATATAAGATTGCAGAAGATGAAAAATAATAATTTATAAGAATCGACATACTTATATAAAGTATAAAATTTAAAATGTAGAGAGTCCTCTAAAAACCCAAAGCGCGCTATTTACATAAGAAAATGACACTTATTAAAGTGATTAATGCTATTCCTATTTTGTGGCCTTTATCATATCCGGTTAGCAATTATAGAGGAATGCTGATTGATGTATAATTTCAAGGATATTCGCGCGCGTTATCGAAGTACAGTTCAAAATAAACGTGAGTGCGTATATATCGAAATATATGCTTGCTGCAACACGAGTCTGTTGACTCACCAAAAGAGGCGTTTGTGGTGATAAGATTGATCCAATACGACCAGTCATACTGCAAATCCCGAGCAGACGATGCCTGAGCGTCGTCGGAAAGAGTTCCGTCGTGTAGATGTACACGGTGGCGAATGCTATCGTGATGCACAATTTTCCGCCCATATATAAAAGTAAAGGCCCGTAACTCCAAGCTCCTGAAACACATGGCGATAAATCATCAGAGGGATCGTGCCCATATAGCGCGGCTATTATAAACCGACATAATTACAGCGTGAGCACGCGCGTACTCGGTCACGACTAAGCCAAACCACGTATAACCGGCACGTAGCGTGTTATTTCAGTACGTTCTTTGCATTTGGACTGCCTAAGATTATATAATGTAATATATAACGTAACGTGATATATTTTATCGTAATGTAGCTTATTGCTTTTTTTAATTAATTTTTCAATTATTCAATTATATCGGACGCCGTTTCCGCGTCCGATTAAGTACTACAATTTCGATACAGAGCAAGCACTTGCAAAGTAGAGCTAATTATATAAAAAAATAAAAGTAGAAGATGAAAAGCAGGTCATTAACTCAGAGGTCGCACTTTTAAATATTACCAAATTTTATTGATTTTAGATGAAGTGTTGTAGAAAAAAAAACAGTTTTTCTCTGTAAAATCGTGCTATTTCAAAACAATTCCGAGAGATAAATTTTTCAACGAAGCGTTATAACTGTTTTTCGCAAACAATCTGCAATAAAATGGGGGTCTGTGTTTCTATGAGAAACTTTTTTTTTACCTGCTGGTATGAACTCGGTTGCGAGACAGAAAGCTCCGCTCAGTATGAACGCGCCAGAAAGAGTTGTTTTACGACCGATATGATCAGTCAGCAGCCAAGTGAGGAAGTACGCTGGTACCTCGACCACGGCGACAAGCATAAAATTGGCGTACTTATCCCCGGCGAATGCCACGGAGTTCAGTGACAATCCGTAATAAACAAAAGTGTTTGTAAGCCAGCAGAACGAGCAAATTAGCAACCGAATGAGTATCACTGAGCTATGAAGAACTTGCACGATCGGTTTCCTGTTATCCGATATCACTAACTCGCTTTTCTAAAAAATTACGTAAGTAGTTTTTCATGGTCGCAAATAGTAAATAATTTTTTTCTGTGATACCAATATGAGCTAAAATCCAATATATTGTATTTAATTCATCAATAACTTCCGTTTTTATAATTGAACAGTAACGTAAGTATTTGACAGATAAGAGCAAATAAATATATATGTGTACTTAACACACTTGTTCTGATATCAGTAGATTGAGAGTTTTAACTGTTTTGCAGATAAGACACTCTTTTAATATTATGATGACAAGTGTATATGAGAAAATAAATTAAATGTGTACCGTCTCAGTTTCAACGTTTATCTTCTTAAACATATCAATAGCTTCGTCCGTTACTTGCAAACGGTTAAGTCGGGCCATCGTGCGATATATTTTCTCTACTTCGTCGTCTTTGCCCTTTGACAATAGCCATCTGGAAAATAATACCGCATGCTCAGTTCGCGAACAGAGAAGTATAAAAACTTTTCCTTGCGCATTAAATTTAAGAAGCATTACTTGATCGATTCTGGAACTATTAGGGGTAAGAAAACGGCCAATAATCCCGGCCCGTACACCACCCTAAGAAGTATTCGCCAAGATCTCAACTGGCTCGCAATCAATCCTAACAAAATTTCACCGAAGGCAAACATACAGCAAGCGACAGTACTGCCAAAAACTCTGTTTTTTCCTACCGCTAATTCCATTCCTACAAATGAGAACGCGTAAGTATACACAGTGATACGATGATACACGCGATTTAAAAATCTTGATAATATCAAATTATATGATAAAATCCAATAAATCTTTCCACATTATCTATAATCACTCGATTTACTGTCAATTTTTGATAAAAGATATTAAATGTTGATTAAAAAAATATGTTGTTAAAAGAATTGCACAAAAAATAGTATGTTTATATTTTTTTTTCTTTCATTTCCTAAAATTACTGTAAAAGATTTTAGCAAAAGCTTATTATCTCGACATAATTGATCAGTTTTTTATTCAGTTTTTTTCAACATGATGTATTTTTGCGAAAATTATAAATTACACATCTTAATATGTGTATATTGCTTGAAAACTATAATTTTAATAAACACAACTAAATAAACACGTAATAAAATCAGTATAAATAACTCCGAAATACTCGTGCGTTACTTGTGTCACGTATTTGCTTTTCAAATACGCGTAAAGAGCATCGCATCAGGAATTTACTCTGCCATCCGGTACATGTAATGGAACAGGAACGAGATATAACGCTTACAGATGTCGCATATTTTTCCTCGAGTTATTGTTCTGTTATTAGCGCACCTAAAATAAATCCCGCGCTGTAAATTCCAGAGGCGGCGGTAGCGTCGAAGAACTCGAATGCGAGAAACATCCAATAATTCACGGAGAAGGAATGTATCAAGCCACTGACTCCCGCCAGAGACGTTGCTAGCGTCAAAAACGTTCGTCTTCCGTATCTGGAAATACATAGGCGAAAAGAATGAACGCGCCATCGTTGTTCTCTCGGCAAAGCGCATTTTTACCATGCCGCAACGAAATTCCACGTGATATCGTGACGCCGCATGCTTTCTTATCGGGGAGAATGCGCGAAATCGACGAGCTGCGGAAACTTTGCTGCACATTGCACATATATACCAACCCCGCGTGTTACGTAAAATCACATATATTCCCTGACCGAGAATTCAATCTCGTAACCGTCCGTGATTTATTGCCGGTCGCGTGAAGAAACGCGCAATAAGAGAAACATTTCGCGATGTAGCTGATTATCCGTTCAATTGAATCTAACGCGCACGAAAAAAAGATGTAAAACAATGACAAAGATTGGCTAACTTTGCAACTGCGTTGCTTTGACATTACGCAAGGACGAAAAAATATAGAAAAATTTTAATATTCTTTTTTTTTATTTAGAAGTATATAAAACATTTAGGTCTTGAAAATAATCAAGATTCAATAAACGTGCACTGATCTCACCTGTCAGACACATATCCGGCGAATATCAGGCCAAAGAACTGACCGATGTTCTGTATCGTACCTACCAATGTGAGTTTCCAGCGATTTTCTTCGCAAGTTAAGTTCCACTGCGTAAGGATAAACAAGGGAAAAAAATAAATCTAAAGCTAGTTTCGCGACTCGCCACAAAAAATACATGCTGTTTAAGCTTTACCTCGTTGAGTATTGTACATTCATCCGGATCGTAAATCCAAGAATCGCAGTCGCGGGTCCAGTTTGTGAACGACTCTATTGAACATGTGTCCGAATGATCGTCTCGCACCACGTATCGTTTGCAACTCGAAATGGTCCCGTCCATTTTTGGAGCGGAAGCGTTGATCCATAGTGGATCAAACGTCGTGTTTTCCGGATGTTCACATTCTGGCACTAAACATCTGCACTCGAACAATTGTTTTATTTTAACGGAGCGCAAAAAGTATAATTCAAAATTATAGTACGTGTTACGATTTTATCCAGATTGTATGAAAATTAATTATTACGTACGTATTTGCATACCTGTATTTAATTTCGCCTGCCGTAAATACGTAAGACAACGTGAACCCTGCTGCTAAAGATAATGGCATACTTATAATAAGAAACATAATTATCTGGTAGGGTCCAATTTTTTCTAAACTGTTACTGACTGGCAGGCTTTTTGCAACTCCTAGGAAAGAAGAAAACATGAAAAGATAAAAGATTTCGATATTATGTGTAAAGATTGTTGTAAGATTCCCCATTAGTATTTAATTTACACACTTTCTCTTATTCTATTTAATAAAAAATTGTTCAAGTACAGAAAGATTATTTTAGAAAACGGCAAGTTATGTAATATTGAATGAACAGCTCCGATGTTGAGTCCATACGTAAATTATAGTATGATCTCCAGAGTCTGCTTAACGAGCTAGTGTTCATCGTACGTGTATATTCAGTGATTTAATACTACGCTGATCAGTGATATTTAAACTATGTTAACTAGAAAAGTAATATCCGATAGATAAGCTCATCTTGTGATCTTCTCTCTAAATATTTGGCTATGTAACGCTTCGTAAAATTTGTTTGTGTGTGTATCATACAATATGTGGCATTATATTTAAATATTTATATCGCACACGTGTTTGTGTGCACAAATATTTTGCACATTTAAATAACGAAAAATATGATTTTATGTGTTTCATATTTTGTACATGTTTTTTGATTTATGAAGAAAATGATTTATTAGCAGCATAATTTATGCTATCACCAAGTTTTTCTTCATAAATAAGTAAACTTTAATAATTTTTTCATGCTACCAAAGTTTTTATAATGCAACTTTATTATTAAGATTAAAAGATATATTCTTATACAATACTTTTGCACACACAATACACAACTGCATCGATACGCGAATATTATTCATACCATTTCTGGGCTGCAGCGAGTCAGCCTCGTCCTTCCTCGAGCATAGCCTCATGCTGTCGTCTTTTATGTCTCGTAAGCTGCAATCATATTCGGAATTTATATTTTCTTGCTTATCGCGAATCGCCGTGCCGCAGCAAGCCGATCGAAAGTTCAACCTGACGCTTTATGTTTCAAGTTTCTTGGAAGCATCTCGAATGAAAAATGATGCCGGTCGCGCGTCGGACTTGGGTGAGCATTAAAGAAACGGGATCAGTTTCTTCTCGAAAAGGGGGGAGCAAGATACAAAAAGCTTTTCCCCATAAAAAGTGCCGTGGGAGAGAGGAACTGCCCTCGGAAACGACTTCTTCGTCGGCTACCCCGGCAGTATATAACCACGTACATATGCATATAACGGCGATGCAGGTGCGGCAAATAACGTAAAAAGTATGTACTATGTGTGCATGTACATAGCGCATTAGAGATAGAATTATCAGAGCGTGATAATTGTTAGAGACAAAAAGGGAGAATGTAAGATGTAAATTGCACGATGCGGAACTCGGTACCTGGCCTGCACTCTATTGTGTGGTGATACAAGTATCTAAATAAGACATGAACTAAATAATCGATTTGCGTATAAAATCTAACAGTGTGTCTTTAGCTGTTTAGTATGCAAGCTACTACAAAAGAGCATGATTTTGTTATCTGAAATTTACTTTTGTGGATTTGCGCGTAGTTCGCACGTTATCGCGCAAAAAGCACGCGCAAATATGCAAAAAATTTGTTTTGCATTTATTAAAAAACAGGTATTAGATAATAATATGTACATATTTATATACATTTTTTTACATTTTGCGCAAGTTGTTGCGTAACAATAATTAAATATTTATATTGTGTTTCTCTTTTTGTCTTGAGCGCACACAAAACTGCAGTGTTTTTTTTTTAAAAAAAGACGTATCAATAAACGTACTGTCTAAACAGATAATTATAAAATCTTTTAGAGAATGTATGTGTTATATATGAAATATTTCTCTCGCATTGAAGACTACGTGCTGACCTCTCTCAAGTACACGGGTAACTCCTACGTGGCACGTTGGAGTTATTGATTTCCAAATAGTTCTAACGGGAACGAAAAACAATCACGTTTGAAAGAAGGCACTGAAAAGAAAATCAAAACGTACCGCACGAAATCAAGTAATCTTCTATTTGTGCCAAATCGTTGCTCGAAACGATCGTGGAGTTTATCCTATTGCGTCATGTGATATTGTTTTAACTGTGTCGAAACGGTAAAATGCACAAAGAGTAACGGCCCGTATTCGGTTTTACGATACCATTCCGATATCGCGTGGATGCACGCGAATTGTCGTCATCCTGCAAAGTTTATCCATTTTCGCAATTTACGCGCGCGACGAAAACAACGTTTTCGTGAAAGCGACGTTTACAAAGAACACTACGCGTATAAATAACGTTAATAAATTAATAAAGCGTTACTTAATATATTCTCGGATCATTAGGTATTCGTAGAAAATGATCCGAAAAAAAAATTTCCGCACATTGAAATAATACAAATTGATTCTTCAAACAGTTCTTAATTCTGCAATCATACGTCGTATATTGTGTTATACGTTATATCTAATTGGATTTCACTGAACGTTTCTCACTGCGCTACTCGTCATTTTCTCGCTTTTTGCACAAAAATTGACGAGCAGATGTTAAAGAATCATAAAGAAATGAATACACACTTTTCCAATCATATAATTTCAAATTTTTGACTGCACTGTGGTCACAACGGTATGCCAACAAGATTATACACGTACTTGATTGCTATTTTGTGTGACAGATAACGACGGTAAGTAGTGGCAATCGTATGTTTTTCTCTCGTATTGCACTCGGCGTTTTTCGAAAAATACGCGAACGAAGAGAGAGAGACTTTACGTTTACGATCTCACTTTTATCGTTCCGCCTGAATCGCGGAAACGTTTCCGCGCGTTATCCTCGTCGGAGGCAAATCTACATATTCTATTACCTTAAAACGAAGCGCACATGTCTGACGTCTATCACGAGAAAACGAGATGTCCAGTCGTGCGCGAGACACTACATTATATATGCTTTTTATACATTGCTCTCTCAAAAGATTACGAACAATCACCGATAAGAATGAAGTGGTAGTCCCCGTGACAAGTATTCGCTGGACATCGCGCGCGCCTGTCCAGTCTTACGAAGACAGCTGCTACTGTCTTTGAAGGTAAACGTATTTCTCGTTGATAGTCACACGGCGAGTGGGGAGGAAAGGTAAAACAATCGGAGAGGGAAACGATTCATCTTGAAATTACAACAAATGGAAACCGCTGTTTCAATTGACAGATATATGTCTTCGATCGAACAAACGCTTTGGGTGAGAAATGGTTGAAATACATCTTTGAAGCACGTGATTAGTAACCGTAGTCCAGCAGTTAGTAAAAATATAGCTATATATTCTACAGTTGATGAGTACGCAGTATGTTTTAAGCCATTATATTCCATTGTGATTCGTCACGAGCTTTTTTGTCCGGAATATCATTGCAAGTCATGCAAATTACGATGCATTATACCAATGTGCATTTCATAAATACTGAAAGCGGTTATTACAACCGCAATTTTATCGCAAGTGTAATCGGCACTTCTGCTGCTCGACATGCGGCGGCAATATGATTCCTACTTCTATGAAACACGAAATACATATTTCCATATTCAGTAAATCGTATTGAAGTCAATTCGTGTACGGAGATTTTCATACTCGCGCTGCGTATAATATTCCCTACTTTTTGCCGCTAATTTTTGCGAGGATAATTTCATGTCAATTTAAGCTATACAGATATATATTAATAACAAAATTGAAAGAGAGATCCTTTTTTAGCGTTACCCAGTATATATTGAAAGGGTCAAAAGAACTCGTATCGTATGTAACTGGTTTCAACCAGCAAGTTCCAGCTGCGTTGTAGCTGCCTCGTGTCTTTTACATGACTGCGAGATAGAAGTATTACATATCGTGTGGAAGCAAACGTAAAAAATCCTCATAAACATCTGTAAGCCGTAATCATTTGCACTTTTGTAAATTGTATTGCATTTAATTTGTGAAAATGACCATCGTATGTTGCAGACATTTTATTTTAACACATCTGGAGATAACATTCCTATAGAATTAATGCAAATGTGTCTATTTTATTAAATCAAATTATGTTAATTTATATAAAACGATAAAAGCACGTTGAAACTAAAATAAACAACGTGCGTGTGCATAAATGTATTCATCTGTTAACAATATCTGTAACCCACATTCTATTTAGATAATTTTATTTTATATCGCGATACACGTATTTGTGTGATAATTATTTTCAGGTCGATAATCGAGTTGTTTTAAGTTGTGTACAATATGTCTAAGTGACAGAAATATTTGTAGAAGAAATGTTTTTTACTGTTTGCACATATCAAACCAAAGATCTGAGTTTTATCGTATCTCTCGTTAATAAAGGATATAAATTCAAAAATAATGACATGTTACGTAAGCTATTCGTTACTTAACTATGATTGCGTTTACAAAAAGAAAAAAATATTAAAAGATCTTCTGCTTTAAAAATTTCTTTGAAAAATAAGAAGATGAATAAATAATCCTCACGTGTCGTCAACAAAAAACACAATGATCGAGACTTAAGCATAACTCATGTTATGTACGTTTTAAAATCAATGTTCACTTTGCAAAACTCGACGGTTACCGAACCTTGATCGCTATTGACATAGCGTGGCAATGAACTGCGAAGAAAACATACGTGAGGATTTTAATGAAAAGGCGGCACGAGGTAAATGCCACGCACAACATAGAGTTTACGTGACAAAAATATATATAAACTAATGTACAATTATATTTTAATAGATTTATGATTTAAGTTTTTTACCTCTTTACTTTTCCTACTTTTTAAAAGTAATCTCTAAATAAAATTATATAAAAATATTAAATTTAAGAAATAGTTGAAAAAAGTGATAATTTTATTTTCTATCTGCATTTTAAAGAAACTATTTTAAATTTTCAATATATATACATAGGAAAATATAAGTGACACAACTCGGTTAATGTATTTATTCGTTTACATTTTGATATGTATACAGTGCAATGTCCTTTTCTCTATTTTTATACAAGCTTCACTCTGCATGGCAACGTTATAGCTTTGTTAAATATGTTAAATTTAGAAGTCAACCAAAATACCCGTGAAACACTTTCTTTACAGACATATATTCATTGATAGAAAAAATCTTAATAAAATATTTACGTCAATTTATGTACATATATAATTTTTTTCTTTAAGAAACTTTTACACGTCTTTCATGTGTTCAATGCAATCTATATAATTTTTTTATGTGAACATGTAATTATTAATTAATTTTACTTTTACTCTAATAACAAATTTTACAAAGTTTTACAAATATCAGAAATATTCTCAGTTTTCTGTTATTTAAACGGGTGTTCTAAAAATAATTGTATGAGAGCAACAATACAAAAGATTATATGTAATCTCGCGAAGAAGACTTACCTTCCAAAAGCCATGATGGATCCGTACCAAGATATACACGTGTTAATAATGTCTCACTATGTACACTCTCGACTATCCGCGTGCGGAAATCGGAAAAATTTGCGATAAAAGAAAACCGCGAGCGCGTATGTACTCTTGTTAAAGAACAAGAAGATGATTCGTCGATATTGCACTGCGCTTTGTTCTGTATACTTGTATTGCGAGCGTTCAAGTACTCGGAAACTTTACTGAAGCCGTGCTTAATCACACGACGCGAGGCGGTAGAGCTTGCACTGTGTAGGAATGAATCAAAGAAGGAGAACGACCGTCATGATGATAGAAGTTGAAGCGCTAGAGATATATCGTGTGAGTGAAACGTTTTTTCATGCCATCTCTGTTATCTTGGCTTACTGTGAAAGTTAGGTCAACAAACCACACGCACGGAATACAGATGTGCGCACACTAGATTAATCAACCGAAACGTATCGTACATGCTCTTCGAGGATATAATATGCGTGCGTTCTCGTAACGCATGTCATCTTCCCGTGTCTATTAGACAATTGTGCGCCACGAGATAGTACATGTATCTCGGTCGAAACTCAATCGAGATATCATATTTTTTGTGTCATACATCATGCACGTGATGAATGAATTATCAGAAATTTAACCTTCAATCAAAGCAAACATTTAATTTATGCGTCACGCACGTCTACGTATTTTTTCCGGTTTGAAATCCTTTCTTTGTTCTCTTAATACAAAATAAAGAATTTTATTCGAGAATACTTTCAACAATTATTATTACTTAATTATGTGATACTTGATGTATACTTGATTCCATTACACAATGCTTTTATAATTATAGTGTATGTTTAATATAACATTGGTGAGTTATACTATGTAATTATATAATTAATTATATCTTAAAAAATATTTTGATAAGGTCATTGCACGTGAAAATGTTAATCCTAATCATAAGGTTATAAGCAAAAATCAACACGGAAAAAAAAGATTTGCTAAAATAGCAAGAAATTAGTTACTATATGGCCAGCAAAAAAACATTTGTTAAGTTTAGTAAAATTTTTGTTTTGCCAACAAAATATTTTGTTGATGAAACAAAAAATTTCGTAGGATCAACCATTTTTTTTTGCTGACTATATAATAGCAAAACTTTTTTTTCCGTGAAGCAATCACAATATTCTAACTAATGCAAGATAATATTGATCTGCAATTTATTGAATTACTTACGATGTTAGGAATAAAACTTTTTTATGTATCCATAAACAGATGTTTATTTTTATATATTTTTTATTGCCACATATACATGTAGTATCGCATATTTTATATGCATACTTTTGTCTTCAACTTTATAATACGCCCGTATCTGCGTTCAAATAGTTTAACCTCAATTCACTCTCAGCCAATTAAGTTGATGTACTCGAAGCATATTAATGTAATGTAACATATATATACTTCTACGTTGACAAATCTAAAAGTTTAATAAAAACACGTGTGTGAATATTGTGGTGTGTTTTAAGGATCGTATTTTTTATATTTTATATACTAGGTAAAGTGTAGGTAAAGTGATATACATATATATATATTCAATCTTTTCCCTTCTCTTATAAAGTACAATATGACGAATTATGTAACAGTTTACATGTTCTTTGTTTTCTTTCAGGAAAACACTTCTTTATGTTAAAATAATAAAATTTTTTATTTTTGTTTGTTTTTTTCGATTTTCATTTTGTGTTGTAAATTTACTAACTTTACTATCTATATATAAGTATTGTGTATAGATAGATCTATGCACAAATTATATCAATGTAATGTAAACAGATATGAAGTTAGTCGTCAAACACGGACGCACCGATATATTTGCGTTCGTTACCAGACATTTTGATCATTTTCACAATGTGCAATAATCTGTGAGAGTTCATGAGTTGCATGAAAATATAATGGGCAAAGTAACAAAAACATTTTCCACCAAAAAAGTATCGCCAAAATTGAAAAACAAGCGACGAAAAAGAGAACTCGATAAAATACACTCAAAAATCTTAAAGGCTAAAAGCAAGTTGGTAAGTTTTTCAAACATTTTTGACTGATACAAGAAAAATTTAATCTTAATTTATATCAAATAATATTTATAGATAATGAGTTTTAAAAGCAATTAGACAGATGCTAGAACATATTGAAAACAGTGCGTAGGCGTAGTGTTACTGTGTTGCGTGTTTTTTGTGTGTGTGTGTGTATGTGTGCGTGCGTGCGTGCGCGTGCGCGTATGTGCGTATGTGTGTGTGTATACACACGTAGTGGATCTTCTTATATTCGACGTACGATATCGTATATGTGATCGTGCTGTAATTCTTTACTTATTTATAACTAAAAGATATTATTTTAATAAAATTAGTAAAAATTTGAGTCATATTTATTTGTTAATGTAAAAAAACATTACTGTATTAAGACATTGATAAGTTTTTGTAACATGTTAGGTTAAGTTAGGTTAAGTCGAGTGTTTACTGATATTTACTAACCTTTATAAATAAGTCTCATTAATTTGTATTTATTTGTATTTATCAGAAAGTATTAGCATGTATGTAATTTTTATCTTGTTAGAAAATTTCAGCTAAGACAATTTATGTTTTTGGAGAATATGGAAGGAATAACCTTATTTTTTTTAAAGAGGATTTCTTTTCAGAAAATAAAATTAAACTTTTTAAAATTTTTTAAAATCCTTGAATTATAAAAGAATTGTACCCGAACATCTGGTGTTAGCTTGTTATTGCCATTTCCTAATTTCTTTTTATTAAAATATTCAACGAGCTAAAAACATAATTAAAATTAAACTTAACATATAAACAAAGCTCTTTTGTAAGAAATTAAATGAATTATTGTGTAAAAAAACAAACATCTGTGTAGTTATTTTTAACAATACTATTTGATGGAATTCAAATATATAATACAATTTATGTCACAGGACAACATAGAAAAACATGGTAACAAAAGTCGACAAAAGATACAAAACCAAGCAAAAATATGCAGTAGGCTACTGCCAAAGCCAGTATGTGATTTTTGTAATTGTAACTATTTAGTGTTTTACTTTTTAGTGTTTTAATTCAGATAGAAGTTATTTTGTATACTTATATTGTAGGTTGCTGGCATATACAGAAATGGTGCAAAAGGTAAAGACATTCAAAAAGGTATGGATATATAATTTATATATTTATTACAATGAAATAATAAAGATACAAGTCTTTATATTTGTAATATATCTTCTGTAGCAGAGACATCAGAAAATAAAATCAACAATGCCCGGCTAAAAGCAGATGCTTTGCAATTGTTCAATGGTGACACATCAGAATCTATGCAAGTATATTACTGTAATTAAATTGTAGTCCTGAAGGGAATCAATAAATTTATCTATCTATCTATCTATATTACTGTAATTTTAGATTAAACTGATATATTGTAATTAAATACACACACACAGACACTCACACGCACATATATATATATATATAATATATAATTCTACTTACAGAGAAGATGACGTAGAAATAGCCCTATTTGATGAACCTACTATACAATCTCTAAATAAAAGTTTTGTAGAAAACAGTTTGGAACGGGCAGCATGTGAATCAGAGCAAAGTCCTGTTTTAGGAAAACGACATGAGTATGTGTGTGATATCTAATATTATTAATCTAAGTATTTGTTTTTTTTTTAATGTATATGCAAACAGATAAAGATTGCTTATTTATTAATATATTACAGTCACAATCAGAATGTATATGTTGTTAAAAATAAAACTAAGAATACATTTTCCAAAAACTTGAATTTAAATAGAAATAGAAAGAAAAATGTGAATAAATCAAAGAACATTATGCAGAAAGACGTTATATGTAAGCAAAGATTATTTCAAAATGATAAACAATTGGAAAATACTGGTAATTTACAGTGAGTATAATAACAAGTTCTATTTACAAAATTAAATCAGATATGTATGATATTTTTATACAAGGTGCAATTATTCAAACTGACACAGGTAGCGACAATAGTATTATGTTGTAAAGTAGAGAATAAAGTTTATTAATTTCAGAATATTTAATACTATCGATCTTACACAAGAGGATACGATAAATGAAGAAAAAAGAGAAGAGATATTAGATAACAAATTTTGCGATCAATTTAACAAAAATAAATTTTGGAATCCATTAAATCGTTTTGAGGAATTTTGCAGAAAAATGGCTACAGGAATTTCTGATGGCTTTTCCCAAAATTATCGACCAGGTATATTATATAGACACAGAATATTACTTTGATAATATATTCGATTTATTATCATATATTTTGTTATTTACATTGTTAATTATTATTATTTATAATGCTTGTAGATCCTGTTAAAACAACTCTTAAAATATTGAGAGTTAGTTATGCTGAATGTTTTCGTCAACAACTTTTGCGTGAAAAGAAAACACAATCGAACACAGAATCACCCGTGGAATATCAAGCTTGTACTTATTCAAATTCGCAAGTATCGTCTGTCGAATTTGAAGTTCTTAAATGTGACGATAAAAACGATACAATCGTCGCAAATCCATCGGAAAGCACTCAGAAAATCAATAACTTGCATAGAATACCACATTTTATGTGCGAAAAAGGCAATGACATAACGCAGTACGATTCTACATCTCGTTCGTCACAGAATAGTTTTGCAGCATATAAAAATAGTGAGAATAATGGTGGTAACCAGTTTGTAAATCAATTTTCAGATGTTTCTCAATTTCCTAAATCAGTGAATTTATATTTTGTAAACGAAAACCATTCTGTAGATTCTCAGAAGAATTCCAATCACGTTAGTTTTGCTTCAAAACAGAATCGATGTAGAAAGAATAATTGTTATTATAAACATTCTCGAGATGTTGATAAGACAGGACGCTCGGCGACTTTGATCTTTTCGAACGAATCTGTGTTATCAGCAGAAAAACTGTTGAGGAAATCAAAGTTATCGACTGTTACCGCTAATACTTGTGCGCCAAACGACATATTTCAAAAATGCAATAGAACAGCGAATGAGCATAACAACAAAAATATTAAACAAATACCTAATATTATTCGTCGATATAATGATATTAAAGTTACCAAAAGCACTTATTCTACACAATTAAATGACATTTGTCCCGAAAGTTTGTACAAGAAATTTGAAACCACTGTATTTAACGATCCAGATAGCAATGTTGCAAAGGAATCTCGTGTAGAATATCCATATATGTTAGGCAGTGTTCCTACACCTAGTATATTAAATATGCCACTTGATCGATCACAATCGTTGGAACGTCCGAATAAGTTCAGCTATGTTTCTGCGCCTAATATATCGATTGTACCACTCGATAGATCGAAATTGTTAGAGCCTCAGATCGAATCAATGAAAATACAGGATTTTCGAGAGTCCCAAATCGATAATGTGAATATAAACGTGCGTTCCAAAGTGAAAAAAATGACCGGAAATAACAGACTTTCTCGATTTAGCAATACATCGCACTCACAAACTTTTGAAAATTTATACAATTCAAACACATATGTTAAAACTCCAGTTCAAGAAATTGCTTCGAATGCGAGACAAGTTTTTTGTACGAATAGTTGTCACCCAGTCACTTATTTACAAACTGCCAACATTCCCGGGTTGAACGTAGAACAAGCAAAACAAGTTTCTTCACAAACTAAATTACATGTATATGAAGCCAACAATGCTAAGCAACAGTTTATCGGAAACACTACACGCGATCAGAATTCAAATATTCTTTTCAATAGTGTTAGCAACAAAATAGCAACATTAAATTTCCCCCAAAATATTCAATTCGACAAGAGATGCGGAAAATCCACATGCAAGAAATTGTTCAGTAAAACAGATGCAGAATGCGTTAAAAATCTAACTAGTCAAAATGTATGTCGTTGCAATAAACGATGTATTTGTCACGATTCTGCCGATTGTCCGCCTAAACATAGTGTTGCGCAGATGCATTATTGTGACAAAGATACCGTACAAGCAATGACACAACCCAATATGTCGTACGACATAAACATCTACAGTAGTAACACAGATAAGTCGGTTGATTCTTCCAATGGTCTGCAAAATGCATCGTTTTTACCACTGGAACAAAAATATAATCCATATACTTACTTACAAACAGTCGATGGCCAGCATCACGCGGTGTTGCTCCAAGATGCCACTCAACCTGTAAAATATTTTGCTGTAAAAAATGATAGAGGTATCCAAAGAATACCCGTATACATAAATAATAGCAGTGCTAATATAACGGAAAATTTCCCGCTAAAATTAGCTCTAATGAAACCGAATAGCCGAACAAAAATATATCCGCAAGAAGTCACGAATCGAGTGATACCGTTGCAAGCGAACAGTCTGCCTGTTGACGAGGTTGCGATGCACAAAACAAGCGCTCAACCCGTGAATGCCGTATTGTTTAATTCAGATTTACAATCTAATACTTGGTATACTTCGAATTTGTAATAGGGAGATTTAATATGTACTGATACATATATATGTTGGATGACGGTTGAAGAATACATCAATGTTCAGCAGAACATAATCGTTGCGTAACGGTTTTTTCACCCGTTGAAAGTCTCTGCTAAACATGGTCAGTGTGATAGCATAGATAACTTGGTATTTGGATAATATATTTTCAAGGATATAATTGCAAAACGCGCATAATATTTATTACTATTATTATTATTAGTGTTATTATGATAAAATAATAGTAGTGTTTATTTATAATTTTTTAGGAAGATCTGTTGCAAAAGTTAATAATTTTTGTAAATGCTTTGTGAGAGACAAATATTTGGTGATATTTAACCATAAGAATATTCCTTCTACTTGTGAAACACAAGAATGTATTTCTACAGCATCACGTATTTTGTTAATTATTATTATAACGCATATATACTTTATTTGTGGTATGGTAAAAATAAAAATACAAAACACATTACCTGTGATAGTTGGAACATATATGTATTATTTTATGTTACTGTTAAGGTCAATTGGATTGGACATCAAATATATTGATATAACACAGAAGAAATAATTTTCGTCAATTTCACAGCGATATATCGATACATATGTATTTGTGAATTTTCAGAATATAAGTGTGACAAATCAGCTTTTAAATAAATGTTTCGCAGAACGCAAAATATTTACGGGCAACAAATGGTTTCCTATAAGTTTCTACCATCCCTCGACAATACTGGAGCAGGTTTGGTGAAGCGCAATTAATCTTCACAAAGTTTCTTTTGTTGAAAGCATTTGTTTCGTTTTATTCGAACAATTTTTTCCATAAATTCGAAATAATTTATATCTAGAGATGTCGACAACAACATAGAGCGTGCACAAAGGCGAAAGGAAATTTATCTCTTCGTGACGGTACGCGATACCGGATCGACGTTGATTTTATTACGCTTGCTTTATGTTTGCGTCAACGTCACGCGGAGCGGTTTGATTAAATGCGAGTACATATTTTTTACAATCTTCTTAGGAAGTACTCTAGGAGGAAGTCTCTAGGTACACATGTGTAATCCTTGTCAAACGATACGATCGTTCGTGTTTCTATCGGCGCGACGGCAAAGCCGCATCGAAGTTTAACTCTCTGGGAATGAAGTAAATAGTTCTCAGTCTTCAAAATTACTTTATTGTACCAAAATAAAGTCGTTAAAGAGTTAAATACGATCTCGCGGAAATCGCTCATTATGAAATCGCAATATATCATCTGTGGTATAGCTCGGTAGATGCTTAGAATTCTGAAATCTGGGTAATCTTGTGCGCTGTACACACAGCGGCACTAAAATGCCATAACTCTTACGAACTTTATTTAACATCCTAAAGTTCGACTCTTGTAATTTGTACTTTATGTGATGAGGATATTTTGGTTTACGATAGACCTTGCTAACCGATTTTTTAGTGTAGTAGTTAGAACCACGCCGTGTCTCCTCGGAGATTAAGTCGAGTGGCTGTAATCGCTCTTTGGGAAAGAGAGAGGAAGAAAAGGACGGAAAGAGAAGAAAGAAGAGAGGGAGGGAACAGGAGATAGAGAAAAAGAGAATATAAGAGGGAGAGACGGTTCATCTTAACGTTCCCCTGAGTTTGATTTTAATATGAACGTCTCTATGCGCCAAACATATAGAAAAAACAGTTCCCGGAAAATATAGATTATAATGTAGAGAGAAAGATATCGATGAATATATAAAGAAGTAGACATATGTGTAGATACATACATACATACATACATACATATATATACACATATATATATATATATGTGTGTATATATATATATATATATATATATATATATATATACACACACACACATATATATATATACATATATATCAGACTTGTGATTTTATATACAGATTTGGAGGGTCATCAACAAAGAGAGAATTAGCGTCCTCTTGCCCAACGGAGTATGGCGTCTGCTAATATGTTCAAATGCGTTTTTGTCTGAAACACATTAGAATGTAATTATATTATTTGCCGACTCACGGTGTTTACAGAAGAAGGAAACGATACGTATGGACATTAAATCCACACGTAATGGCTTATATATTCCTCTTCTTCTTCTATGTTATTTCTATTTAATGACTTTAAACAGTTTATATGATGAATGAGTATTCGAATCTTATTTAAGATTGTCGTAACTTTATTCTCAGATGTTCCAATGAAACGCCATATAAAGCATCTTATGATAAATTTAAGATGATATTAAATATAAGATCGGACTATGAATATCGACCTAAGTCTTGATTAGACAAAGACATTCTGTGCGTAGGACTAAATAAGTCAAAACTTTATGTGTGAAAGAAGAGAAACAGAGAGAGAGATACTTTAAGAAAGAATTGCAAATTACTTTTTAGCAAGAATATCGGGAAAACTCGTAATTTATCGCAACTTTGTAACTCTTTCACCTATGGCATTTTGCATTCTTGTAATCACAAAATTCAAATTGCAATTCTTTTATTTAAAATTAATTGAAACATGCGCGCACAATTTTGTTTTTCTCTGTGTACTTTTATCAAATTTTGCTCGTAGAAAGTTTGTTATCCATAAATTGATACTTTAATTACTGGATGCTTTAACATTGTGAATAATGAAAGGTCGATTTTGAGTTGGCGAAAAATCACAGTCATTTCTGTTAAGTTCAGATTATTTTGCACTGAAAAATATACGATTTCTCTCTCTTTCTCTCTCTCACTCTTTCTCTCTCTCTCTCTCTTTTTCTTTCTTTCTTTTCACATAAAATTTATCTTTGCACAGTTTATCTGATGCACAAATTACAATTTGGTATTCAATATTTAGTTAATATTTTCTCCATTTAATCTGTTTATTCCGATACTTTACTCGAAATAATTTTAAAATATTGTGTAGTGTATATAGAGCACGCACATTTTTCCCCTATAAAAGTAAACATCGTATATCTTCCTTTCATTTTGTATATCTGATATGATGTCAACAATATTAGTTTACTGTGGCCTCTACCTTTATTCTGTCGCTGATAGCATATATTCTCTTGACGAGGAAGCATGGATAAAAGAAAGCTGGAATAATGTAAATTTACCGCCACACGTCTCTTCTCACTTGTACGTAAGAGCAGATGGAGTCTAAATTATGAAAAAAATTGTACGTATGTATTTTTTCCCTATTTTCTGTGTTTAATAGTCCCGAAAAATACTACTCGGCAGTTAAGTAGAAAACTGACTTTCGATATTACACCCACGTTTGACACAAATATACGCTTCCATTTTCTTTTGAACTTTATAACGAAAGTCGACTCAAAAGTTCAGCGCAAAGTTTTACATGGAGCAGAAAATGTTACATATATAGTATCTTAGCATTAATCAGCACATAAAACTGTAAAAGTTTTTCTCAAAACGTTTTGTCTAAGTTAATTTACTACGGAACGCAACTTGTATATGTGACTATCCAAAAGGTTAATTATTTATTTTTGTTTTATTTAGTTTTTATTACTTATTTATAGATACAAATATTCGTATTGTAATTGCAATTTGAAGTAGAGATTTGTGAAAGTACTAACTTTAAAATTATATTCTGACCAAACACATGTATATACACACAAAGAGAGAAAGAGAGAGAGAGAAAGAAATGATAAATAATATACTTTGAAACAATTAACAAGTATATATTTTCGTCTCTTTGTTCAGTAATATTTAGCAACATTTTATCAAACATGTATTGAAACTTATTCTACACGAAGCGTAAATAAGAAATATAATTTTATACTTACGGTTTTGTAGAACATACAGTGTTGTCTGTCTTCATCCTCGCCCATGGGACAGTCTATAAATCCGTCACACAGAACATGATCATCAATACAATGATATCTGCCCATTCTATCTGCAGTTGGACAAGCGAATCTGTCCATCCCATCGTCGGAGACTGGACATTCTATAAATAAGATTACTAGAATTTGTTTCTGGAAAGACTATAGAAAGAATCGTGCAAATATAAAGAAAATATTTTAAAAATAGAAAAAGCAAAACAAAATATTTACAAAATATACGCGCCAGATGTAAAATTGAAGAAGAAAAACGTAAATAACCGTTATCCTATATCTCGACTAAGTTGGAAGTATTATTCGATAAAAACATGTTGGTTGTGCGATAAGATATAACGAATATTATCTCTCCACATCTAAGATTATTTAGATCTTAATGAAATCGTGTATCACTAGTATTCTCCGGTTGTTATTGATATGTTATCTCTTGTTTCTCTCATTAAAGAAATATTTTTCTAGTTTCTCTGATACACACATCACACACACACACACACACAAGTGTATTAAAAAAAAACAAACACTAAACAAGTGTTTTTATACTATTACATGTGTGTGCGCGCAAAATGTTTATTCGAATATTCCACTTGATGATAATGTATATTGAGATAAATTAATGTAAATTTAATCAATGTCAATTGACAGTTGTACTATATTAAATCTGAGTACCGCCTCGTTCTCTCAATGGCACGTATTTTTGCACATACAACAGTATATCAGGACACGTTAAAATCTAGTTGCCGGAATCTTTGTGTTGTTTATCCAGCATGGTGATGCATTTCAAAAGCCTGTACATGCGCTCATTGCGCATTTGGTGCTAAATGTGATTACTCTAATTCTTCGTGTTACAGCACTTAATGTAAAGATCTATTCAAAGCGTGGGACAAAACTTAAACAAGTAAACTCAATGTATACGCAATATCAAGATACGGGTCAGCGCGGATGAATTTTGAAAGCAACTTACTGCGATTGTTTGATGTGATACTAGACCACACTTGACATCATTTTCTATAACAGAACTAACCTACCGAGTTGTATATCATAATCAGATCAGTGCGTAATGATACAACGCTTTGTTGATTTTTATTACGTTTTTATGATCTTTCTTGTCATTCTCTTGTTGCGGAGATAAAGAGAAATTTGCCGTCGACGTTCTCTTAGATCAATAAATTTGGGAGGGACAACGGCCACTCTTTCTCTTTCTCTCGTGCGACGACGTTGCTTTTCTTTATTTGCAGAAGCTCTTTGTCTATATTTTTGCACATGACGTTTTTATTAGGGTTTTATATATCTTTTTATTTGAATAACTCATAACATTGTATTCACATTATAGCACAGTTGGGTGGCTAAAATTTCATTTAATAGCATTATGATTTTTCCATGAATAAAAATAAATTGAGTAATGTGAAAAATGCGTTTATATGGAAACTTTGATTATATTGAGATATTAAAATTTAAATACCACGATAAAATTAATTTTTCTAAACAATTATATATTTCTTAAAACGCAATTAAAAAGCAAGTTTAATTTATTTTTTAAATTGTATCCTTATATGTATACATGTATATTCAGATCTTTTAATATTAATTAAAAAATATCAATAAATAATAAGAAAAAATAAATAGAAATTTAAAAAGATTAAATCCTTTTGTAACACTTATTCTTTTTACTGTTTTTATCCTTTATTTGATATATTAAATATTTAGTTATTTATCTAAAAAATAAAATTTATATTGTGCCTAATGTTTTGCAAGAAAATTGCGTAAAAAATCAGGTTTATCTCATTAAAGTTAAAATGTATCCATATGTGAATAAAATATGTTCATGTACACGTCAGAGATCAGATACCCTACTTATAGATATTACAATATTTCAAGCTAATTATAACGTATCGACACTCTCAAAATAAAATTATAGGAGCTTATTTTAACTTGTTTAACTCATCTAAGTTTGTGCAATCAACTCTTTATATATCTTTTTTGCGAATATTCGCGAAATAGGACAAACATGTAAACAAGTCTATGTACTTATAATTTCTAAATATAGCGAAAGAGAAGGAGATCAGAAAATATAAATGTTTAAAGAGTATACTGAATTTTGTGAGTCAATATGTTTATACAAATATTTTGAAAGCATGCAAGACAAGATCGTAGGGTGTAAAGAAAAATGTTATTAATTTTACCAATTTGCGGTATGTCGTATTGAATGCTTCCCCGGGTGTTCCTCTTCGTCATGATTTGTGAGGCGAAGCTCGAATCGGCCGACGGTATCGAGGACGGTTGAGTCTGTTGTCCTGGAGATTCTCCCTGGCCATCGATCGAACGCCGTCCGATTACTATCTGACTCCGCTTGTTTCCAGGTAGCTTGACAGTCTCGTAAATGAAAGCCCAAGGGGCGAAGCCACTGTTTGGAGGCAAATTAAAGGGAGAAATGCCGCTGTCGGCGCGCGCGATTTCAGTCTTCATGTTGACCGCGGTGTTATATCTTGGCTCCGCGTAGAGATCGTGATTAGATTGTCTGGGTTCTTGAAGGCCGATGGCAGTTCTCCTGCTGGCCTCGTCGCACACCGGTATCGGCAGGCTGAGCGGACCCCGCGGATGTTTACAGCCCAGACGCCGTTTCTTCACGAGAGGCTCGCGATCGTGATAATAGAGATGCCGCTGGTAAATATCGTCCTCGTCCTCGCGCGCAAAAGGATCAGCGATCGTCAGCGATTTCTGCGACGTCATGTGCTCGGAATAGAGCATGGCGGTATTCACAGCGGGGTTCAGCACGGCGGGAGACACGGTCGGCTGCGTGAGAGAGAAGAATGCTTTCTGAAGCGCTTGCCCTTCTTGGATAATATCCTCGATCAACATGTCCGTGATATGCGGCGACCACGTATCTGAGTCGTCGTTCAAGACTAGCCAGCTGGACAGATCCTTCCGATGAGGACCGTCGGTAGGAGTTATTCCGCCGTGCAACAGGTCGTCTACTTCCAAACTTCTCTTTTTGATGCCGCTACTTCCGTAGCGATAGTCCAGTCCCTGTGCGACTGGCACCTGTACGATCGTAGGTCGATTGCCTACTGCCACATCTAGACCTTGTCCCACATAAGTTAGAAGCCAGAACACGCAAATCGCCATTTTGCTGATTATTTAATGCTCCGTTTTTCAAATCGGTATCTCCTCCGTTTTTTTTTTCTTTCTAGTCTTTCTTTATATATATATGTATATGTATATGTATATTTATATTTCTTCTCTCTCTCTCTCTCTCTCTCTCTCTCTCTCTCTTCTGTTTTTTCTACAATCACTTTTTTATCGCGTACGATTGTACAACTGGGCGTTATAATTGACTTACATGAAGAGCAACAACAAAGTTTTTTGTTTCTTTTTTATTTGTTCACCTTCTTCAACTCTGCGTTCTACTCACTGCCAGTCTGAAGGCACGTCAGTAGCGATTCTGAGTTTAGGCCGACTTTTTATTTGAACTCGCGATACAATAGGAAACTGAGGATAGCGCGTGTGTATGCATGTGTCAATTGTGTATAGGCAGATATGTATGTATGTATGTATGTTCAAAGTGAGTAAATATTTCAGGGCAGTTGATTGATACCGATGAAAGGGAGATCGAAGGTAAACCTGATGAGAAATCACAAGCGGCGATTTGTTTTTAACACAGTGATGAATTATTGCATAGAAAATGCAATACCGATGTAATCATTTATTGACAGTGACGTCTCTAATAAATGGCAACCGGGAGACTTGTTTATGTTGACAATTTTTCAAGTTGCAAAATTCGACAACAGATCTTGTTTTCTCTCTCGCTCTCTCTCTCTCTCTTTCTCTTTCTCTCTGTCTTTTATTAATTTTTCTTTTTCTTCTTCTGTCTCTATTAAGGATAAGTCGTTGACTTGAATGCACGGTGTATCAGATTTGACATTTGATTGCGTTATGCGCTCGCCCCCTTCTAATCAATACGCCTCACTTTCGGCAGTCCATGTTAGCATAGTCGCGACCTTGGCTTTCCCTTCGTGATAAAGTGCACACCTGTCCTGTACCGACTGTCCTGAAAGCAGGTTGTTAGTAGAAAATAAACGTGCGATACAGCCTACAACCGTAAGTGCCAGGAACACAAAAAGATTTGTGGTGGTTTTTACTTTTCTTTTATTTACTTTTTTCTCAGGGTATTCAACAGTGCTGCGACGTGGTATCGGAGGTGCTGGAGATGGTATCAGAGGTGCTCATCGTGGTGTGGTGCTCAGGTGCTCATAGATGCGAAAGGTGCTCGGTGTGTGGACAACATTTAAACCAATCGATGTGGTGCCACCCATGTGAAACGCTCGCGATCATTTTTCGTGCGCCGAGAAAGCTATCACAATCGCTCTCTCAATGAGAGAGACCCTCTCCTCGTTCTTTCGGCGTCGTTTCCTTATCCGCTTACCTTAACATCTTCATCTCTCTTTCTCTTTCTGTTCTCCCTCTCTGCTCTGCCTAACCCCTTTCTTTCTATTCTTCTTCTCCGTCCCATCCCTATCTCTTAAGTCTGCTCACGTATCGATTATGTACATACATATCGTTCGTTTCTCCACAAAGATAGAGTAAAACCACGACGCGAGCAACGGATCGCGATTAATAATCATAACGCTAATGATCATAAACAATTCTCTTTTTTCTCTGCGGCGCGTGATGTGTGTCCGTTCGCTTGTAAATAACCGCGCCCCTGAGCGTTGTCCGAGTTATATGATCCAAGGTAATGTCGCAACGAGATAAGAACGGCACGTGACAATGAGAAGTAATTTTCGCGTGCCACGCTGCAGAATGACTTAAGACTACTATTCTGCTGAATGTTTTGTATCAATAAAAGACCATTGCATCGCGAAATTTGCAAACGGTGCGTGGGATTTAGATTTTCTTGTTATATATATACCATTATGTTTTTATATAATATCTAATCTCAATATAGACTTATAAATCCGATTTATTAGCGGTAATTTTCACAAATGCGACCTAGTAAAATTATCAAAAATTATCGTATAAAATTAAAAAATGCACTGTTTTATAAAAAACATCATCCGCGCGATATAATCAAATGATTTCTAATCATCATCATCACGTATAATTTTGCGCTGTTTATCTGTGACAATTGAGAAATAGTCGAACAGGAAAGAAGATAAAGAAATACTTAGTAACTTTATCTCGATATGATTCAAGAAGAATTCGTTCAGAATGTCGTTCTGAAAGCTGCGTAATCGCGCGCGTACAATACACAAAAAAAACAGGTTTGCTATTATATGACCAGCAAGAAAAATTTGCTAAGTCTACTGAATGTTTTGTTGTCAAAACAAAAAATTCAATAGGCTTAGCAAATTCTCCTTATTGGCCATGTGGTAATATTGTTACAATTAATTTTGTTATTCCAGTAAAAATGGTTTTTTTGTGTAGATGTTCCGAAACGTCGAACGAGATACGATGTTACTCGCGCGAACAGCATCGACACGCCAAGCGTGACAATAATTGTGTATCGAATCCGCGCGCCGTATCCGATGACTCGATCGTATGACGATGCTGGGGTGACATAATAATGTGGATAGCAGTGTAGTATGTAGGTCGGTCATATCAACAGGTGCCCCGAAAAACGTTCAAAAAGCAAAGGCTTGCCGTGGCAGAGAGCGGTGCGCGATTGTTTGTCGGTGCGAGACGCGGGAAGGCAATACACGAGCGAGTGTTTTGCGACAAAGGTACAACAGAGTATAGAACAAAGGCAGAGAAAAAGGTACATACCGACATATACTATATATAGTGAGGATGTCGGCGTGAGAGACGCCCAAAATACAGATAATACAAAAAATTACGCGAGGTTTATCGATATAGGAGGTGCAGTGAAATACACGCGGGGCATTACGTGATAATACTTGCTTCTCGATTTCTCTCGCTGTCTTTCTGCCGTGCCTGCGTTTTTCCCCCGAGCTTTCCTTCGATCTCCCGCCTCGACCTTTCTTCTTTCCAAAGAAACCCTCCGCTCGTCGTTCCCTGATGTTGCTCCGCGCTCTCCTTTCCTTATTTTATCTCCTTTCTCTTCTTTCTCACTTTCTTTTCTTTGATTTTGATCTTTTCTTTCTTCTTTCCGCTTCTTTCTCTTTTATATTTGCTTTTGTTTCTCGTTCTTTCCAGCTTCTGTTTCTCTATTGTTTTCTTGATCCGGGAAGAGAAGACGTATCTTTCCGATGTTTTTGTCTTTATCAGTAAGTGTCCAGCTGTCAGACTGACGCTACTTTCGACTATGATTGTTGTGCATTTCCTCTTCTGTTTTCTCTTTCCAATTGTCGATGTTGCAAGAGTGAGTAAAGACTATGTAATCGTCCCGATGTACAGCACCCCGTGCAATCATACCACGTATAACGTTGTCTGGTCACACACGGCGGGACGCGATTCATTCACTGACATTTTCGCACGGAGCGCTCCGCTTCCGTACAGCCGCTCATATGGGCGTGTGATACCTGGCGCGCGCGCGCCCGCTTGCTCGCCCGTGGGTGTGCGTGTGTGTATCTGGGATTACACCGAAGGTATACGGGAGTCGTGATATCAGAGGCACTCGAGAGAGAAGTTCTCCAGGTGGTTGTAATGATTCCGTATGTTTTTCTCTCTTACAGCGTCTCTCTGTCTCTCTTTCCTCCCTCTTCTCTCACTTCTTTTACCCTCTCTTTCTGTTCGTCTCTAACTCCACGATGATGTCCGGTCTTCGGCTATAATCGCGCGCGGCGCTATTTCAAAGGTTAAAGGCTGTTTCCCGCGTCTGCCCGACTTCTCGTGCTGACGTCGCCGACGACGATCTCGACCGGCCGTGCCGGTGTTGTTCTATTGAGCGACAAGTCCGTCGTTCTTTTGTACTGTCTAGGTTTCTCTCGCTCGCTCGATCGTCTCCCGCGATGCGTACTCTCTCCGTTCGCCCGCTCTCTACCCTCAGCTGGTTGCACCGCTGTTTGCACCCTCGCGAACGTTGTCGTCGACGCGGTACTACTAGCGATGTTTGATAAAATTTTCTCGTAAAAATTTATTGCGGTCGTCCGGCCACCTTTCTTTCACCAGGTTGGACTTTCGACTGACGGGAAAAGCACGACGACGGAATGGTGAGGAGGTTGCGGCCGTGGATGGTTGCTTTGTTGGTCGAAGGTCGGGGGATGTGGAGGATCGAAGGGTTGGGACGGTGGGTTACTTGGGCGAGTGAGCTGCCTGGCGCCCTCACCAGAACTAACTCCCACGCGCGCTGCGCGACGAGGACCCGCGCTTCAATACAACGCGCATTCTCCCGGTGCAACCCCTCTCTTCACGACTCCCTCAGAGATGGGGTAGCTCTCACCCTATCTGCCGCCCGGCTGGCGTCTCTCCGCACTTCGCCAAGCGTCGCCTCCACTTCGGCCGTGCGACGCGCCCATGAACGGATTAAAGCTGCCGCCAGTCCTAAGCATCCCCGGATTACACACCCCGCGACTTCGTATGACGTTTTGTATGGCGATAGAGAGTGGTAAGAGGTGGTGTGCTACCGGATGTAGAGTATCACCATCCTCGTTTGCGCGATCACTATTCTTCATCCGATAATTTGCACGCATACGTATTACATATGTGACGCCATTCGCGCTGATATCGTCGTGTCGGCGCATATTCTCAGCCTCTGCAATTCGGCGGAGAACACAAAATATGTAATGTAGAACATTTCGCGTTTGAAAAAGATGATAATATTTTCTCAGCGCGAGATTCTGAATTATCCGTTTTCACAAACACAAATTCATCATTGACGACAGCTTCACTCCTTTATTAAGCAGAGATTCTGCAAAATTAAGCAGAAAGGATTCTGAATCCGACATTCGCAATCCCTGTAAAATCTAGCCCTACCTGTTTTAGCCTCAAGGTCGGATGTCTGAACGTGCTTGCCTAATCGTAACTACTTCATTTCTATCTCTTCCACGTAGTCATCAACTGACGCACGTTCGTTCTTTTGATCACTGTTCGGCCACGCACGTTCTAGGATCCTGCCTACGTTCGCTAGGGATCGTTCGGGCTCTCGTAAATGTAACTGCGACTTTCGTGGGAGTATTTGCGGATGACGTTAACCGACCTGAATTTTCCCCGAAAGACATGTACAAAATTGGCCACCCCAAATTGCCTTGACTCCGCGTCCGCGATGTCAGCGCCTCAGTTTTCATTAATTGTCAGTTTCACTCAATTAATATCTCTTTTATTTTGATAGATAATGGATATTAGTAGTTACACTATGTAACTTAGCTACACTGTTTGTCATTGTAGATTAAAGCGTAAACGTATAGGTATGTACGTAAAAAATTACGTTTTCTATTAAACTTTGGATTTTTATAATTTATCAACTATATTTATGATCCTTATTTTAATATCACCTTCGTAATAACGTTTGAATGAATGAATACACAAACTTGACCCTTACTATTAAAAAAACGCAAAAGGCAATAATTAATTTTCCTTATTTTTTCTTTAAAATTGACTTGATTAAATAGTAAAATAGTTGATAAGATTAAAAATGTATTAAGAATTATTATATTTTTTGTAAAGTTATATTATTTTCTCCGCAATTCTCTTCGAAGCTAAAAATAGAAAAAAGACATTTAATTGTCAGAAATCAGTAATACAAAAGATCGTTAATATAAACAATTCTCATGCTTCTAACGAGTTTTGTGTGTGAAAAATGAAGAGAAAATATTTTTTTAACATATCGCTGTCAATGTCTCTTATTTTCATTATTTATATATCTTGTTTTATTTCCGACGCATCGATTCTAAGTTTATGTATTTATAACCAGGTTTCGTTAAATGTTAACGGTGGTTTGTCGTACGTCAAATAAATAATTATTGAGTTTGATATTCGTTGCCGAGAAAATGATAGATTGCACAATAAGGCTGAAAAACTATCATAATTTTTCACTGATTATACTAATTACTTTTTCTGCATTGTAACAAATTATTATGTAATGCGTGTCATTTTTTATGCCAAAAAAAACAAAAAAAAACAGAAAATATATCTTTTGTTATAAATAAATATATATACATGTAACAAAAACATACTTTAAACTACTAACATACTAAACTATATTTGCTTGACACTTTTTTATTGTCACAAGTGATGAAAAGATAAGAGAGAATTTTTTTTTTTGGAGATATAAAATAAATAATAGATAGTAGGATGCTACTAATGACGTGAAACGTAAATGTTGCTCAGAAACGTAACCTTTTAATTGCACAGACACAGAAAAACTTATACTTCTCGATAACTTTTAATGAGATATCCGTCTACCGAATCTCTAGAGACTCGGATATTGCAAATAGCTAGCCTTGAGTACGACAGAATATTACGCGGCTGAGTTATACACAATCTTGTTTAGCAAATATTTTAACAATAAATATGCATAGATTTTTTCTATTTTGCACACATGAAATTCAAGAGGAGAAGGTCAAAGATCAATTTACATATGCGTTGATGTGCGGTGAAAGATACGTTATTTGTTCGACACATGTTACTGAATCAAATGGTACTATTAATAAAATAACAAAGCATCTACGATATGTATCTGACACGTAACAACAAATGCAAATATTGATAGCAATATAATATGGAATAACAATTAAAATTTGCTCTCTCGGAGATATTTTCACAAAGAGCAAACAATGGAATATCGACTACTATTAACATTTAGCTTATATTTATTTGCGCGGTACTCTTTAGTAATAATCAAGACAAAAACGTATTCTCTTTTTTGTATAAAGATGCGTGTATGTTTTCATATTGCAATAATCCAACTCGGCGATTCAGAGCGCAAGTAATTACGTGTCGGTGCAATTTTTCAAGCAAACGTAACTTGTCAATCGAAAGGTGACGATCGAAGCGGAACTGCTATATGAATGTTTTACGTCAACTGAAGCTCTTTTTGCAGATCGCGCATTCGCGATGCGTTCGAGCATATTCAGGCGCACACATGGTTGCGTATCAATAGGAGTCGTAAACTTTGCCGTTAAAGCCAAGAATAATGAAGAAAACAGTACATTGCATCGTGTTCGTTAGCCTGTGATTACTCCTGTATATCAATATTGTTTTAAAGTTTTTATAATCAAAAGCAAGCGTTCATATTTTGTTAAGAAAATTTGATATTTTCAGAGTTCCAAATTCATTCAGTTGTACAACAATATGGTACTATAAACAAAAGATGTGAGAACGAGAGAAAAAGAAAGAGAAAAGCTTATTTTCACATTTGTCAAACTTTCATCTTATTTTTAATTATGTACAAAGATGTAAATATAATTTTAGAATTTTACAGTAACGCAAATTCTAAATTATTAGGTATACATTAAAAATTATCTTGTTGGTAGTAAACTTAAATGATTAGTTTCTCTTTAAAAAAATAGTGGTAGACATTTACAATTCGCTTTTGCACATAACGTCGACGAATTATTAACTCTCTATAAGTGCTGATCTCGCAGCCGCAACTATATATGTGTACATATATAAGACTTGTAAGTAATCCCACAATGAATATATATATACATATAACATTCGGTCTGTCATATTAAAAAAATCAACAACAGGAATCCAAGTTACGATCCGTCGTTGTATTTATTATAATTTATGCGAGTCCTACCGTCACGAGAGAAGGAGCGGCCGTGTCGTAATTTCTGAAAAACGTAATCCTCAAACTAGTGGGAAGGGCGAGCAGATTAATGGTACACGAGAGATTTGGGGAATTTGCGTTAAAGAAACATTTTTTTTTTATACCATTGTTCGTATTGTCGTTTTAAATGTAAAATACACACAAGCAAGGCATGAATATGTACGAAGACAAATATAAAAGTAAGATAAAGAGAAGAGAAATTTATTTTTTTTAATGTGTAGAATAATTCTTTAGTGTGTCCAATGTTATTCACTCTCTTTTAAATTATGGCCTCGATTTTATGCTTTTCGTCATTGATTCAGCAAAGCACCAGCTGCCAGTGTTAGTCGGATAATTTAAGCCCGATAACACGATGACCGTTGCTCCGTCAGAACAAAAATGAAAAAGAAAACTTTTTTTATTAGAGTCGATAGTCCGTCTATCGTGGATATGTGCACTTGTGCTATCTCGTATGTGCACTAAAGAAAATATTACTAACATAACATATAGTTGTGTGTGAACTAACGACCGCATCGTGACGATGTCTATTCAGTTGCGGCTGCACAAAAAAATTGACATCAGTCGATAAAGATCGGCGAAGTGCAGCAGAGTTCACTGTCAGCGATTAAATTTATCGAAAAACTGGAAAGTCGTTACAAATATAAAGTCAAAGCTTTTCAAAAATATTTATTTTGTCTCCAACATACTCTTTTTGGCTTTTCTACTATATCTTATTTTTATCACATGATTAAATTTTACTTATACAATGTTGTACATGTTTGTCTTTAAGATACTCTTCAACTTTTTGCACTTTCCGTATCAATGAAAAATCCGACAAAAGAAATTATAGCGTTTTTTATGATATATTTAAATATACAAATATAAAAATGTACAATATAATTTCCAGTTACATAAATTGATTACTTTAATTTAATACCTACTATATACAAGATGTATGAAATTGTCAAACACATTAGTTAAGCTACATAGAGAATAAATAAATACAATGAAAATATATCGGCTTTTCATTACCGTTAATTAATCGGAGACAATTACTGAGCGTCAAGTCCTAGTTATTACGATTGAATACTTCGATAATTCAATTTTCATTAAAGCAAAATTGTATTATTACCTATTTGAAAAACACAAGGTTCTATTGGAAAATTTTATTACACTTACTGTTTGAGAAAAAAAAAGTTCTAACATTTATAATGTTAAATGTAGATATAACATAAAAGTTTCTTTAAAATATAATATATAATAAATGTATACATTAAAAGTTTCTTTTAATATAACATATTATTCTTTTCTAATTTATATTCTAAAATAAGGCTACGTGACGGGATGTTTGTGAGAAAGCATATCTCGCTCGGTATCTTTTTCTTTCTACTTCTTTCTTTCTCTATTCGATCGCTTGCTATTCGCTCGCATGACGTCAAGAGTCAGATAGCTCCGTTCTAGAAGTAACCAAATAATATCTATAATCTATGTATGTGTTTTTTGAAAAACATCTTGTATAATTCTCGAACTAAATATATCATATACTTATAGCTATAATATATTTAATAAATATTTATCTTTTGGAATTCTGAGAATTATTTGCAAAGCTCGAAAATTGTTGTGAAAAACACACTTGCATGTGTGTACGCGATAACTACTTTGAACTTTCACATTTTCTACTATCATCATCCTAAGTTAATCCTAACTTTGCTCTTGAATGATTGGTTCACGCGATAGCAATGAATGCACTATATCACTGATGTATATATACATATGAGAAAGCATGCAATATCGAGTGATTCTTTGTATTATAAACGATTATGATCGAGAGAAAGCATTTAAAAACGAATTCTGTATTTTCCGCGACTACGTAAGTAATTAATCGACGATAAAAGTAGCAATAATTAATATCAAAATATTGAGATAATTTCGACACAAATATCAACTTTATATATGCGTTACCTTAATATTTAAATTGTTTTGACAAAAGATGTAAGATATCTTATAAAAATTTCAATTCGATAACGTTTAAAATTAGATATTTAACTTAATGTTTAAAATCAGATATAATTATAGCTTTATTATATCTTACTTATTGATTGAAGCAGTAATATGAGTAACATTAGAAGCTCGTGAATCATAGTATCTCCAATTACCGTGTCATATCACTTCAACATACAGTATGAGTGAAAACGAATAATAGTATCAGTACCTGATATGACGTATTGTTAAAATCACATACAATGCCTTGAATATTAAGTGTACGTGTAAGATCCACATGATCAGATACAACAAAGGAAAATTGTATATTTATTTTATATCAAATTTTTTTTCAGAGAACTACGCGTAAATTATGCAATTAATTACTCTTGTTACATGTAATAATATTGGTTTTAAAACTATTGTTGATATATTATGTGTTTCTCGAAAACTCGAAATCTCTATTTTTTAATCCCGGAGAACTTATGTATTTTATTTTTTCACAAGAAAAAACAAAATCAAGAGAAATTATTTTAATCTCTGATATATGATATATGATAATATGAGAGACAAATGTTAACAGAAAACGGATGAAAGCGGGTCGCAGCCTTTCCGCGATAAAGTGTATCCTTTTCAGGGGTGGTGACAGCGTCCGTTTTAGAAGCTTATTTACTACAGATACCGGCTACCGACGGAAAATTATATGATAACGCGATTCTTCTTTCTCACTTCTTGTGCGGGAGAAATCGCTTTATCTCTAGCATAACAGCCGATGACGAGCCTTGTTTCATGCGGACGAACATATGTACAAGCGGGATACGCACAACACGCATAGGAAAGATTTTTGTGCGTGGGTGGGGAGCGAGAGCATAAAAGCACGCGTAAAGAAAAGCGCGGACGCTTTTGTCGTGTTTGCCCGTGGCCCGCCGATCGTATACCACCACTGATTGTGCAAAAGAGTAGTAGTGATAAGTAGTTAGTTTTACCGCACTCGGGAAAAAGAAGCCATGGGGCTTACGAGAGCGGCCGTCTACGCCGGCTGTCTCCTTCTGTTCCTAGCAGCCGAAGCCTCGGGCAGTAAGTAAAGCAGAGAAAATGCATCTCGTCGCTCGGAGCTCGTTTCTTTCCGCGAAAGTATCTTTGGTACTTCCGGTTCTACCCTCTACAGAAACTGTATGACGTTACACGTGCACGTTCATTTATTCCGGTTTTTATACGTATGCAAGTGTAAAAGTTATTAGACTGAAGCAATGCTTCGTGTTTCCATAAACACGAAGTTCTCTTCAAAAACATACAATAATATTTGTACGACACGAAGCGTCGTACTCTTGAGTAGTACTCGAAACAATCTAGAAATATATTTTCTACAATCATCCTACGTTAAAACACTTATACTTCAACAATCAACTAGCTCTACAAGAAATAACATTATTTTAATTATACATATACATAGTTTTTTTAAAAAGTTATTAAAAGTAATGTAAAATTAGTAAAACTAAAGCTAAAAAACTTTTAGATTCAACTGACAAAAGATGCGAAATTGTTTTCGAAGTTATTCTTTGAAGTCGAAACAAGAATTATTGATATCGCAATGGACACATTTCGTATGTAAAAGTTGTAGCGTAAACTCTTATCTTTTATTTTTTTTCTTTACAAATACCAGTTGTATTTTCTGAACTAAAACTTAGTAGTTTTCTTTCTCATTCAATTTTACTTGAATTAATCTATGTATATTTATATAATACTTACATAAGTTTTATATATATTCAAAAACGCGCTATATATATATATATATATAATGGTATCTAGTTGCGTTTTAAATCAAATATAAAGATACACACCGCGTGTTCTTCTTGAGCACAGCTTTTGAGAAGACCGGATGACTTCGATGAGTCTTAATTTTTCTATCAAATTAAAGATTATTGCGCGAGTTGATAGAAAGGGTCAACGCGCTCAATGCGGTCAGGATTGAATATCATAAGGTTACTTGCGGTGTCAAGGATAGAAATTATCATCACGAATGAATGTCGAAATAGGTGATATTTTCGTAAGTGTTTAAATAGAATTTCGAGAGAAATGTGATTACAGAATATCCGCTATCACACACATTTATCCGCTCTCTTACCTCTTGAGACACAAAAATATTTAACTGTTTTGCAATGTCGTAATTCTGTTGCAATAAGAGAAAATTGACTGACAGCTAGCATTAGATGCATTTTAATCTGATTCGTAGTAGAGGGGAAATGTTAATTTTCTGAATGGCCGTTTGCTCTTTTTGCCGCTTTTGCCCCTGCTGCTGTTGCTACTATGATTCATTCATTAATATGCTTTTATTTGTTTTTCCTGTAGTTAATTTGTTATTTTCCATGCTGTATCTTAAGTTCTTCCGACTGTTCCTAGATTGTATTTCAGAAACATTCAGTAAATCAAAATTATAATTTTTTTTATATTATCTCTTATTTGTTTGTTTTTGTTTTTATAAATAAAGCGTATAGAAGTTCTCTTATCAGCAATTAAAACTTTGTGATATCTGTTTGTTAAACTAGAAGAAATGTGATGAGAGAAATTAGTTTCCGATTAAATTATATAAGAGAGAGTTAAAAGAGACGCGATAGCGGATACGCGAATTAGATTTTCATTAACAACTATATATAATAGAATTTCAAAAAAGTGTTTAAGTTAAAAAGCTTAAAATATTTTCTGTCCGATATAAACACGTTCGTATAAACATGTTTTATTAATAATCGATATTATGTTTATATTCTCGACAATATAAAAAATTTTGTTCAAAGCTGTTCTGCTTATAGGACTTTATTACGCATGTCTTTATATTTTCCTTCAATGTTTTTAAAAAATCGATAAGCAACTTGTACTTTTTACATTGAATATAAAATCATGAAAACATAAATAATTCATTTCAGTATTTTGTGCGAATAAATCATAATAAGAGAAAATAGAGTCAAAATTACGAGACACGATATTCAATATCGATAGAATCGATAAAGTACACGCTCTTGAGTATAAAATATGTAAATAAGAGAAATACGCGAAACTAAGTTTATGCGACAAACGCAAAGATATCTTGTATATTCTAGAAGTAACAAGTAGTAGTTCGTCCATAACTTATTGGTGCTCTCTTGGAACGAGGTCCGTATCATTGAAACGATTACAGGTCCCCCGTGTTTGACCGGACATTTGGTGAATTGATCCGACGTCCCTACATCCCAGTAAAATAGATCCGATCTGGTTGTTGCGCCGTAATAAACGTTCTTTCATCGCCGCGTTTTTAAAGTAAAGGGAACGTAAACCGACGACTTTTCTCTTGTCTATTGTGGCTCGTTTAAAATGGCATTAAACAGTGAATCCGATTGCAATCGTTGCTTTCTGTCGGCGATATGTTTTTTTTTCGAATTGCTTGGACTCGTCGACGAGAAACACAACCGCGCGAAACACAATAGAAACAATGCTGAGAGAGATGAACTTTTTCACATGAATCCCTTTTCTCTTTTTTTTTTAAGCGTATCTCTCCTTGCGTTGCGTCGCTCAACAGCTATTGACAGTGCATTAAATTCCGTGATAAATAATTACAATGGTCGGCTTGTATTCGAGAAATGAAGAGACGCGATTGTCGGGTTAAAAATACGAACAGAAAGAATACGGGATCATCGAGGAGAAAAATCGACGTTTAAACGCGACGTCAAATATAATGCGTGAAAGATATACACGCACACATAAAGAGCGTCTCTAAGCAGATGACACATGAAAGTGAATATGCACTTGATCGCTTACAGTAAATTAGCGTAATGCATACCTTTAAACAATACAATGAGAGCAAAGCACTTCTAATCGCGTCACGCACATTAGGGGACGATCATTGTGAAGAGTTAAAGGTTGCAATTGTTAAATTATAACAAAATTCCGAGACTTTCTAAATAAGTTTTCAAGTTTGAAATAAAAATGTAAATATATAAATATTGATTTGCATACTATTTACGAAATAACAAAAATTAACGACAATTAAAAAATAATTGGTATAATCATAAACTCCATCTCAACGAGTTACATTGTTAATAATGTATATTTTTTAAAAAATAAAAACGATATTTTGCATTTGATTTTAAAAGAAAAATATTATATTTTTTACTTTTTCTTGATTCGTTTATTATCCTCTTTTTCCCTATTGAAGAAACGCTTCTCTTTACTTTTGTCACATCTCATCTCTTTTCTTTATATTCTTTCTTTATTTCTTCGAATCGCTTTACTATTTCATCCTTCCTGTCTTTTTTATGTCGACGGCGTTTATATAAAGTGCAATCTATAATTATACGTGATTATGTACCACTTATAATAAATTGTAATAGTCTTGTTTACTTAACGCGTAAGCGATATGTTAGATTTGCAAAAAAGTTTAAAACAAACTCGATTGCGATCAATTTGTTTAGTAAGAACGTCTTAAGAAATACAATTTTAATGTAAAATTGTTAAAACAAGTAAGACTGTACACAGATATAAAGATAGATCTGTTTTCAGTTTGTGAACTTTAAACATCCGTTATTTCTTCATATTATTGATATTAGTAAGTGATATTTTTTCTCAAAAATAATAATAGACAACTAATATCACTAATAAGATGATTTTTCGATTGTACAATTCTTATTATTTAACATTTAATAACATTACATAATCACTATAGAAATAAAACGATATGCAATAATACTTATCTGCGGTCTTCTGTATGTTTTCGCTCAGTTTATACTATACAATTTTTATCACTAGTATTTTTTTCTTTAATATAAATGCGAGATAAATTTACGGTCAAAGATTAAAGCTCCTATAATAAATATCAAATATTAATCAAATATTTGGTAATAAGTTTACTGATTTCTTTAACATATACATATATTTAATTAAAATTAATTTAAAAATTATATAATTAATTTAAATAATAATAATTTTTTAGCTTTTAAATATTTTTTGTGCACACACACACTTATGTTTATACAAACTCTGTGATGTCAAACATACAAGAAAATATACTGTTAAATTACTAAAAATATACGATTGATTAACGAAGTCGCGTCTATTACGCGAAAGTCATCGGCTTTGTTCGAAGCAATTTAAATATCAGAAGGTGACACTATTGTGGCGTACTATTAAATTGGTATGCGGGTACTTGGCAAGCTGTATCGAATAAAAATGGAAGTTCCATGGTCCAGGGTTAAGAAAGTCACGATTAACGTGCGTTATCACAGAGCTCGACCTCGAGTTCACTCTCGATGCATAAATATATTTTTTTCCGAATTAATCTGCGTCAAAGCATAATAGATTATGACCGGTCGTTTCTGTTTTTGCCCATATTATCAATACAATTCGAAAGTTGCATTAATGTAAATTTTCATATAAAGCAAACTTTTTTAAGTAATAAAAAAATTGCCAATTTATATATATAATAAAATACTAAATTTATATCTCAAATACTCTTACTTCAATTTTATATTTTCTCGTTTTGTGATTTCATGTAGTATAAAATTCTACAATTTTACAATTTGCATAAGAGTATGTTAATATGTAAAATTAAAATTATTATTTTCTTTAATTTAATTATATTTATCGTTATTACGTGTATTTTTTAATGATTATAATAGAATAATAAATCTAAAACATGTCGTAATCTTTACAATTAAAAGTATTTAAAAATATATATATACATATATATATATATAGCTAAAATAACACATAAACGTCATAATGATTCTACTTTTGTTACAGATAAATGTATAGCTGGCTGCCATGGAAGTAAGTATATTTGTATTTAAATTTTTTATATATAAATATTAAGTTTATTATAATGATTAAAAATTTATATATATAGTCAAATTGAGAGAGAATATAAGCATATAATATTTTTTATGTCTAAGCAGAGAAAATTTTACTGTAAACTTAAGTGTTTAAGTTTAATTTTATAAGTATTTTCTCGTATGTTTCTTTCAAGTGAATGGAGGAAAAGCCTATCAAGAAGGACAGACATATGTATACGATTTGGAAGGAACGTCTGTAACATCAGTTCCTGATACTGCAGATGAAGCTACTCTCAAACTGAAGGGTACCGTAGAATTGTCAGTGAAGCCGGACTGCATTCGACAGATCCGATTAAAAGGCGTACAAATTAATGGAGCTGTACGTACGCTATATCTATCTTTTCTATATCGCGCATGGATTTTCCAAATCTATACTCTTAAAAAACTTTGTAAAAGATAAATAGTAGAAATGTGAACTATAGAGTAATATGCGACGAGAGAACTATAATTTCAATATTTTTCACAAACTTAAAATATAAAAAACTTTTTAATTTAAAAGTTCTTCTGTTCTAAATGGTGTTTCGTAAAATATAATATAAACTTATTATATATTATATATATTAATATAATATAAACTTATATATATTAATATAATATAAACTTTTGATTAATCTTTTTTCTCAATTAAAATTAACGTGCAGTGGTTTAAAACTCGTGTCGTCATAAAATGTACATATGTTGAAATGTACGTAAAACTTTCTGTTACACTTGTATAAAAACATTTTCTATATTTAATAATAAACAACTATTGTCTATTTAATTATAAATATTTGTTTTGCAATATCAAAAAGGTCAAAACTATAAATATATAATGCTTACATTTATTTAGCCGATACTTACTTTTTTAGCCAATATCATTGTCAGATGTTGAGAAGCATGCGCTGCAATTCAACTATCACGATGGTCATATCGATACGGAGGTGTGTGCCGAACCTGGCGATTCGCAGGAATCTCTTAATATTAAGAGAGCTGTTGCCTCCTTGTTCCAGTCAGCTGTCATTCAAGATTCTGGAACGACATCTCATCACGAGGTAGAAATTAAATTTTTCTAAGCTAGCTGGCCACTATATAAACTTGATCTTAAATTGAGAGTCATATTTATTAGCATAAAGATATGTATAACGCGCGTTATACATGCGTCGTTTGTCAATTTCCAGGTCGATGTGTTTGGTGGTTGCAAGACTGACTTTACATTCAAGAAGAACGGCGATTCGCTGATTGTCCATAAGGAGAGAAATCTGGCTCGTTGTTCTCATCGCGAAAACATCAGAGAAGGCCCGGTGTCCGCGATCTACGATCAAACATCTGACATTCAATCGGCTCCATTGGTATCGTCGCACCAAAAGATTGAGCAACGTTTCGACAATGGTGTACTGGCCAAAGCAGTCTCGGTCGAGACTTACAAACTGAATCCATGGAGCAACGGGGAGAACGGTGCTAAGACAATCGTGCAGACCATTTTGACGCTCAAGAACAAAAAAGGCGACAGTCCAAACGCTCCTGTTTCCCAGCCGAAATCCATCATCTTTGAAGCGCCGCATCCTGTCACCAAGTCGTCAGCTGATAGAATTGTTGCGGCTGTAAAGGCAGCAAGTGCCGAAGAGCACGACGGTGTGAAAGAAGACGCAGCGGAAAAATTTGCCGAACTCGTCAGAATTCTTCGTCTCAGCAGCAAAACCGACATACTCGCGGTCTATCAAAAAGTGAGAAGCAACGCTTTGGAAAAAAAAATTTTCCTTGACGGTCTGTTCCGTACCGGAAGTGGCGAGGCCGCGGAAGTAATCGTGGACTTGCTGAAGAATCGTGAGCTCAGCGGCGTGCAGGCTCTTTTGTTCTATGCCAGTCTGAGTTTCGTCAATCATGTGAACCTTCCCTCGGTAGTCGCTGTTACTTCTCTCCTCGATCAGCCGAACTTATCGCGTCTCGGCTATCTCGGAATCGGTCAGATAATCGGTAAGTTTTGCCAAGAACATCCCTGCGATAACGTAGCCGAGGTTAAGCAAGCCGTGCATAAAATTCGCGAGAAAGTTGGCAATGGAAAGGCAAAGACCAGAGACCAAGAAAACGTTATAGTCTCAGCTTTGAAGGCATTAGGCAACGCTCGCTATCTCGATGACGGCACGTTACAAAAACTGGCCGGCATTGCGGAAGACAAGAACGTGCGCAATCGCGTCAGAGTAGCTGCTATCGAAGCATTACCTACCCGCTGCTCTATGAAATGGAAAAACATTCTTCTGAAGATTTTGGATGATCAGAGCGAGGACAGCGAGATCAGAATCAAGAGTTATCTGTCTTTGGTTGCCTGTCCCTGCCCTCATGTTGCCAGCAATATCAAGAAAACATTGGACAAGGAAACAGTCAATCAAGTTGGATCTTTCATTCAGAGTCACTTACGTAACTTGCGAGCTTCTGCTGATCCAAATAAAGCTGAAGCGAAGAAGCAACTTGGCCTGATCAAACCACGAAAGTTTCCCGAAGATATCCGCAAATTCTCTTTCAACAACGAACTGTCGTACAATGTAGGTGGCCTCGGCGTTGGCTCTTCTACGGAGAGTAATGTTATCTATAGTCAGAATAGTTTCGTACCGCGATCTATGCATCTGAATCTAACTACCGAGATATTCGGAAGATCCTTCAATTTCTTAGAGCTCAACACGCGCGTAGAAAATCTCGATAGATTGATCGAACACTACTTCGGACCCAAAGGACTATTGAGTGAATTGGATGACGCGGATGACTTGGTCGACGAAGGAGTGAACAAGGTTATTGACATCTCAGAGTATGTCAGTAAAAAAACTAATAAACTACGTAGCAAGCGCGAAGTTAAGCCGGGAGAAATTGACAAATTTGCTAAAGGCGTGAAGCTGAGAAACACCGAGGTAGATCAGCAGCTCGACCTGGACCTATCAATCAAGTTCTTTGGTGTCGAACTGGCTTATCTAACTTACGACGGAAATCCCGAGCAATTAACACCAAAAAGTATGATTGACAAGATATACGAACACATTGAAAAAGGATTTGAAAAGATAAAGAAATTTGATTACAATTTGCAGAATCGCATACAGTTCCTCGATGCAGAGCTCATTTATCCGACAAATCTTGGTACGGCGCTGTCTGTCGGCGTGCTTGGAACCAGCGTGATTCACATAAAAACATACGGCAAGCTTGATATTCCGGCTATCTTAAAAGATCCGAAAAATACCGACATAAGCATCGGTTTGGAACCCAGTGCAGCCATTCGAGTAAGCGGCAACATGGTCGTTAAGGGATTCGATGTAGAGTCCGGGCTGAAAGTTGTCAGCACATTGCATCACGACACGGCAACCGATGTGTCAGTAAAATTCATGAACGGTAACGGTGTTCACATAACGGTCTCCGCACCGAAGAGGAAAGAGAAGATCATTAGTGTAAGCAGCGAGGTGCTGATGAGTTCCGGACCGAAAGGTGACACATATAAAGCTCCTAAGTTTAATAGCAAAGGCAGAGTATTCAAAGACTGCTTCGAGCAATTAAATGCAATATTGGGTATAACTGTTTGCGGTCACTTGGAGTTCCCTTACAACGGTATCGAATCGGTGCAGAAGAGAGCATTATTCCCCTTAAATGGACCAACAAAGTTCAGTATTAGGAATGATAACACAGACTTCTATAGCATTTATCTGAAAATCTTCCATGAAAAAACGGACAATTCTCGATCGCTCGAGATACTGTTGGATACGCCAAATAGCAAAACTAATAGACACGTGTCTTTAAGTGCCCAAATCGGTACCAAGCCTGACAAATTTGCTAAAATATCTCTCAATACACCCATCAAAAAAGCGTCCGCTGAGGCAGTACTCAAATCCAATCCTGAGGAAAATACGCTTACGATAACGGTACTGCACGACAACCAGGAATATTACGCGCGCGCTGGTCTCTTAGCTAATGGTCCCAAGTTCAAGCCAGTTTTGGAATACAAAATCCCGGAGCATATCGAAAAACTGGCAGATACGAAAAGCGGAGTGAAGACATCCCACGGTGGTGGCCAGCAATACAACATGCAAGGTGCTGTAGAAGTAGTCGATCAAGACGGCGGTAAGAAGTACGTGTTCGATAAGGTAGCTTTGGTTGGCAACGGCAACAAGATCGTTGGTTTAGATGGTTATGTTTTGCACACGAGCAACGCCGCCGACTTAGACATGAAGTTGAATTACGGAGAAGATTTCGTTGATCTGAAGTTAAATGCTAAAAAACTGGGTGACGAGCATTATTCGATCGGCGTTTCGGCGTTGCCATCGAGAGATCCCAACATGGGCTTTGAAGTCACGTATGAGGTCCGTAAGAATGAGCACGAATTCGAGAATAATCTGGTTTTTGTTCACGGTCCGGATTTGAAATCTACGATTAATCGATTTACTCTCAAACAATACCTTATCGCTAAACCTAATCAAAAAGGAGTAAACTTTATCTTAGGCGGACATAACAAGATCTCATATCCAACTTTAAAATTAAAGGCGGACTTAGAAGGTAAGATCACACCCAACTCCGTTAACAGCGATATCGAAATTACCTACGACAAATTCAAATTCGGCTCGGAGTTGAATGCCAAGCGACACACAGACAAGCAGGGCGATTACGAGCTTGAATTCGAGGTCGAACTCTTGCAGAATAAAATCAAAGTGGAATGCAAGCATCTTGTTGTCGATCCGCATAAGAGCAAATACAAATACAATTTAGAGTTGACTCCTGGTGGCAAGTATGAGGGTGAAGTCGCGATCACATGCAACCGCGATAAAAATATAGAATATGAAGTGGATAGTGACTTGAACTTGAACGGCAAAAAAGTTAAGGCTTTCGGCAACGTGATCATCGAACGTCCCCTAAAAAACGTTCAATCTCGAGCATACGTTAACGTTAATGACGTCAAGTACATCGACTTTCTGCTCAAAGCACAGCGACAAGGCGCGAATCCTTACGGCAGTTTAATGTTGAACGTAAAGAATTATTTAAATGTCGCGGGAGAAATCTTGAAGCAGAATGACAAGAGTAATGCTCATCTCGACATTGATTTGCCAAAGATCAATCGAAAAATCAAAGGAACTGGCGACTTGGTGGTAACCGGTTCGCAGCATAACGCTAACTTCGAGCTGCTTTATGATGCAGAGAAAGATCCAAGCAAGCGTATCAAAGTGTCTACCATAACCGACATCAAGAAAAACGCCATCGACTCGAAGAACGTCATTGAGGTGCTAAATCATAAGCTTGAACTGAACGGCAAAGGTTCATTAGAGGGCACATTAAAAGAGGGAAAACAAATCATAGAATGGGACATCACTCTACCAAATGGCCGTTATTTAGTTTACAAGCACCAACACTCCTCGGTCAAAAATAAGAACAACAAATATGATACCAAGTTCGTTGCTGAGGTAGTAGATCACGAAACTAAAAACGGTCCACAAGAAAAAGGCACGGTCGCCATAGAATATGTAAACTTTGATCCAAAGTCGTTCACGTTCGATCTTGACAACACTGAATATACGGCTGTTTTATCTAGCGGAAAAGTCATCAATTATAATCATAAAATCAAATATCTCCGCGACACTGACGGTCATAAGAAATTAATTGACGTTGACATGAACTTATCAGGATTGACTCGACCTTTCAGTCTGCAATACAAAGTCGACGAACTCGATAATAAGCATATATCTAGCCAACTTGCTTCTTCCTTGGGCGAGAACCTTCAAGTAAAGGTATGTGGAATAGATACTTTCATTTTTTGAGAATTTAAATGTGTTGAATTTCTATCAGATGAATGCGTAAGTCTACGTTATTGTTCACAGAGTTTCGCAAATTACGTTCCTGGGAACGAAGTCGACAAGCCTTGCAAGGTGAGCGGCAACGTAGAGTTGTTATTGCCATCCGAAAAGCTGCGTAACGTCAAATTTGACTTCAAAAACAGTCTGTTAGACCAGGACGCGGAAGACGGTCTTTTCGATTTTCAAGGTTCAACAACGCTCACCTACAACGATGATAGAACAATTAAGGTTGAAGGTAGCTTAAAAGGCTCCGGAGATCCCGATAGCGGCAAGCCTTTCGACAGCGATGCAAAGCTTGCTTTGACAATCCTCCAGATCCCGACCATCAAATTCAGTACCAACGTCAAATATGATCCTCGAGACAACAAGATGAAAGTTGTACGTAATACGGCTGTAAGTTACGGTGACAAAGAGGTGACTCTTACCATCGACCCGCTCACGTTTGATTACGATATGACGCATATTGACCTAAAGGCCAAAATTACCACTCCGTACGAGAAGCTGCGTAATATCGACTTAGAGTTCAAGCATGAGGTAACGCTTTTTCTTATACAACCGATATAATTTATTATTCAACCGCGTAAATTTCATCTTTTGCATCTGACCGATCTTTGTCAAATATCGGCTAACCAAATTCGATGAAAATCCCGATTACTTTTATTGCTCTTTTCATCACTTATTTGTTTTTTAATATTTTACTTATGTTTCAAAAACGAAATAATGCTTATATACCCGACCGAGTGTTCGTAGAATATAGCATTATGTATTATCGGAGATTTTCTTTTTATTTTTAAAGAAAAGTATCGACGGAAGCTCAAGAAAATTCGACGGGACTGCCACAGTGGACGGTGTAAAATACACAGCCATGAGTGAAATCCAGCAGAGTAACATCTCTCCGAAGATTCACATACTTATAAATTGCCCGAATGGAAAGACCGAATTGCTCTGGAAAATCGAGAAAACCGGTGATAAAGAATATGTTGGTAAGTTGAATCAATTTGAATAAAACATCTTTAATTATTGATCATTTTCTACGCTCAAAACTATGTTTTTATATTTACCTTCTTTGCAATTTTTCTTTTCTTTTTATTTAAGCGAACGTTGTATGTATTTTCGTTTGAAAAAGAATGAACTTCAAATTATTTTACTCTTTCACTTTTTTGTTTGCAATTGAATTTTTTGGGGTAATGAGCAATTTTTTGACAAATTAATTAATTTTAGGTGAGTGGAAAGTTGAGACACCGTACAGCTTCGCCAATGCCGATGCACACATCAATCTGGAGAGCATCGACAATTTCGTAATCATCGTGAATTTGGACAGCGACAAGCTGAAGCATCGTAAGATTCAGGCCGAAATCGCAAACAAACCTACCGCCAAGACGGGCAAGCGAATAATCATCAATGTCACCAGCGACGGCAAGAACATTGTGACCGGAAGGTACGTTGTAAAAAATGATAAAACGAAATTATCCTCACACAACAATTTGAAACGAGATATTCGTACACACGCTATTTTAACTTTAATGGACGTAATGGATGATAGCTACATTAGCTACTAAGAGGAAAAACAATTTACGAGCGCGAGGAAAATAAAGCTCGCAGTCGGAGAATAGAAAGTTTACGATTCTTTGATATCTCCCGGTTTCCATTAACGACCTCGTACATTCCGCCGCTTCTGTTAAGGTCGGTATTCGCATCGTTGTAATTCTATAGACGATGTTTTTTGACGAATGCGATATGGATATATACTTCTTGCGTATCCATAAAAGAAGTAAAAGATCGATCGCCTACACGATAACAAAACAAAGAATGAAGATGTCTTTTCGTAATTAGCGAAAGGACACGAAGTCGTTTTCAAGCGAGATCGAAGATATGTTTGTGAAAATTCTTTCTCTATCCGTTTCACCTCGTTGTATAATTTCATCATTGATTTGCTCGATAAAATTAATTCAAGCGGTTTCCGAGAATACATTTCAACTGTCAGTTCTTTTTATTCGTCTCATCGAGATTGTCCTGACCGATTGCAAAAAGTAACATACAGAAAGAGATTAAAACTCGTTCCGTACGAATGTATGTATGGCATTTTTGTCGGAAATGTAGAATATCATCGATCTAAAGTCTTCATAAAAATTTGCTACCATCTGATAAAAATGGCATTTGAATATCAACGATTAAAAGATGCAATTCTTGATTACAATACTTTTAATTTAAAGTGATTTCTTTCAATTATAGCAAGTGGATTAATTGAAAAAAGAATAGATACCAAAAAAATTGCAAATTCCTAAAGGTAATGTGTAAAAACAGCTACCACAACAAAATAACAAAAACATAATATGACATATAACAGACAAAAGAGGAAAAAGCTCATTTGAAGTAAAGATTGCATTCTTTTTGCAGTACAAACTATAAGAGACGCGAAGAGGATGGCAAAATCACGGTCGAAGGAAACGGCAATCTGAAGATCGGTGAGAATACAAGAAGCTCCTCTTTCAAGTATACTCGCCAGCAATTGAGTCACGACAAGGACGGCGAAGTCGGCGTCATAATCGTCGTGAACGCTAAGTTCGATCCGGCGGCTATCGTGGGCGAGATGAAACTCTCGAACAAGGAGATTCTCTTTTCCAACAGCTACTGCGAGCAGAGCAAGGACTGCGCTCACGTCAAGTTCCAATCGAGTTCCGATACCGATAGTGAGTCAAATTTCACGATAAATAGCTCTCAGCTGTATTTCTCTCGAAGAGAATTGTAACCGTCGCAACGGAAATAGCTTGTGTGTACGATCGGTTTTACAGCTCTTATCAAATAATGTCGACACGCTCTGGGGACGTCTTTTGCGGCAGCTCTGAAATATCTCAACCTTTCAACCTTTTATACAGTTTTACATTTTGTCTTTTGTTGTTTTTATGTTTTATTTTCCTGAAATCATAATTTAAAGTTAAACGACAATCTTTATTTAAATTTTACCATATAAACGTGCATATGTTTTGATCATGATTTAGATTGTCTCTAATATCAGTCAGAAACAATCATTCAAGCTAGCTACAAAATCAGCATCCTTGTGTGTTTGATCTAATACAATTGATAAAATATCAATTTTTGTCCGTATACGCGAATCCACTCTTATTGAATAATATACATTCCTTCTCAGCCTAACTTGCCACCATGATACGTCGCCTATTGTATTGTTCCCTGCGTTTATCTACCGCGTATGTATTTCGTATAAATACGCAATACGACGTAACCGCCACGTATGCACGAAGCACATCAGATTTTGCAAAGGGATGAGGTCTTCCTTTTTAGCTCGCTTCGTGGGCCTAACTAGATCTCGGTCGATAGTATTCTATTCTCGCGTGATCTGCGCCTAATTCGTTGCCTCGCCTTAGTTATTAATAGAGCCTTAGAACTGCATCCCTGCGTCGCGTGGGTCTTGCCGTAGGTTCGTAACGGCATACCGTCGCATAAAACTCGCGGCTGCACTACTTTCTTTTCTTTGTTCTCTCTCTTTCTCTTTTTTAGCCATCGATGAGAAAAAGATCACTGCCAAGATCGCAAAGATCGCGATGCAGAAAGACAGGCGTGACCGCCACTGACAACGAGTGAGATTGTAGGAGGGTATGTGCAAGGCGATACAAGAAAAAAATAAGTTGCGCTGGTGCGGAATGACGTCACGCGCCGCAAGGGCGTGCTCCGCTGACGTACGCGCGTCTTAATCCTTTCTAGCCTTCTCACGATGACGTATAGCGCGATAAAGTTTACTTCACTCTTTTTTTTTCTTTTCTTCAGAATCAATTTGACAGCCGAAGCCTATTGAGCCTTGAGAATTAACGGAAATAAAATTTTTGCGATTAAGGTCAAGCGGATATGCTTGAAACGCCCGCATATAAATGAGACAGAATAACGAGTTTCCGATTGTACCGTTAATAGTTAAGATCACTCTATGATTTTTCGTTAACCGTCGTGTATTCATTCCGTTTTTTCCACTATTGCACAACAATTTTGATCTCTCTTTTGATTCATAATGATCTAAGTAAAAACTTGATAATGATTTTTATAATCTGCAGCATTTGTAAAACAAATAGTTTTACAAATTAATAGTTTTACTACTGCTCATTATGTTTTCACGATATACTTTGAATAAAATTTGTATATTATTAGATCATTAAGTATAAAACTTGACAGATATATACACACACACTATGATAAAATTGTTATTAAAAAAATTTTTCTTATCTTTTTTTCCTTATTTGTTTTGAACGGATTTTGTATAACTTACTTTTCTGTTACAGAGAAAACTTATCTGAATCATCAAACAATAGTAGAAGTAGACTTAAAGAAATTCTATGTACCAGCTGAATTCGGATTGAAGACAAGCACCGAAATGAGAAACTCTAAATTTGATCATTCTGCCAACTTATATCTTCATTCGTCGAAGGACAAATCACAATATGCTTACCAGATTTACGCTCATCCTAAGGAAAGCGGTAGGAAAGCTTTGTTAATAAATTTAATTAATGCCAATAATATTGTCATATTCTCTTGTGGGTGTACTCTAATTAAAAAAAAAAAAAAACTTTCTAATATTTTTTATGAGAAAAAAACAAAAAGTTAAAAATTTTATATTTTTCTTTTTGTAGGTGCTATTTTGACTCTGCCCAACCGTGAACTCGCAGTTATCAGCACATTTGATTTACCGAAGACAAAGCAAACTGGAGCATTCAAGCTCGATGTTTCCCTTTATTTAGACAGGAAGAACAAACCGTCCGACAAGAGTGGTCTAGTTGCCAATGGTGACATTAATATTGAAAAAGAAAGCGGATCTATCAACGGAGAAGTCAAATTCATATATCCATCTCAATCAAAGGTATTTTGCAAAGCTGCATTTTTATTTTTAAATTTATACACAAGGTGAAAGGACATCGTGTACGCGTAGGAAGGACATCAAACTAAGTTCGAGCAAAATGAAATTCAGCTAAAGCAGCATCTCAATTTTGCTTGCAATTTCTGCGCAAATAAGCTTGAAGTTTTGAAATAAAACTAGAGAATAAAATGCCTCGACGAAGCCTGTAGCTTACCTTCAATTTTCTCACAATATAAAGAACAACGAGAGTTCGACCGAGAGCTGTTTGCTGTAAGAAAAGCAACGCATCCTCTGTCAATTTACTGCCGTGTGTTCAGTTCATATTTCATTTTTAGCGTTCGAAATGTTTTGTTAACTGTCAAATTATCAATTGATGGTTCGCGTCATAATTAATAACATAAATATACTTCTTATACAGGATATGGCAGTGAAAGGCAGACTTCATTACGGTGGCGAGCACTTGCTGGACGCGAACGTCGACATCGACGTGTTCGCGAAGAAGACACAGAAGATTAGCATGCTGGCGAAAATACATCAACTAGATATCAAAAAAGGTAGAAACTTGACCAGCGTGATCGAAATAAACAGCCGTGGACAACAACTCAAAGTCGATCTGAAATCACACGTGGCCATTTCGGAATATACAGTCGGTTTCGGCAGTTTCCTGTCCTATACAGACGTGAATCAGAAGTTAAAAAGTGTAGGCGCCTTATTCTCTTTAGATACCAAAAAATTGCTTCTTCTTGCAACCGGTCCGAATAAGGATCTCCTCCGAGTAGATGCACAATTGCAATTGGAGAAAAATCTGCAAAAAGTTGATGCTGAAGTCTCGGTTGTTAACAACAAACCCATTAAAATTAATTTCGAAGCTCAGGATATGAATAGTTTCAAGTTCGCAAAATACCAGCAAGGTAAGATTTAATCTTGAATTTATTAAGTATATTTAATAGTTTATTTTAAATTGAGTCTGTTGAAAATATTTAAAATGTTTAAAAAAATTACAAAGAATTATTTTACAACATTTTATTAAGACATAATTTTTTAACTACAAAAAAGTATAAAAATTGTGAAACATTGATTTGTTATATTTTAAGCGTTTTTCTTTATATTATTAACGCGCGTAACATTCTCAGATGATCCCGATTCGAAAATCACCGCTAACGGACGCATTCTGCTCGGACAATTAGCTGATATTCACGCAGACGCTTACAAAAATAAAGCAAAGAAAAATCTATTCCACGCTTCAATCCATCTTGATGACGAGAAGTTCCTGAAACCTAACTTCGGTTACAACAAGGACAATATTATCTACGCGATCGTGAGTATACACTATAGTCGAGTGCGATATACGATGTTTATATAGCGTTGCTTTATTAACTTTATTTACGGCATAACTTAGGAACGTCATCGCAAATTAGCTGTCGAACTGTTGAAGCAAATGAAAGAAGTTTCTGGAGAAATAGCTAACGAGATAGATAAAGAACTGAAAGATCTCTTAGATCATTTAAAGAAAGCACAACCGAATATCAAGCCGCTTTTGGACTATTACGAGGGAGAATTGAACAAATTAAAGGACGAACTCCACGCTGATCAAACTATCAAGGACATTCAAGCTACTTTGTAAGAATTTAACCATTTTTATTGTTTGATATTATATTATAAATTAATTATATAACTATTATGCAAATTTACAAAAGAGACAATAACATTTGATATATATACATATAATAAAATTTGACGTCAAAGTTTTGCGCGTGAATAATAATTAATATAATAATTAACATTTATTACATTACTCGATATGCCGCTTTAATAAATTAATAGATTAATAAGTTAATTAATAAACATTTATTAATAAGTTAAAGTAGTAATATCTAAGCTCTCTCTCTTTCTCTCTCTAAATTGATTACAACTGTAGATAGATTTTCTCTTTTAGTTATCGTGCGCGATATCGATAGTATTTGTTTCTTTCAGAAACAAGCACTTCGGAACTATCATCAAAGCCGTGTCGGAGACTCTGAAGAAAATAAACGCACGACTAACTGAATTGCAGAAAGAATACGCCGAGATAGTTTCTCAGATTCAACATGCGTGGGAAAATGTTTACCCACAACTGAAAGAATCCTACGAAAAACTAGTTCAAGCGGGTATTAACATTCTCGACACTATCGTTAATGTTGCCGTAGCTTACGTCCACGCGCTGCTTGATCTAATTAACGAACATCAGAAAGAGTTGAAGGAAATAGCAATCATGGCTTCCGAGATTGTGCAGGACATCGCTAAGATCCTGGTCAATAATATCGCGCAAATCAGGAAAGACATTGAGGAGTTCGTCATTCAGCTAAAAAATCAACTGAAAGCGTTGCCGATCTACGAGTACGCGAAGGAACATTATAAAGAAATCATAAATTTGCAAATCCCGGAAGGTATGCTAGCCTCCTTTGAAGAACTCAGCAAGATTGTAGAGAGCACGCTGCCGACTGAAGAACTGAAACGGCTGTACAATGCTATACACGACTACATCATAAAACACGTAAAACATGAGAAAGTAGGTTTTCCGTCGTAATTACATCATTTTTAATCAATCGCCATTCACTTGATGATTGAGTATCTTTCAAACAAATCAAATAACTTGAAAGTTTTTATCAAAATGACAAAATGTGCTCTCACGCAGGTCGACAACGCGAGCGAGTTGAAGAAGATTTACGAGTGCGCGACTGATGCTCTTGCGTCTTTCATCAAATCTCTAGAAGCCAGCGGCACTCTGGACGAACTTATAGATGAGTTGTTCGATGCTGATCTTCCAGAGTTCGAGGCGTTGACAACACTCCCAACAATCACTTCGGTGAAAATATCTCTTATCAACCTGATTCGTAATAATGAACTTCCGTCACTTCTGGATCTCTATTACACATACAGGTATTCTTATCTTTCTGTTTTTATTTTATCGCGTTTTGTTACGTGTAACACAGATTTTTTGTATTACATTTTAATTTAAATTAAAATTTGTGTAAAATTATTGAATTATTAAATATATTAAAGTCAAAGTAGGAATAAGAAAAAATTGCACAACTATTGTACAAATATCAAAACGCTTTCTATTTTAAACAGGCCTAATTTTGATCCTCTCGACATCATACCTCCCTTCAGCAAAATCGGCTTTGTCGTCGATGGAGGACATATCTTCACGTTCGACGGGAAGCACTTCGGCATACCCGGCGACTGTACCTATGTCTTGGCTCAAGACGTGCAGGATGGCAATTTCTCCGTTCTCGCCAACTTCAACAAAGGCAAGCTCGTCGATATAACCGTGACAGAGCCTAAAGAGAGCATCACGCTGAAGAGCACAGGCGTAAGTTCATTTCTCTTATCTCTTAACCAGTTTTCCTTAACGCGGACAAGTTGCGTCGTTGAGTGTGTGACGTGAATCGAGAAAGGATCGTAACGGGAATGAAGAAGACAGAGAGAAACCGCGGATTGAGCTCATACAGTATTCTGAATACGAGTCTTATAATGCAATTCAATGTATTGAACTGTAACTTTGTTAATTTATCAAGGGTCTCCAAACTTTGTTGACAAGTCAAACTCTATTATTCCCGTGTCGCTTCTCTTATAAACGGATCCCGAGCGAGAGAAGAATAAAAATTATCATCGCAAGCACAAATTTTTTTATCTCATTTTCGTTATTCGGTTTTCCGTTTTTTTTTTGTCCGTTGATGCTTAGCTTCCTTTTTGCAACTATATATTTGTTTGCCTTCTTTCCAGATTTTAGTGAATAATAAACCAACCGAGTTCCCAGCCAGCACAAACAATCTGCACGCCACTGTGTCGCCTCCGCTTGCGCAAATCGAATCGGACTACGGTGTGTTGGTTAGATGCGGTCTCAACAATCTCAAACAATCACCGATTTGCGTGGTATACGTGTCCGGCTTTTATCATGGAAAATTACGGGGTTTGCTCGGTGACGGCAATAATGAGCAATACGACGATTATACGTTGCCATCCGGAAAGGTGGGTGAGGTTGTTTTACTGTTCAAAATAAGCAACTTCTCTTTCGCGCAGAGGTACTATTTGAAAAATTAATTCTATTCAGTCAGATATGTAGTATATACAGTTCTTAATATTCTTTGTGATTTGCGTTTTAGAAATAAAACTAAGATATAAAGTTTTCAATTTGCTAACAAAACACTAAATTCTGTTCTTACAATGTACGTACGCTGGGAATGAAAAATATTTCACTTTTAGAAATAACATATGAGTTACGCGGAATATTTTTGCAATGAGATCTCACACGATACGATTTGATAATGTGTTTGTGTTGATCTCTAATGTCTGTCTTTTTTACAATTGAAACAGATTACCGAGAGTGAGACTGAATTTGCCAACGGATACAAACTGAAACCCGATTGCCCGACAGTGAACGCGATCGATCACAAGAAACAGCAACGTAATCCAGCCTGTACTGAGTTATTCTCTGGCGAGAAGTCTCCACTGAAGTAAATACAGTTATTATTAATATATAATCCAAATGTTTCTCTCTCAGATATAATTTAAGATTTAACGCTACCGGAATAATAGGTACTTACAAACTACTTACTTACAAACAAACGCGGTGTGTTTTACAAAAAATGAGACACACACGCTATATTATCTATATGTATCAGTAAAATTATATAGATATTTTTAAATTTTTATAAATACACAGAAAATAACACAATCGTCGTATCTCTCACTTTGCCTTAAAGCTAAAAATAAAAATTCTGCGTGATATTTTAGAAACTGCTTCAACTACGTTAATCCAGCTCATTACCGGGATGCTTGCGATGCTGCTGCCAGTGAAAATCCGGAAGCCACCTGTTTGTTCGCCATTACTTACCGCTCCGCCTGCCATTATAAGAGTGTTACGGGAATAAGCATTCCACCGGCTTGCAGTAAGTTTAATTGTTGACTTTTACTACTTTACAAAGTATCCGCTCTGCATGAAATCAGTTACCGTTAAAACGCAAGAGAAAAGCAGCTATTACAATAAAATTTATTCAATTTTCTTCAATAACAATGTTAATAAAAATAATAGAAAAACACTTGCTAATATTATAGAATCAGAAAAATTTATATAAAACATTTAGTACATCTAACACACACACATATAAGTACAAAATTCCAATGCTTATTTTGATAGAAAGATTTGATAATGTCATTATATATTTCAGCGAGTTGCAAGGTCGGTGAGAACTCGATTGCTGTTGATGATACTTTTAGTGTTAAAACCCCGAAGAATCAAGCGGACATTCTACTGGTGGTCGAAGAATCTAAGCAAAACGAGAAAGTATTTAAAGACTTAATTCCGACACTGATAACTGACCTGAGAGAGGAATTTAAACAACAAGACATCACGTATGTAAACCACATACTTACCACATCTTATAATCAGAAAAATACTTCTAAAAGAGTATCTCTTGTAAATTGTGTTACACACAGACGTATATTGCAATCAATATCATACTTTATGATATTTTTATGTATCGTATTTCTGACGCGCGTCTCACTTTAACAGGGATGTTCACATCAGCTTACTTGGCTTCGGTGATCACTTGGATAAGCCACAATACTACACTAATAATGGTCATCTTAACATTGTCGGAGACGTAAAGAATATTAAATTTGAGGAACAAGAACCAAGTGTTACTCTCGAAGTAATGTATTGTTTAGCACATGATAAACTGGCTTAATGCTTAATTGTTTTTATCACATAAACTAACTGCTTATGTGATTATAGGAAGCTAAAACTACCGAGAAGAAAGTGGATTATCTCGTGCAAAGACTGAAATTGGAATTAGGTATTTTGTCACTAACAGGAAGCTACGAGGAAGCCGTAAAGTATCCATACAGACCTGGTGCAGTCAAAGCTGTTGTTTCAATCTTGTCCACTCCGTGCGAGAAAAGTCCACTTCCTCTATCGGTGAGAGCTTTTCTCCTCTATTAAAACTTATGCCTAAAATATTCTTAAATTATATTTTGCATGTTATCGGTTTGCAATTTTTCATTAATCGTTGCTGAAGTTAATGATGTAGTTAAGCACACAATAATTCCTCAATTACGACAAAAACGAATGGCTCTAATATTTTCAGTTGCAACAGTTGAGGCTTCTACTTGGACAAAAAATATACCGAGATTTAGGTTTGACCTATTACGTTGTATACCAACCCGGCGACATTCAAGCTTCCGGTAAAGTTCAAAAAAACATTGTTGGGTACGACAGCGACAGCGTATACGTATTAGCCGACAGCAAGAAAAAACCACTGAACAGAAACGCTGAGCTTAGAAGCAACTTAGTTCTTCCTAATTCCGATGTTTGTGCTGAATTTGCTATAGCGGTAAGACCATTATAAAGACAATTTTATTTAGATAAAATATTGAAACAAACATTCCCTGATGTAATGTTTTAGCATAAAATACAAAATATCAATAATAATAATCTAATTATATTGTTAGTCCTGTTTTACAAATTATTAATATAACTTTTTATGTTATTATTCTAAATACGTAATAAAAGGTGACACGAACATTTTGTTGTTATTATGCGATATAACGTTGTTTGCAGAATGGAGGTGCAGCGTTCGTTTCTAGCAACTTGCTGGATGCTAAGCCGAATCAGAAGAGACAATTCGCGCAAGTTACTGCTAGAAGAATTGTCGAAGGTCTTACAAGCGTTGAAATCGAACAGGATTGCACGTGCACGCTAGAACACGGCGTTATTGCACGCTCTCATTGCAAGATTGTTGGACAAAGAGAGAAGGAACCACTTGCGGTGAGTTTCATTATTTCAACTATAATAAGATATTAATAAAATATATGTTGGAATTTATAAAATATGCCATTTAATATTGTGTTGATATTTATTTTTTTTTAAAACACATTGTTTTGTAACAACATCTTAATTATATAAAAATAATTTGACATAATAATTTGTTTATTATATTGCAGAGAAGCACGAAGGGAGGAGTAAAGGGCTGAATAAAATCACAGTACTGCGCAACATTATTACTGCTAATTAATTTTAGATAAAACGTATTTGTTATTTTGTTACAATAGATACATAAAAGATATTAAAATAAAAGATACTTGATAGTCGTAAGTAATATATCCGAAATTGCGTTATCTACAGTGTACGACTAACTTTTCGCAGCAAAAAGAATGCAAATAAGACTCAATTTATATACCATGACAATATTCTTTCGTTTTTCAGGCTAAACATAAACATATACATATGTAAATTAATGCAAATAAATTGGTATACTATTTATCAATGTTTTATAATTACCACCGGTTATTTTTTAAAAAACTAAACAGAACATATAAATTATGGTCTGTTTTTTTTTTTTGCGTCGACAGTTTTCTGTTTGTACCGTTAAAGAAATTTGTATTTATAATATGTTTTCTATTTTGCGCGTAGCATTCCGAAAAAAACTTGTAGTTATCTATCAAGAAAGTTATATTTTTATGTTATTATCTGAGCATATTTTATCCTCAATAAATTGAAAACGCAACAAATCCAACGTTAACCCAAGATAAGATTGTAATTTCTTAAACGTTTGTATTTTTCTAGTTCGAAAAATTACTTATTATCGTCATATATGATCTTATTTCTCTAAGCGTTTGCCATGAAGTTTTAACTCGTCGAGTTTGCTCTCGCAATATTCTAGAATTGTGGCTTAAGATTTTGATGACTTGAAAAAATTGTAATAACTTTAATGACGTATATAACAAACACTACGTAAAATTTGATGAGTTACTTAGTAACCGTGTAGCTTCAACAGTTTTGCTAAGGAAATTTCAATTCCTAATTCAAAAAAAAAGTTAAAATTAAGATCGCAAGACAAAGAACCGTCTTTCGTAAGTTGTTGCATTCGAATGAAGTAAACCTCGAATCAAATTAGTTATATCTTTAATAAGGTGCTAATTTCCTAAAAGCGATAAATGTGTAAAAATAACTCTAAAAAACAAAATGTTACTCTATAGTTATAAAATGCAGTAAAAGGTGTATTTTAAGAAAAAAGATAATCTTAAATTGAGCGAAAAAAAGATTAAAATCACACCCTATTTATTTTCCAGCTACTTACTATTCACAGCAAATTTGTTTACTTAGATTATGTGATAAGCTTTGTGGAGTAAGTTGCTATTTTTACGCTGCGGTGAAAATGTACACATGGGCGACAAGAATTTTTACTTGAACGACACAAGCATCGACGACTTTGTATGTTGAATTACAGCTGTACAGCTGTCTGTCTACTCTATACATGCAAGTGTAGTAGTATTGTGACGTCAAAAGCTGAAGGATTTTGTTGTGCAATATTCTTTGCTTCTCGGCGTATGTGTAGCAGTTTTACGTAAATTTGATATAAGCAACGGCGCGGCGCAAGAAATTTCTTTACATAAGCATTCGCTTTGAGATATGCTTTGTATACGTAAGTATTTTCCTTAGAATATTTCACTAAAACCGATGAAGCTTGCTTATGTAATACGTTATGATCCACAATGATAAGATCTAGATAATATCGTGTCAACTAAACCATAAAAAAATAAAATAAAAATACGAGGAACAAGATTCTCTTGTATTTCAGAATTTATTTTGTTTTAATAAATCCTTTGTAGATAACAAAGAATGATTAATTAGAATACTACAATTTTTATGCAGAAGAAAGTGAGAAATTACAAATTAAGTGTTAACTTAACACTAATAACATGTGCGATAATAAAGATAATTATATAAGGATGTGCGGGATAAAAATACCAGGAATAGAGATAATATAGCGGTCTCTTTTTTCCATTCTGAAATATTTATTAAACTTTATGTTTAAATATATATATATATATATATACAGGGTGTCCCAGAATAGCCGTACAATCTCTCGTAGGCAGATAGAAGGAATAAAACTGAGTCGAAAAGTCCTGAACCATTTTTTTGTATTATTTATAATAAAGGAGTAATTATTGAGTAAATCAGGCCAATCAGCGCCGATCTTTAGCCAGGCGCACGTCACTGAGCGCTCACAAACACCAGGCGCGCGGCTCACTGACGTGCGCGTGACTAAAGGTCTGCGCTGATTGGCCCGCTTTACTCAATAATTACTCCTTTATTATAAATAATAGAAAAAAATGGTTCAAGACTTTTCGACTCAGTTTTATTCCTTCTATCTGCCTACGAGAGATTGTACGGCTATTCTGGGACACCCTGTATATATATATATATATATCTAGCGAGCCACCTATCATGTGAGTCATAAAATAGATGAACTATTCGAAAATTTTATTTTTCAGCAAACATAGTCAACATGTTCTGATCAGACAGATAGTTTAAAAACTAGTAATTTCAAAAAAAGAAAAAGACAAAATCGCAAATGTTCAAATGGAAGTATCTTAATTATCTTTTCTCTTTCTTTTGTGAAATGCAGAAACTATATAAATGTCAAAATACTATTCTCACGATGTATTTTCTCACAGTCTATACAGTATTAATCTATCTACTGATAACTATTTCACTATTCTTTTATTCTGGTCTTAAAAGTTGGTCTATTTGCTTTAAATTATAACTTCGCCAATCGATCGTGAATTCGTGAATTGCCGTCGCTCGATGATATTACATTTGTTCACTCAAGTAATCCGCGGACTCACGATTTATTATCGCTCGGCAAAATTTACGATTCGCAAGATAGTAAACGCGAGTGACACACTTTACAAAGCAGACAATTGGTACTTATAGCTCGTATAAATCGCGTATAGTTAACGATATCTTACATAAATGTGTTCTTCTAATACAAGAAGAAAAATTTATTATATAAATAACAATTATCAAACCAATAATTTTATCAAATATCACAATTTATGTCAGCAGCTATAGCGCTGACAATGCCAAATTTTATTTTTGTTTAGGAGAAAATGCGAAAAATATAACAAAATGCATATAATACAATTCAAATTAATTAAACAATTGATTTTTATGCGAGCGTGTCTATATATCTACGTAGAAAATAATGAGTTTCCGTAACCTAATATATATATAAGGACGGGTATAAACAAATTCTTCGAATACATATATTTAAACGAGTTTTATAGCGCGTATCTTAATGATAATTACATCTCATGTCGATACAGAGAAGGCGTATTAAATGAAGAATAGTCACTATCTGTCAATATTAATAGTCTTACATCTGTATATTTAAGATGATTATTTCCTGCCTGATCGTTGTTGTTTCGATGAAAGTGAAAGTAGCACGTTTCTCACAGTCTATATTATTTATAATATTGCGGCAGGATTGAAATCAAGCCTGACGTTTTCTAACTTCGCTTCACATAAAATAAATACACAAAAAAAATTTCTAGTAACTCAGAAATCCAACCTTAAAAAACTAATTATACATTTTTTTATTTAAAGAATGAGTTTTAAATTTATTTATTTTATCAGAGACTTCCAAACCTAATTTGTAAAACTAATATGACTTGAACCTAAAATTATTTTTCATGATATCGTTCAGAGAAAGATTTTTGCGCGACTTTTCAGTCACTATATGTATAGCACACATGCGATACCCTGTTTCTGTAAATGTACTAATCCAGCTGCAGCGGCGGCAAGGCCGGTAAAGGCATTACATACATTGTAAATTCATGGAAAATTTTTTCTTAGAATATTCTCGAGCACCCGGGCACTTAGCGGATAATTAATTAACCCATTAAATATCGTGGACGTCACGCATGCTTTTTACGACCCGAGGCGCCCTGGACGTCATCTCTAAGCGCGCGATATATGTTTTATCGATTGGATTCCTCTTGTGTACTTACAGTCTTACTATAGTCCGTCATACATTGAAACGGTTGCCCTAGAAGAGAGAAAAAATTAAAAAGTTTAGCGTGGCAAAATGTCATCAAGCGCTTTTCTCGCACGCAAGTTGCCGCCGCGTCGCCTTCCTTCACGGGAAACAAACGCACGAAAAATACATGACACTTTCACTTTCCTTCGTATAATTTATGTGGAGTAAAAAGATGTGATGATGTGACAAGGCGCCATTTATTCAATATATCTCGTAACATTGTTCCTCTTTCTTCTACAAACTTTCTCGCTAACAATCTGACACCTCGGGAGCATCGTACATACATATTTATTTTCCGGATACATTCGCACACGCAGACATACACATAAGTACACTCACATACATCGTATCACGATTACATATTTATATATATTTGTGTGTGTGTATATATGTATGTGTATATATATATATATATATATATATACATATATATATATATATATATGTTTGTGTGTGTGTGTGTGTCACAATCGCATTTTTTGTCCCACATATACGATTGCACTTTTTTATAATCGTTACATTCTACATATATTTATATATTTATAAGATTGTACAGTGAACTTCTCTTTGTATACTCTGTATACATTTATGAAGTCGCACTGTACTTGATAAGCATGGATTGAACTTTTTACGTTTTTTTGCAGAATATACAACTTCCACACGGAGTCCACTTACGAGCAAATTACTCACTTAAATTGAGTGTTTTCTACTTTCAGAAGTTTGCTTCAAACGAAATATAAATTATCCTTATAATTTTTTGTACCGGCAATAATAAGGTTCGATCAATAGCTACGATAGACTATACGAGAGAGAAGGAAATAAGATAAAAACGGAGTAGGAAAACAGTTGCTATGTTATTAATTTCTGCATAATGTGTGTAAATTTCAAATAAACCTCGGTAAGGCAGTGCCAGCGCGATGATACACATACGGCGTGTCGTACGGGGGCGTGAAATTCCTCAGGTGTGGATGAGGAAGCGATGAACGGTGCTGCGCCGTCTCGATGGTACCGCCGTTTGACGGGGAGACGTGCGGCAAAAGGTGCGACGCCCCGTCACCGAGATCCAATTCCAGTTCCTGCTCCTCGATTAAATGCAAAGCGCCGAAGGAGGCCGTCGCCATCGCTACGTCCGGCATTACGCCCGACAATTGGCCGTCGCTACAGGAATTGCCTTCTTGTTGCTGCGAACGAGAGACCAAATACACCCCTTGCATAATCCAGAGTTTCGCGGGGAAAGCGCGGCTTCTAATCGTCACGAGATTTCGCTCCGCGATCAATGTGGAGCAACATTTTATGATGCAAAAACAAAACGAGAGTTTCGCTCTGCCGTGAAACTCCGAGAAAACGATCTCGCGATCAGTCGGGCAAGAGACTCGGTTGCACCAACCAACCACTTTGGATTGAGTAAGACCAACTAAGGAATTCGCTGTTGCTATTCGAAATAATCGAGTCCTACTCTGTTCGTGTAGTGAGAGCTGACAAAGAGAATTTAATTAAGAAAGTTGGGCCTCCGCGAGACGTTGGCGTAACCGGGACCTAAACGCGAGATTAAAGCCGCTCTAGGGTATCTAATGTGCACGTAACGCGCACATTATCGTCCGTCCCCTTACCTCGGCAAGAAGTCTGCAGCTCTCTCCCTCAGTCACTATAGCTGGAAGTTCGTGTCTATGTGCGTAAGACGAAGTCGGCCGAGGAAATGTCATGTTCCTCCCGTAACACACCGGGGCGGTAGTTCTCACACGAATACCCATGCCCGGCGAGTCAATGTCCTCTATATCTGTCATCCTCTGCTCGTTTTGCTCTTTCATACTGTAAGACGCTGTGTTCTGAAATCGATACGCCAGCAATTTATCGCGTACTCTGTCTGCCAAATGAAAGATGCATTAAAAGCCGCGGAATAACGCAGCAAAGAGAAGGAAAGGAAGGAAGGAAGAAGAGAGAGAGAGAGAAACCATTGGTCTGACAGCTGATGCTGTCGCAATGCGCGGAACATTAATTGGTGATCATGGTGATTTCGAGTACGAAATAAAGAGGGAACTAATAACGGAAATAGGCCGATATACAGCGAGAATTGATTGGAGTCGATTGAACGGGGTGAGCGCGTGTTACAGGACGGAAAACTCGCGGAAACGTATTGATAGAAATAAATCTCCGTTGTGAAATGGGGAGAGGGTTCTTCCCTGCCTCTTTCCCGAAATAGAACGCGACCTGAATTGACATGTGTCGGACGTGACGGAAACACGTACGTGCGGACGTGATTGAAAAACGACATCTTGCATACGTTATGCATCGCTGCAAATTAGCAAACTTGACGGCAGCGATATATTGCAATTATTTTACGCGCAGTAACTCGCATCTGTTCTCAAGCGTTCTTTTTCCTATTAAGATCTTCCCGCGCAAGTGATTGCTTTACGGAATTGTGTACGAAATTATGTTCAATTAGAAAATATATGTATCTCTTTCTTTAACACATACATCTTAAAACGCGATCTGATATTTTTTTTTTCATTACATATTTATATATAATGATTGCAAATGTTTCTCTCTTCTTTGTAAATCTGTGAATATTTTTCAGAGAGTTAATTATCGAGATGTTTTGTATTATAAGCTTTTTTAGAGTGAGAAATAATATTACATCATATTTTATCCCGTAATAAATCAAAATGTAAATAACGATATCAATGTTATATTGAGAAAGTCTTGCAAACGCTTGATATTATCTAAGACAACATTTACATGTGTTAAATAGTTTTACTGCGAGATAATAACAGATTGTGTTGAACTACATAAAATAACGGTTTAAATAAAATTTTATGAGCATCATTTATATACGCATATTGGTAATAAATTTTTAAATGTAAAACACAACTTTTAAATGCTAATACTAATAAAGATATATAATATTTATACATTAATTACGTTCCCCATATTATCTTTTTGATAATATTATATATTATTTGTGCTAAACTTTTGCCGAGGATTTGTTATAAAAAGTAACATTTTAGAGTTGTTCGGGAGAGAGACATGTATTATAATCAAATACATTCATTTATATCTATATTTTACTTAATTATAATCAACTATTCAAGATTAAAGAAAACAATTTCTTGAATCAGTCAATAAACAAATAAACATTAAAGATTTTCTAGGTGAAATTTTAAGTTACATTTTTCTTGTGAATCGATTTACTGAGTGTCTGAGTCATTTAGAAAAACGATAAATAATTCAAGAACTTGCTTTAAACGATGATGAGATCTTTTTTCAATTTCGCATCATCTAGATGATTCGCTGAAATATAAGAAGTATAGCACATAATTACCAAAGTTCTTCATGCACATACATATTGTTGTTTTAACATGCTAGAAACGTTATGTCATCGCATGCGAATGACGATAACACGTTGTATATACACTAGATAAATACAACTGCAATGTTTAAAGCTTACGACCTTAAGTCGAATATAAATGTTTCGCATTTGCATATATGTACATGTAACACTCGATATATATTGTATAAACATCTAATTAGTTCTTTACCATTTTCTGTAAAATAAAAATATACAAATATACAAATGTAAATATTACAAATATATAAAAATTATTTAAAGTAATATCATCTTCATGATTCTTCTCCTCTAATATTATATAAAACAAATAATTATCTTTTGTATTGTTCAAAAATCTGTTTAATTTCTTTTTAAAGATATAAAAAAGTTTCAATATTTTCACACTTTTAAATTTCTATATATCACGCGACGTTCGTTATTTTGAATGAACAGGAGAAAATAATTTCGAGCTTTTTCGAATTTGTAATGTTGTTTTACACATCTTTTTGTACATATCTAGTATTGCACCCAATCGCAGTGATGCAACAAGCCGCATGTATTTAATAATCCATATCTGCATTTATTCATGCATAGTGCACTATATACAATGTACTGCAGATTGCACACATCTCATTCGATTGACAGTACGAGTGTCGTTTTATGATTCACTTGCTTGTCACCCTGACGCGATACCACGTGCATTATTATCACGTATAACCTCGTTTCAAAGTAAACTAACACGACTTATTTTTGGTAAACAGAAGTTTTTAAAATATTACTAACCTTTCACATACAACTTTAAACAATCAGCTGTAAAACTGCGAAATTATGCGTTTTATTACTAACCTTTCACATACAACTTTAAACAATCAGCTGTAAAACTGCGAAATTATGCGTTTTATTACGTAAGCATAAAGATAAGAATTCAGTATGTAACATATATATTAATAATATGTATTTCAATAAAAAAGAGAAAATTTCTACTATTCTATTACTATCCTATTATTCTTTAAGATATTAAAATAAAAACTTTTATATTATAATTATTTTGTAAAAAAATGTTTATATACAATATATGTAAGATATAATATGCTCATCTTTAATGTAATGTTTTAGCCAAATAAAATTCTTATCCAAGTCCAGCTTAACTTTTAATTTTTAACAGTTTGCTCGACATTCACATTACATATACGTGGCATTTGCATTGCGTAAACGTGACCAAGCACAATAGCTACTGCAATCCCTACCATTACCGCGAAATAGTATGGCACTTTAGTAGCAGAAAAAGAAATATTGGAATTTTCGTGCGTTATGCAACTGTTCTAAATGCCAGCGCACTTTATTTTCAATAACAGCCAAGTTGACTATTTCAAAATAACTTTAAATTTTCAGAAAAAAATAAATTTAAAAAAGGGAAAGAAATTGAGAGAGAAAATGTTCTCTCTAATAAAGTTATATTTAGATTAAAAAAAAAAAAACATCTAAATTTGTTAAAATAAACACATTTATATCTTTTTATTAAGTTAAGACCAATTTTTTATTTTATTACTTCATAAGTTCAAAGAAACGAATTACTGATTTATTTATTTTTTGTTAAGCACTACCAATGAGCATCGTGATGAGACAGTAAACGTAACACGTTCGTTTGACATTGAGAAATCTTGACGCTACTTCAAAATTGTGAATTCACGGAGAGGAATACTTCCGAGGATTCGTTTGCATCGAAACAAAGCGCGCATCTCGCGACACTCGCGCTACACAATATCGTCACAATATTTTATTGAAAGAAGCTTGTTCTCTCTCCCTCTCTAATTCGATGTCGTATTAGAGAAGATAATACGCGCTGAAAAAGGGGAAGGATAGATGGCAAAGTCAAAGAGCGATGAGAGTTTCCTGGCATTAGTCGTGCGAATTACGCGCTACGTTAAAGTGTGCAAAACCCACGCAAGCGATGTACGAAGCGAACGTTACAAAAACAGTTTAACGACGTTATTTCGCGCGCACGATTATTTCACTCATGTAATTTCACATCATAATCTTCTTAAATGTGATTCTAATCACTGTCAAGGCTGTTTTGCAAAAGGTAAACACATTCTTTTTTTTAATAAAATAAGATATAGATAATCACAAAATTGTTTTGGAAAATCAAACAATGAACAAAAATAGATATACTATACGTACTATCTTGAGTGATGTGTTTTTTTGCGAATATATATAGAGCTGATTGCAAAATTTGAGATAAAAGAGACATCAAGGTTTGCCAAAAGATCTGATATCGACTAGTTTTGGCAACCTACAGTATTCATATGACGCTGATCTTACACTGATACGTGTGCAAGAATTTGTCAGTAGTTTGCATTTGTAGCTTGTTTTAACATTAATATTTATTCTAGATCTAAAAGTCTGATGTTATTTTTAATTTATATAAACAAAACGTAAAGATAATCTTTTTTAGAACACATATAGAAACAAAGAATATTAGTAGTATATTAGAAAATGATATTATTATTATATCTATATTAGAAAAATATTTTAGAAATCACTTCTTAAAAATATAAATCAATGACAAAAAACTTGTTGAAAACTAAAAAACAACTATGATTAATTTAAGACTTTTGTTTATATTTATAGTACACTTTGTAAAACGTATGTAACTTTGTTAAAATAACGTTGCAGCTATGTATATTGTCGTGTAAAAGTGCAAATATAGTGATAATAATTATATATACATATATGTGTATATATACAATATAATTCCGTTCTAACAAAAGAAGCTTATTTTTTCAAATTCTTTCGATTATATTTTAGACAAGATAAATACTTGATTACGTGTCATTCAAAATAAACGCTCGTACATGCTCTCAAAATAGTATTTGCGTAACATGCAAAAACTCCTAATCTTTTGTTAACAATGCATTATTTCACAATAATACTGCATCGTTACTCGGGTTTCATGTTTCTACAACGCTAATAATATCTGAATATCGATATCGAGCCTGTTAGCGAAAATCAAGGGCGAAACTGTACTCAGATAAGAGTAGATAGCATACGTTCAGCAGTGTATATGAGTAGTAAATAGAGATATGATTTTAATATATGTGTGTGTATGTGAAAAATACACGATTCAAACGTCATAAGCACACTCAACTCTCGCTTGACTCTCTCTCTCTCTCTCTCTCACACACACACACACACACTACTGTTTTAATCATTTTAAGCTGATGAAAGGATTATTTGTAGCGTGTAAATCTAGGTATAACAGTAGTATTCGTTGTAACTTTCAATGTATATATTTATTACGTAAATGTACGCAAAATGATGAAAATATAATATAATCATCCGACATAGAAATATTAAATAATACGTGGTAAATGAATTTTGTAAAGGAGTATTTTATTCATGTAATGAATATATATTGTGAATACTGTGATAAATGCTATTTTTTACTTTGAGCACTTGTTCTAATTGATGGAACGTGTAACGTTGGCGCGTTTCTTAATAGAACTTAATAACTTAATATTTTTTAAACTATTAGTTTAATTGTATACGATATAAATCCATTTTTCCTTATGAAATTATTATCTTGAAATGTATGCAAACTAAATTAGTATATTATCAATTGTAGAAGATATATGTGTGTGTTTTGAATACCAAATACGTTTCTGAGTTCTCAACTTTACGGTAAGGCTACATGCTGAACGTGCATAGCTACAACGATCGTGTTTCGCATGCAAGTTCTTTTTAGATACAATTTGAATTACACATCTGTTCATTGTTTCGATTGCGATTGTGTCACTTTGATCGCGTGTACACATATACGTGACGATGATGCAATAATCAAATCGATTAATAGCAGAAGGTAAGTGATCGCGGAAAAACACCGGCTGCGCGACGTTTCGTCCCTTTTTTGTAAATATTTTGCAAAAATCTGACAAATTTTGTTCAGGAAAAATCACGAACTTTTCATCTAATAAAAAAAAATAATAGTCTTAGTGCCTCCAATTATATCGAAAAGAAATATTGTACACATAAATATACATTAGATCTATAATTGAGTCAAACATTTACTTTTAAAGAACATATCTCATTCTTTTGTTCAAGATTAGAATTATAGAATCATAATTTAAAGAGTGCATGCTGCCATCGTATAAAATAATTAAATACAAAAAATGTGAAAAACATCGCATGCAATGAAATATTTGCAAAAGATAAATTGATTACAACTTTATCAGAGAGTTCACATAAATGAAAGAAAGTGTGAGAAATCTGGGGCATTCTATGAAGTTAAGTAATCATATACTAAACAAAAGTTCATCATCAATGCGATTTTCGTGGGATGAGAATTTGAAACATAACACAGAACAGCTTCTTCATAGGAAAATATATTTTTATACGCATCGAATGTAGATACGAATAAATAAATTTATTAGCAATATAATCACTCCAAACATGCTACGTGTAATTATGTGATTATTGACCGAATACATGTGTGGAATGTATGTAAAATAAAACAGAAACATGTTACGCTTCGAAACTTATTTTCCTCATATTTTTTGTTGTCTCATTCAACTTCTTTGTAAGCTATAATTACTTTTCCGCTAAGTTATTAATTAAGTCAATCAAATCAATTAAATTATAATCACTTCAATCTTAAGAAAAATTTATTTTAACAGGAGACAATTCTTTAGAAAATTCTCTGTATGTTTATAAAAAAGGCATACAATGTATGACAATTATTTGGAAACTATTAAATAATTCATACAAAGAAGTTTGTTTGAATCATTACATAAATGAACACTACACGACGTATTGACAGTACCTAAATACTTCTAATCTCAACAATATCCAAAAATAAATTTGCGCTAGAAACAGAAATAAAACATTGCGCGTAATATTGGTGACTGTGTGTCGCAGTCATGAAATTACTCGAGTGATTATACAAGACATCGGAGTTAATTAAATGAGTGTCTAAGAATACGACAAATTTTAAGCGATTATCTTTATTGTTTTACTATTTATCGTTTAAATATGAAAAAAATTGGATTGTTATTTTTACTTACTCGATTTATAATCTTAAATAAATACGTATGACTTTATCGAAGAGTTATTTTATAAAAGAGAGAGAAAGAGAGAGAGAAAGTACGCGTTTTAGAGATTAGATTTCAGTCACATAAACTCCTTTACGTTGTCTCTTTTATCTTAAAGCTCAAAGTTTCTTATTAGTCGAGCGCGTTATGAGTAGGTTTGTGCATTCTTTGACCGTGACACTCGATTAATAAACTGTGTTTTTATTGATGCACACCGTTGCATCCATGTAAGTGCAGATAATGACATTTATGTTTCTCTCGGCTACGCTAAGTTATTTCTTCAACGAAATCGAGATCGTTATACCTTGGTTTTTGCTAGGTCTTTTACAGTTGCACTTTGAAATTTATTTTAACGCGTAATATGCAACACGATAAGGAAAACAACTAACTTAACTGAATGAGTCTTTCCATATGCATGACCAAGTCATAGTCGCGAGTAGCATACCGAGTGTGTAGTTTAGTGGATATCTCTCTCTTTCTCTCTCTGTCTCTCTCTTTCTCTCTACAATATAAGAGACGTTTCTCATAGCATAATGACAGTTAACGCTGGATGTGATACGCGAGCGAACGTTAGCAAGAAAAATACATACACGTCTTGTATCGAGAATAGTTAAGATCGTTAAAATCAATTAAAACGATAAAGTGCGAGATAAAGCTTCAGTTTTATTTTATCAAAAAATTAATGTCAACTGCCTATTTTTAAGAACAATATTAAAAAGTATACCAGCTCTAAAAATCGATATCTATAATTTATTGATAAAAAGTGTAAGTTTTGATAAATGTTTAGAAACTAATAATTTTATAAATAATCAAGTTTTTAATTTATAAATCAACAGTTCTTCGTAGAATTCCACACAACGCGTTTTTCGTAATCTAATTTAAATTTGAAATTAGTCACAAAATTACAGCTGTTTGTTCAATTAAGTAGACACTTTTCTTCAACTTCTGCTATTGTTTCATTTAATTAAAAGAATATAAATGAAGTAATATATGAAGATAAAAAGTAAGATGAACTACAGTTTCAACAGAAAATTAATTTACGACTTAAATTACGAACAGAAACAAAGCAAATTTATGAAATTCATACCAAGTATCGACTCGTAATAACAACACATTTTGTTCCATGATTTCTGTTAGTTATTGAAATGCGAATCTCACGCAGATTTCACGTGAAAATATCAATATTAATACTTATTCTCTATATAATGTGTAAATAAATCAAAATATTGAATATGTAATTTTTCCGAATAAACATTTATCAAAACTTTGTTCGTTTGTTTTGATAAATTCTTATAGTCTGTTTACATTCTACACGTAATATTTTTTTTGTTATACTTTGAATTATATAATTAAAATTAACTTTATTAAATGTATTATATTAATAAAATTTTTTTTAAAAGTTTGTAATTTTGAACAAGTAATAGTTTAAAGAAATTTTGTTTTACAGCTTGAGGATTCCATAATATTGAAAGCTAAAGAATATTTAATTGAAGCTAGATAAGGTGACTATTATTTTAAAAAAATTGTATAACAAATAACATTTCACGAAGCACAATGTAAGTTATCTGGGATTCTATTTAACCTATATCATTATAATTAATTATACACTTATGATTGTTAATACTATAATTACATAACAAAATCTGTCTCTTTTAGGACAAAAACACAATCACTCAAGTCGTTTCCCGTTCAAGATCTAAGCGGACTATTGATGCAGACATATGGTTCCGATTTTCAAATACATGACGTGCAATGGAAACCATTAACTGATCCGGGCGAAAACTTCGGCAGTGAGATATTAGCTATCACTATTCATGCTGAACAAAATAATAAAAAGAAGACGTTAAACGCGGTTATCAAGCTACCACCGAAATCAGATTACTTGCTGGATTTGTTTGACAGTCCGATAACTTTTAAAAAAGAATTAGATTTCTACCGTAATGTCACACCTCATTTTATAAAGTTGCAAACCGAATGCGGAATTTCTCGGGAAAATCTGAGTATCATCACGCCGCAATTTTTGGGCGGTAGATTGGGTCTACGAGATCCACAATGCTTCGATTCGCAGGCAACTATCGTTTTAGAAAATTTAAAAGATCACAATTATATGACGCAAGATCGCATTCTTGGTCTTGACAAAGTGCACATGAATTTTGCGATCAGTCATTTAGCTAAAATGCACGCCATAATAATCGGTCTAAAGTTGAAGAAACCCGAAGTTTTTGAAAAAGAGATACTACCTGCTCTAGAATACGCCGTAAATGAAAATGCAAAAGATTGCGTGAAGGAAATGATAAAGAAAGCACACGACGATTATAAAAATATGAAAGAAGCAGAACCTTATCTGGAAAAGATCAATAAGACGATTGAATATGGATTGCACACCACCGTAATGCCAGAAGAACCCTGGGCGACGTTGGTGCATAACGATTTCTGGGTAAATAATATGCTATTCAAATACGATGAATCGGGCAAACCAATCAATATGAAAATTGTGGACTTTCAATTGACGATCTATGATTACGGCGTAAACGATCTCATATTTTTCCTCATATCGAGTTCCCGGAAAGAAGTACTGAATAATCATCTCGACGACATGATCGACTTGTACTACAATTCTTTCATCGAATGCTTAAAGTCTCTAAGTGTAGATACAAATATGTTCCCCAAGAGTCAATTTATAGAACAATTAAGTCAGTGCGCTCCTCTTAAATTTAAACAATGCGTTATGATGGTACAAGTGATTCAAGCGGCACGTGGCTCCGTCACGGAAACGACCGAGACAGCGGAAAAGGACGTTTTCAAGGGCAGCGTTAATGATGAAAATTACAAGCAGAAAATGCTACACGTGTTATATATATTCGATCGGAAGGGATGGCTTGTGAGTAATTAAGAAATTTCAAAAACGATAAAGATTGATACGTTAAATATCTCTAGAGAATTGTCTTATTTCCGTATAAGATAGCGCTACTGTAAACGTACCAAACTTTTCATATAGTTCAACAAGTTAAAACGCAAGTACAATTTAATACAATAACAAATTAGCAGATTGTAAAGATACACGGTCTCTCATGTTTATGTAAATTTATGTAAATTTATGTATATATAAACACATAACAAAAACTTCTCAAATGTTAGATATAATAATAGATAAAAAAAAGACACTAGTTTAAGTCAATAGCTGCTAAATATTTTGCAATACAAATTCGTAACATAAAAAATGCACTTTATTTATTACAACATGAAAAATATGATCAATAATAGTTGTATTTTTAACGTAGTTTTTTGTTGTAAACAAATAATTTTATCAAATGTACACATGACGCACGTAAATAATTTATAGATTCAAATTACTTTTGTAAGCGTTAAAAAAATGTTATATAACTAAAATATTTAAATACATGACTTTTATTAGGAAAACAATTTTTAAACAAACGATAAAAAATATCGTTTAAAACATACTTACCTCTAGCAGATCGGCTACGGTATCAGGTAAATTGAACTCCCTGACTACGCGGAGTCGCACTTGCCGATTAATTTCATGTCGTGAGGAAAGCGGCAAGCTTATAGCCCGTTGACAACTGGCAGATTGCTTCAACTTTTGTTCCCGTTTCAACATTGCAGCCATCGTAGCAGAATCTGGTACTGCAATAAAATAAAAAAATTGTCTCTATTAGAAATTGTTACTAAATCATAGAGGTTGTTACTAGTTCTAAATCCTACTGTATTATGTCTCTTATTTTTCTACTACTATAATTTTTACCACTACATACACAATGTTTACACACATTTTTATCAAAATTAGATGTAATAATAGGTAAGTCGATAAAATCAGTTTCCGAAATATAATTCAACATATAATTTCATACCTGGAAATGCTGCTGCAAGAACGTCAACACCAGCGGTGCCCATGACTCTTGGTTTATCCTCAACCATATATAGTGCGTCCGGTATGTCCGCTATGTATCGTGGTCTTCGTAATCTGACTAATTCAGCTTCTTGAATTATCTGTTCCTCCACCAAGGCCTAATATACAAAATAAATACATTTCGTCAGATATTCAAAACAAAAGTAATTCTAGCTTCGAAAAGTATAATTATTACCTTAATTTCTTCGTAATACGGCATAAATAACCTTGGTCTCACGAAAATTCCATTCTTCTTCCCACCTCTTATCCACGCGTTTACCCGCAAATTATCTCTTTCGTCTCCTATCATGTGACTTGGCGGTGTGGAAACCAGTCCTCTTCTAATGGCCTAAATTTTCAACGTGACACATTAATTGCGTAATTTTGAATAATGTCACAAATAATTTTTATAACAATTTTAATTTTATATGCATACTTGTGTTAACGCTTCGCTATTCGACGGCAATATATGATCTATTCTGACAAGCGGCAGAAGTTCACTCAATATTTCTCGGAGCTCAATGTCGCTGAGATCTCTCTTTTTGATACCTTTCCTTGTCACTGAATGCACGGTATGGCTAAGCAAGTTGGGTTCTCGATCCTCCATACGTCGTACTAATTCGTGTTCACCCCACTTGAGCACTGCCTGCAGTACTTCAAGTTCGCTCGCTTGTAAAAAATGGCTCTGTAAAACATTCACTAAGTGGGCGTGATCTAATTGATGAAGGATCGAGGACGAAGCAATTTGTTGAAATTCTTCCCTCAAGAAATTCAACGCTTGTCTGTGGACCCACGCCGATCCGTGAGGTTGACTGCCCCATCTATACATAATGCAATGTTCAATAATAAGACTTACTTTCTTTTATTTGTAAGATTTATTGATATTCAAATTAAGAATTAAACAATTTACTTGAGTACGGTTGGCAGTGAGTCCAAGGTAAGGTATTCTAAAATAAGATCTTCGCAACCTTGTGATAATATATCAAGCTCAAGAAACCGTCCAATCTGATATAATTCCATAGCTTCTTCCAAAGGACTCGGTCGCATTCGGCCCGTGTGTGTTAGAGCTTGAACCTGTTTAACAAAAAAATTAGCATTAAAGATAAATTAGTTTTGGTGCTTAGTGTTATAAGATTTTTTACCTCTCCTAAACTACCAGCGCTGTTTCCACAACCACTCCCTCTTAGTATCAGCGACAAATCAACGGTATCTAGATACACAGTATGTAGCAAGACTCTAGCGTATCTTTTAGGTATCACACTTTCATCCAACACTATTCTAGTAGGTATGTGAAGTGCCCTTTCTGTGTGATCCTCGCCCGATCTAGTCCGTCTTTGTATTAAATTTCTGAAGAAAGGAGATCGCGCGGAAAGTATCGCTTTGTGACATGGCAGCTCTAATTTCGGACGAAATCCATACTCGGAACTTCCACTGTCCGGTCTTTGATAATCACTGTCCGAAGTAAATACGAGAGCGGCGTCCGCGTAATCACCGGTATCCAGTAAATATCTGAGATCATGCTCCAGCGTATTTGGAGTCCCAAATTCTTCGCCGAGCCGACGCAGCAGGTTCGCTTCCAACGTTGCATCGTGCGAACAAATATCACCAGTATAGAGATACCGTAACAACGCTGAAAACATCTGCACCTCGAGATGCGGGGTTCTTAAGTCCAAACGTATTCTAGCTCCATATCCTGCAATTTTTAATTCAACATATTGTCTTGTAAACAATGCAACAATAAAAAATTATAAATAACTATCTTAAATTTATCTCGAATTTCTTTCACATTAAGTTTTCTATTGAAAATATATTTTTATACAATATAGGAGATGCTTCATTGAATAAAAATTTTGAACAGTTAACAACTAATAGGTATATACCAGGATAGCCGGCTAATAGATCCCTGAAATATGGACATCTGGCAGAAAGTACAGCTCTATGAACAGGGAAGCAAGCTCCTCTATATACAAGATCCACATCGGAGCAATGTTTATAATCATATAACATAGATAAGTCTTGTTTAAAGGTAGCAGCTGGTGGTCTAGCTAATTCGGCTTGAACATGAAGGTCTTTTAATGCAGCTAAGGCTTCATATTCTTCAAGCAGAGCTGTTGCCTCTAAGTGACTCCATGTGGATACCAGATCTCTAATAATTCTACCATGATCACATGCTTTCGAGGAGCGACGTCTCCTAATAAATTTTTTTCGCAGCGTCGCAAACCCTGTCATCTTCTTCTTCTTCTCTCTATACATGAATAAACAACTAGAGAAAGTTTGATATACAATCAATATAAAAATTCTCTGAATAACGTATGTTGTTTAATAACATTTTGAAATATACACACAACATTGTATATTAATATTTCATATATACACAAAACATCGTATATTAATATTTATTTGAGAAAATTTGTTTAAAAAGTTATTGCTTAAAAAGTTTTATACTAATTTGTATAATTGTTTTAAAAAACAAATTGCTTTATAATTGTTTTATATCATATACCTAACTGCAATGCCATGTTGTTGTTCTGGACTACTTGATCCTGAAAGTCTGGCTGCTTGAACCGAATCTCCACCTACGTTGGTAATGCTTGATGCAGAAGCACCCATTCTATGTGTCATGTGAGAGGCATCTCGCTGTCTTCTCATAAACCAGGAATCTCTTTTATCAGCACTATCTATACCTCTAACGCGTCTGCGTTGTAACACACACGGTGTCAAAATACGAAGTACATTCATTGCTTACCCAGACAACAGCCTAAAATGAATTGACATAATAGAATACACATGAGTAATATATTTATCAGCAATTCCATATATTACAGTGTACAATAAAGTTTATATATATATATATATATATATAATATATGCACAAGATTTACTACAAAAGTAACTTTTATGTACTAAATGTTTAATAGTTTTAGCACTTTTCATATATATGTAAAGTTTTTAAATATACAATTATTTATTTACATACACATATATTTACTCTTTTAATAAACTTTATCTGATTTATACTTAATCACCTATTCTGACAAACTTAGAATCATCTATCATTACATTTATCTTAATTCCAAAACTTTGAGATTTGTTTGATAATAGATTACAAATTGACTTATTAATAATACATTGCATAGCAACAAATTTCCCTAAATTCTCTGAAAAATATCACTCCAAGCATAGTAAAAAGAAGTAAAGTTGGCAAAAATTTTCAACGTTTGTGAAATTAATGCCGTAGATATACGGTCCTCCATCGGGTATACAATGACAATGTCAAAGGGGTGAGCAAAGTGGCAAATAACGCATGACAGGTGCGCTACATGTCAACGCCAGGTGACGTATGAACAGCAGCAGGTTCACTCACCTTCGCGTTCGCGAAGGGAGAAAGAGAAGCGAAATTAGAAAATAGCGATATAAACGAAGATTGCGAGCGAACACGAAGCGATAACAAAGTCGAGATTCGTACAAACAACAACGTCGTTGTCGTCTCCGCCGCGCAAAGCACAATCATCCGCTTCGCGAAACACAATAATCGGGAGGCAAGCGAGGGTACACGCTCTCAAAAGAGAGCAAGCGTTCGTTCATTTACCTGGGTTCCCGGGGCTAGCGTCCCACATCCATATTATTCGTAATCGTGCACGACACTCGGCTGTAGAAACCGACACGGATGACCATCATTACAAAGCACGACGGCCATGTTTATACACGAGCGAGCGTATTCCCCGTTTGTGCGTGTGTGGTAAATAAAAGCGAAGAGATCGCAGTCGCAGCGCCTAACGGTGCCGCGCCGAGGGCGGCTCGAGAGCTCGAATCGAACGAATCGATCCGCCGCGATCACGTCAGACACGACGTCAGTGGAACGGACGGACATTCGTGGTGCGTAATACGTACGTACATACAAGGTGGTTTGTCATCTTTGGGGAAATAATTTATTTAGTGGTAGTTGATAATTGGGCAAAAATATATAACGATAAGTTTAATATATCATTATATATATGTATAACATTTATCGATGAAGTTCTTATATATATATATATATATATATAAAGTTATGACAATTCTAAGATATTTGTTTGGAAGTTATAATAGCACGTCTCGGGGAGAGAGATAAATTGTTTTTTATTTGATTGTTGCATAGCAAAAAGCTATGCATATTTGCATCGACCAATAAAACAATAATTTGTAGAGAAAAATTTCCAAGGAAAAGGATGTGTCCAATCAGTGATTTCTATTTTATTAATAATTGTTTTATGTTAACTGTTACATTGTCTGCTTTAGAAAGTAAATATATACATAATTATGTGAAGAACAAAGAAATCTAATCAAAAACTATTTATTATACATAGAAAATATAATTTTGTTATAATTTCATATTTATGATTTTCTTATGTAAAATATCAAAAAAATATTTGTATAGATCTATACAAATGTAGTATATATATATAGGTAGTATATATAGTATGTAGTATGTAGTAGAGTATGTAGTATATATATAAATGTGTAGTATATATATACAAATATTTATACAAATATATATACAAATATTCCAAATATACTAACATTTATTTAAAAAAGATCATTAGTTTATAGTATTGTACACACACCTCATGTTAGAACATAGAAAACATTGTGTTAAGCTTAGAGTCTTGATGGCATTCCACCAGATGCCACTATAATCTCGCCAGTAATATAAGAAGCATCATCACTTGCTAGAAATGCAGCTACGCTTCCAATCTCATCTGTTGTTCCAAATCTCTTCATAGGAATAAGTGCAAGAGAAAGTTCTTGCGCTTCTTTTGACTTGTGTAACTAAAAACAACTCTTTGTATATAAAATGTTATTAGATAAAAAATGGAAAAATAACAAAAAACTAATTTATAAAAACATACAGGAGCTGAAAATTTAGTTTTTATTACTCCTGGTGCAATACCGTTTACACGTATCCCTTCTTTTGCAAGATCTTCTGCAGTAGCTTTAATTAGTCCCATTAAAGCAGTTTTGCTGATTGAATATATACCCAGTAACTAAAACAAATATTTCACCAGCATAAAAAAGTAATATTCCAATATTAAAATATTGGCATCTCATTAAGGACCAGTTGTTCCACCTTTCGATAAATCTCAGTTTACTCAACAAGTTATTATCTATAGGATAAGAATCTGACTAGCGCATCTCACTGTTTTTTATTTCTACATATTTATCTGTTAGATACGACTTACATAGTACCGAGAATACCATGTAATTTATCTTTTGGTTTCTGGTCATTTATTAGATATATAAATTTTACTGACACGTGGAACAATGCATATCAGAGTTTTACCCATTAGATAGATTACCCAATACTTTATCTGAAGGTGGAACAACCAGCCCGAAATTTCTTTTAATTGATAAAGAATATTAAATATTCAAAGCTATAATATATTGCTTTAATTAAACACTTACATTAAAAGGTTGATACCCCGCAATTGAAGATATAATAATGATAGAAGATGATTTACTGGTTTTGAGAAGAGGCAGAGATTCTTTCATAAGTAAAAATGTGGCTTTGACATTAATGTCAAAAATTTTGTCCCAAACTTCTTCTGCACTGTCCAATACTGCACCAATTGCTGGATTAGCAGCTGCATTAGATACCAAAATATCTAAGCCTCCAAAACTTAGTTTGGTCTACAATTGTTTATAAAGTTTATATAAAATATATTTACATAAAAATACAAACTTATATACCTTACAGCTTACTTGTTCAATTAGATTTTTCCTATCCTCTGCTTTTCCCACATGGCAGACAGTACCTGCAACTTGTAATCCTTCTGATTGAAGTTCCTCTACAGCCTTCTTCACATTATTTTCTTTGCGGCTGCTGATCATCACTTTAGCACCTTCTTGTGCCAAACGTCTCGCTATAGAAAATCCTATTCTGTGGAAATTCGAATTATAACCTGTATATGCCGAACTTTATCTAACTAAAATAGTAAAATAGCGTGTATACAGAAGTTTTTCTACTTAAATATAATTTATATATATTTTTTAAATCGTATATGTTATCTGAAATACATATTTATGAAAAAATCTGCATTAATTAACAATATAATATTTTTTACCCATCTGTTGATGCTGTCACAATCGCAACTTTCCCTTGTAGTCGATTGCATGTTATTGACGCGTTAGTACCGAATTTTCGGATACTTTGATTAATTGAAGCACGCAGCATTGCAAGAATTAATTTTTTTGCGACTTGATGTAGATAGTATGTTTTAAGCAGTACGTGCGACGACTTTGAACTTTGATACCGCTTTATAATTCTTCAATCTTATATTATCACTCTATATATGTATATGTATACATGTATGTGTGTATGCAGATAAACTATACAGCAGATAAATTATATTTTTGTTAAAGTTTTCTTATATTCACAAACAGGAAAGGTAGGTCGATATAAACAAAATGATTATATAATTTTTGGTAATTTCTTTAATGTAAAACTGATTGTGAAAAATATAAACATTTTACTAATTTTTACTTACAAACCATGTAATTATATCTTATATACGTATATACAAATATGTTGATAATTTATACTAATTCTCCACAAGCAGTTATGACAACTTTTTGTGTCGGTGTACCTCCTTTTGTTCCACATTTTTCGATCTTTTTAAGCACATCTAATCCACTAAGAACATGACCGAAGACAACGTGTTTTCCATCCAACCAGTCTGTTCGGGCTGTACACAAGAAAAATTGCGATCCATTTGTATTTGGACCAGAATTGGCCATTGATAAGGTTCCTGGACCTGTGTGTTTGAGCTCAAAATTTTCGTCTTCAAATTTGTTGCCATAAATTGATTTACCACCTGTACCATTGTGGTTAGTAAAATCACCTCCTTGACACATCTATATCATATTAATTAAGGAGATCTTAATTTGAAAGAAATGCAGTTTTTAAACAATAAAAGGATACAAAATCTGGAATAATCCTGTGTAAGATACTACCCTGGTATCCATAGCCTTTCTCATGTGTACAAAGAGCTCGAAAGTTCTCTGCAGTCTTTGGTACAACATCAGCTCGTAGCATCATGATAATTCTACCTATTTCTTGCCTTCCTATACTTATGTCAAAGTAAACTTGAGGATTCTGTTTTGCTTTTTTTGGTTGCACAACATCGTTTGCTTTAACGTCATTTTTTAGTGTCTCGCCTGCGTGCTCTTGTAACCAAGCATCATCTGCCCATACTGGTTTGGATGAACCTTCCTTTATCTTTTGTGGCTTAGCAATATTTACTCTTATTGTCCGACCAAACAACTCTGAATCATTCTGTTAAAGAACAAAGATTATTTTTGATAAAATTATCACAATTTAAACAAAAACTCATTTTGTTCAAAATTCTTTATAAGATGAAAAGATTAGATAAGAATAAAACAGATTTTAATCAAGAGAATATTAATACACATTTTTTATCCAATTTTTAAAGAATTTTTAGGCGTTTAAAATGTGTAATCTTTGATAACATTTATATCAATAGTTTAATAATTCATATCAACACTGATATTATTGAGCTATTAAATGCACTTGATACATATGTTGTTTTATATATGTACCATATTATCTATAGCTGCAGCCGCATCCTCTGCTGTCTCAAATTCAATAAACGCAAATCCCCTGTGCTTTTCAGACTCATAGTCTAATGGTATTTGAACATCAACAATTTCTCCAAAAGGTATAAATGCTGCATGCAGTACTTTCTCATCAACCTCTTCTGCCAAACCACCTGTAAAGGCAACATTTGTTGATGCAAATAGTCTAAGATGTATGTAATATATACTTTTGTTTTATTTATATAAAATACACACATAAACAATAAATTTTGCATATATGTAATCTAAGACAGATTTTATCTATTTTAATGTGAATTAAGAGGTTATAACGATTAAAATAAATTTAGTAATTTATATATTTATATACGTGCCCACGTAAATGGTTCGTTTGGTATTGACGCTCATAATGTGTGAAAATCTTGTATGTTTCTTATGTTTTTAAATGTAAATATATATCAGACAATCTAGTCCGATAACATGTACATATGTCGACTGAAAGACGCCAACGTGCCGGCGACGAAGCCACTGTCACTATATGTATATAACACCGAGGATTTATAAGTCGCGTACGCGTATGAACAGCAATCAACAGCAAAGTCACGACAAAGTCATTTATAAGCTCGTTCTATCAATCGCTGTCCTCTCAATTGATAACGACACTCGAATAACCTGTCGCACATTAAACTTGCAACGCGCCGAACGTCGTCAGATTAATCATTTGTAGAAGGTAAGTGTTAAAAATTATAAAGTATTATTTTCAAGTAAAATATTTTTGGGTTATAAATAAATAAAGCAATATTTAATTTTCTATTTTACAATTCTATATGTAAAATAGAAAACCGATTATCATTTAATATTCCACTACGTTTGTCGTAAAAGAAATTGACATGTGTATTGATTTATGTATTTTGTGTAAGAAAAAAATATTAATAATTGTTTTATTTGAATTGCTCGGATTGTTAGAATTGAAGTTCCTTTATTCCTATTCCAAATTATTCGAATTTAATCAAACTTTTGGTTTCTATATTTTATTTATTTATATAAAAAATATTGGAAAAATGATATTTATATAATCTGCATTTATTTATATATATTTCTGTCGTATATTATTGGTATTGACGCTATGTATATTATTAATTCCGTTTTTTTTTTTTTTTTTTTCAGGACATATCTAATCATATGCAAAACATGTTTGTTAGAACAAGATTGTTACAGAAATTATCCCATCAAGTGCCTTTGAATTGTAGGTTGATGCACCTTTTAAGAAACAACGCATATGTTAATGGAAAATGGATAAGCGCTGGTAGCAAGCAAACATTTTCTATTTGCAATCCAGTTGACAATACTGTTATTACTGATGTTCCTGATATGAATGTTGCTGATGCTCAATTAGCTATTGATGCTGCTGCCAAGGCTTTCGAATCGTTCAGTAAGACCACAGCCAAAGAAAGAAGTGATTTACTCAGAAATTGGTACAACCTAATGGTCAAACATTCCGAGGATCTTGCCTATATATTGACAAAGGAGAATGGAAAATCTCTTGCTGAGTCCAGAGCAGAAATTAAATATGGAAATTCTTTTGTAGAATGGTTCGCGGAAGAAGCTAGAAGAATAGACGGAGAAATTTTACAAGCTCTACCTAACAGAGAATTGTTTCTGTTAAGACAACCAGTTGGAGTAGCTGCCTTAATCACACCATGGAACTTTCCACACGCTATGATCACAAGAAAAGCTGGCGCTGCTCTTGCTGCTGGCTGCACATGTGTTGTGAAACCATCCGAAGAAACTCCGTTAACAGCATTAGCGTTAGCAGATCTTGCAGAACAAGCAGGATTTCCATCAGGAATTCTAAATATACTCACGACTAGTATAACGAATTCTGTTGGTGTAGGTAAAGAATTGTGCGAAAATCCTAAAGTGAGAGTACTCTCGTTTACCGGCTCCACAGCTGTAGGAAAGGTTTTGTACAAGCAATGCGCTTCAACCATAAAACGACTTGGCCTCGAGTTAGGTGGTAACGCGCCATACATTGTATTCAAATCTGCAGACATAGATTTGGCTGTAAACAGCGCAATGGCCAGCAAATTTCGCAACAGTGGTCAAACGTGTGTCTCGGCAAACAGATTCTTTGTAGAGGCTGATATTTTTGACAAGTTTGTCCAGAAATTTGTGGCAAAGATTCAAAAAGATATCAAAATGGGAGATGGTAGTAAAGAAGACGTTACTCACGGGCCACTTATCAAGAAAAGTCAATTGGACATAGTGAGTAACTTAGTACAGGATGCGATTCAGAAAGGTGCAAAGGTGCATTGCGGCGGCAACCCATTACCGGATCTTGGACCACTATTCTATGCGCCTACTTTATTAACTAACATAACTAAAGACATGGAGATTTACAATAAAGAAATTTTCGGTCCTGTAGCTGTAATCAATAAATTTAGCAACGAGGAAGACGTGTTGAAGCAAGCCAATAATACACCGGTTGGTTTGGCAGGCTACTTTTTTTCGCAGGATATTTCTCAGATATTTAGAGTCGCTCGCAAATTAGAGGTTGGTATGGTAGGTGTTAATGAGGGATTGATTTCATGTGCGGAAGCTGCCTTTGGTGGTGTGAAAGAATCTGGCTTGGGAAGGGAAGGTTCTAAGCACGGGGTTGAAGATTTTCTTGATATCAAATATGTATGTATTGGCAATCTTAAACAATAATTATACAAGCCTGATTACTGCAATATGTAATTTTAAAATAACAATCACTATTATTTGACGGCAGCATTTATGACTCTCAATGATAGACAATAATAGACTAATTCAATACACTTTTTAAGTATCACACATACAAGCGTACAATAGTATACTTAAAGATCCTTATGTTCTAAACATCTGTAGAGAAAAAAATTATTTTTTTATTGCAATATATATAATTGCACATATTTTAAATTATTTATATATATATATTAAATGTTTCTCTGCTGTAGTTTATTGCAAGCTTTTATACATATATGTAGTGAGATACTTATCGTTAATTTTAATTAAATTCTTAAATTTAAACAGCTTTATTAGTTTGTATATATGTTTATTATTATTCAGTATTATTCAGTAGTATATAATTAATAAAATAATTCTTATACACAATAAGTAGTATCTGTTAAGTTTTTCTAAATTGTAGTGTTAATTATAATTAATATAATTTAATTGCACAATTCATTATATATAATTAGATAATTATATGTAATTGATCATATTAATTATATATATTATAAAAAGTATTAGATTTTTTATTTTATAATTTTTCTATGTTTCAGAGATTTTCTATATGATATATATTATGTGTGTGTGTGAGTATGTATGTATATATATAAATACTATATATATAGTACAAAACAAGTCTTCCAAATTTGACAAAAATAGAGTACAATATAAAAGATATGTAAATCATACATATGAGTTTTTTCTTTGTTCTTGCCGTTTAAATGTGTATTATTGCAAATATGATACACTGATAATTATATTAGTCACTTATTTGCAAAATGCCACTTCCGATTGTAAAAAATTGGATAGGAATTTTATATAAGTACATATAATAATTTTTTAGAAATAAAGATATATTCACATGATTTTAATAGTAAATATAATACATATACAGTAAAACAAGTTGTAACCATGTTATCAATGATAGCGTTATAACCAGAATAAAACAGTAGCAAGAACGTCAGCACTTTATGTTCAAACAATGTTTTTTAATATACCTTTCTCTAGCTTCTTGTATCATTTTAGTCTTTTTTTCCTGGAAGGAAACCGTACCCAAGATTTTGTCCTTTCCAGTACTTGGAGATCCGCTGGATGACGTTACAGATGTTTGAGCTGCTGGATTCGATTCTGGCGTATAAGTAACTATGCCATCAAGAATATTGGCGATTGTTACATCAACATTTCGAGTTTTCACTACAATAAAAACCAATAAATTTATTATTGTATTGTATTCAGATAAAATTACGAAAATGACTACTCTTTTAAACAATACGCACAAAGATCTCGAAAAATCACATTATGTGGAACCAATGGAAGTACTTCGCTGACTTGACGAATCATTCTTTGCATTTCCATGCTATATTGTGAGTTAGCTGTGCTTCTAGTAGAACGTGCGCTATTGAGTATCCTCTCCATACGCTCGTAACGTTTTTCATATTCCGTTTTATCCGATACAGTATAAGAACTTATCTGAAGTCCCAGATCATCCGCAATGACTTTCTCTACTTCTCGAGCGAGAGTCTCATGATCAGGATTTTGCCTGATTTTCAGGTACTTGAGTGTGAACATCGTGTAAGGAACATACATAAACCAAAATATTTCTGTCCACCACGTTGAAGCCAATGAAGTAACATGAATAGGCACAAGATCTGGCCTTGATACCTTTATGGTAACTGGCTGTACAGACGTTTCTATGCTAAACGGCCAGGAATTGAATTTTAATAAAGCAACTCTGCTATTAGTTGTGCCAAATTCAGGTTGTATTGTGATGCTATACTTAGAGGTGGAAAGAAATTGTTTTATGTTGGCAATCAGTGCATCTTTGCTAGTCATATCCATCTTTTGTACTCCTAACACATTGTTCAATACACCAGGTACTTCCCAAATACTGGGAACTAGTGTGTCCGTTGTTCGACGAAGAGCGAAATGATCCAGAACAGACACATTATTGGCAATTATTATTCTTGATTGTTTGTGTCTAGGTTCACTTTCAGTATCAATTTTCACTATAATGCCAAAAGCAAAGCTGCAACCATAACTTAAAAATGTTCGAACAGGATTACAGTCAGGCAGTAGCAATGTGCAAAGCCATAGATGTAATACTACTAATATTCGTAATAATGCTAAAAGAACTCCCACTGGTGTATATAAAAGTATAGGAAGAAGAAGCCATCCGCTAGGAAACCTATGTTTATAAAACATGTTTTAAAATTAATGTGTTAATCATATTGCTTATGAACTATATGTGTTAAGCTACATATAATAATAAACAATAACTTTGAAATTTGTTTCAATGTATATACTTAATATATAAAGTGCAAAAATTAATAGCTCTTTTTATAAGTAAAATAAGATAAACCCATAATTTTATGCTTTTGTTGTTTTTGATCAAAATATTCATCAATTTGTTAGCTGCATAAATGGTACAACAATTTACGAGTAATAGCAACGCTCAAAATTTTTTTATATCTAATATTTATAGATTATTTCTTACCTGCTTTTGTTAAACAAATCCTGAATGTCAATTTGTGACATTTCTTACAACAAACATCTGTCACATTTAAAAGCACACAGTTCTTTTTGTTTGTGTTTTCTGAAGCAATTTAGAATCAGTTAAATGTGCTGACCAAGGCAATGATGCAGTTATTTATTTGATCCTTCTTCACATATTCCTCGTAGTAAATTCTTCGCAGTTATGATGAGAATTTTCCTCTTCGTCACTTTCCACAATCAGCTGTTCCGCATGATACTAGGGATTTTCTCTCTATATTTTAGCGGGAATTTCAAACGCTGTGTTCACAATTACTTTTTTTTTTCTTTTTCTCTTTCTCTCAGAAAACAAATTTGCTATTTCACATACGGTTATTCATAAATTTGTTTTGACATCTCTATTACAATTTATATATATATATATATATATATATCTATTACAATTTACATTATATACATACATATATATATATATATATATATATAATATAAATTATAAAAAATACATTACATTTTCTAAATAAAATTTATTTAAGAGTATGACATTGTTTTATTATAAAGAATTTATAAAAGATTTTGAATTTTAGAAGAAAAAGCGATTTCTATAGACGAATAAGTTTATAGTGAAAAACCTAAATTTTTTATGTGCGAAAAGCGTCAATTACAGCAAATAGTATATATTATTTTACTTTTATGATCATTGAGACCAAGAGTATAAAGTCACAGTTATATTGTACCATAAATATAGATACTGTGACAACTAGAAATTTGACAATTTCACATTCTTTGCATAATCATATTTGGATTATCTAATCGCATTATCTAATATTGTGTAGTATAACTAATATATATATATACATTTTTTCATATACAATCATAATCGTATATATCATAATCTGCTTCACATGTTCGCACAAGATCCAAATAAATTTAGAATTTTATTTTAAACAAAGTGATGATTTCATTTCAATTTTAGTACAGATGCTTGTATATAGAACAAAAACACAATAAGAACAAATTTAATAAAACCATAATTTACATCTAGATTTACATATATCATGTTTACATATTTGGAATTATATGAGCACACTTGAGTCTATCTATGTGCACTTGATATTCATAAACGTAATGTAGAAATAATGAGATGTATAGATATATATATATAGAACGTTCTAGTCAGTAAGATGAAAATAAAAATTGGAACCCATTGGTTATTGGTCCTATAATGATATTATATATAAAAGAAAAGTGCAAAGGAACAATTGTCTGTAAAATACTAATTTCTGAGAGTTTTCCTACGTACATTATTTGACCTTATCTGAGGGAAAGCGCCACAAACGTTTGCTTTCTTCCCGATTCTTCACGAAACACACTCATATGTGTATGCGTATTATATAAGAATGTATACATGCATTATTATCATAAACAATACAGGTCTGCATACGCACATATGGCCATGTGTATACACACATATATATATATATATATATATGATCTATCATTTTTGTCTTAAAAAGACTTGAAATGTCATATTGCTATAAACATTTGATCTAAATATTATATGACATTTATCTTAGTGGGATCGGTTTTAAAATCATTGGTTGTTCATCATGGTTTGGGAGACTACATCGGGCCTTCTATCAAACTGATCTTCATTGTGCAGTAATAAATGCTGCGTCCCAAACACAAGAAGGCCAATAAAAATGCACCTACAAACAATACAACATATATATATTCTGAAAAAACTAATAATCTTTGTGAAATTTGAGATGTTATTAGTAGTTTTGCACTTACCAACGTAAGCCACATAAATTCCACCGCTTGTTTTTACGTATTTGTATGTCCCAACCTGTATGTATAGTATAAAAGTAATAGAATCAAAGTTGAATTGGAATTTAACTAGCTACAGATCAGAATTGTGTCTATATTGGAATTTAATCAAAATAATATATTTTGTTTAAATAAATTCCAATATAATTTCAATTTTAGTAACTAAAGAAAGAATAATAAATTATTTACCGTTACAGCTATAGCAATTATTAAAGCTATAATTCCAACAACAATGAATACAATCCCTCGTCCTCTGGCAAAATCAGGACCGACAGAAGATATCTTACGACAATGTGGACATCGAGCCAGAGCATTGTTTAATGTATTAAACTAAAAGAACCAAAATTTTCAACAGCAAATTAATGTACACACATGTACACACACACACACACACATATAGATAATATATTTATTTCAATATTTTTTAATTCATCTTTTATCAACTTACTAAGAATGTATCATGACAATGGGCACAGCCTACTCTGCACATGCCAGGCATAGATAGAACTGGTGGTGTGATAGGACTGGGAGCCAGATTAATTATACGTTTACAATTTGGCCTTGGACAGGCAATACGTTGTGAAGAACTCTTACATATGAGCAGACAATTGCAAGGACATCGTACATACTTCTTTCCAGGTGGAGCATTTCTTATGGGCTGCATAATAAACAAAAAAAAAGAATAATAACCAATTTTCTTTTTTGACATTCTAACACAAATTAATAAACAACAAAAATAAGTTTTGAACTTTACAGTAGCTTCATTGCACTGACAGCACTTGACGACATGTTGATCCCTCTTGCCGGAAATGTCTATCATTGCCTGACAAACTCTGCAAGTGACCATGGGCATGCCACCCTGGGTGGCGGATTGGTACGGCGGTGGCAGCTCATCCGGCCCGATTGGTGAAACAGTATTGACTGTGGAATGAGGTTCATCTGGAATGTCATCAATGACACGCGATCAGCAACGCGTACAGACCTGCGTTATACGCTCGCTCTTTCTTTATTTTTTTCTCTCTCTCGCGCACTCTCTCTCTCTCTCTCTCTCTCTCTTTCGTTGCGAACATTTGTATATTTTCATACCGATCACATCGCTAACGTGCGAGCTGTATCCAGACGTAGTGTCGTTCTTTAGCAGCGGCTGCCGTTCGCCCTCCTTGTTGTAATCACCCATGTCGTAACACGACGGTGGGCCTTAATAATACACCGACACGCTTCAACAACGGTTCGTACTTGTTTGACAGATTAGCTCCCGGTGCATCGAATGATGACAAGTATGACAAACTACAAATTCCCGTCGTATCGACCACGATGTACGCATGAACGTAGCGTGGAAAGCTTCAATTTCGCACTCTATCGCGAACTTGTTTCTATTAGCAGAATGTGTAATCACTTTACCGCCCTGTAAGCCAGCGCTATGTTCATGGTGGTGCACATTGGTAACTACGTAACTATAGTTACAAGCAGTTTGTCGGTGAGTATACTATAGGTCTGTTCTTTTTCCATACTTTGACTGCACTAGTTCACAGTCTATCTTTTTCCTTTTAATATAGATAAAAAAAGATAGACTGTGAACTAGTGCAGCCAAAGTATGGAAAAAGAACAGACCTAATGTATACGCATGCTATGGATCTTTTCGGTGCTATTGTCCACAGTATGTGGTTCACATTCCATCCCGGGGGAGTTTGTCCCCACGAGAAACATTAACTGGAAAATAAAAAATTAACCGACGTAAGCTTACTTATCGACAAATCTTGTGAACATGGTTACGTAGTTGCCAATCTGCACCACCGTAAACTTTGCGCAACTATGCTAGATGCTCATTGGTTGAGATAATCTTATGTGCTGTGCATATGCAATGTCATTTTTGTATAATAGCCCTAAATTCCACTTAAAAAAAGGTACCTTTTTATACAGCAGCACGCTGCGGCAGCAAAACGTCAAGTGACTCAAATTTTCTAGGACTGCTTCCGCTAGGTATATTTGCTGCTCTTACCTAACCCTTACTCGATGCCATTCTCTGCGAAGTTTAAACAAAAAGAAGCAGCAAAACCGGGAAAATTTTATTGTTGATACTTATGCAATAACTATATAATTCCATCAACAACAAATAATAGTATCAAATAAGGGTTAGATAAAAGCAGTAAATATACATACCTAGCGGAAGCAGTCCTAGAAAATTTGAGTTACGTGACGTTTTGCTGCCGCAGCGTGCTGCTGTATGAAAAGGTACCTTAAGTCGGGTTTACGATGTTCTGTCGCATTGGTCGATTTGCCGGATATATAACGATTGAAAAATGTAAACGCGACCAAAGATCGAGCGTCAAGTAGAACTTAATAGACTTTTTTATGCATTCATGTTGGCTACTCTATACTCATTTGCGTGATGTTTAAAGGTTTAAAGGTTATACGACACAAAGCTTATCATACTGACCTACTTTGAATAGACTGTGGATTAATTATCGGTTCGTAGAAACATTTCTGGTGATTCTTCATATCAATTATCATGGAGACTGTTAAACACTTGTGGAATGTTAATCAGTTTATGACAAAATTGAGGAGTCCATTGATCACGAAGCTACAAACGTTTTATATGTAAGTAGTTGCAAAAGTTGTTACAAGTTATTTATTGATGTGTATAGTTTAGAGATTTTTAATTTGCAGATACAAATGTAAAAAAAAGTTCAGCAATGAAGTTGAATTATCAAAAGCAAATTTTGGACCATCAACAATGTGTTCGTATTGCGGATCATTGTGGAACACTGTTGATCATCAAATCCGGATATCATGCAGTAGAAAAATGTCTAAATCAGTAAGAAAAATTGTGCGGCACATGAATGAGTTTCCAAATCAGAAAATACCAAAAGTTCGTGCTACATTGGTAAAGAAAGCTATAGAAAATGAAATGAATAAATTGATTATTAAATGTTCTGTTTGTTTTAAAAACACAATGCTGTCTTTCAAAAAAGAAAGTCGACTGAACCCAATACTTGAAGCAAGCAAGTCACAAATAGAAATAGTACAAACTAACCATAAGAAGAAAAAGAAGAGATCTAAAGATAAAACTGCTGGTTTAAAACTTTCAGGTGGTATAGCTGAATCACCATTAATTAAGAAAGATAATAATAAAACATTTTCACATTTAGCTATTGTAACATCTAAAATAAACAATAACAAGATATTACCTACTTCTAATACAAAAATCAGAAAATTTAATATAGAACGATTAAGAACTATCATAGAAAGTAGCGAAAAGCACAGGAACCAACTAGCAACAAATAGCAAAAAGAGAAACAGTTTACATGATTTTCTAATAGAATTATGAAAAAATAAATAAAAATATAAATTTATAAATTTGGTCCAGATAAATACTTATACAGTTATACACATACATTTTTTTAAATCAAATTAAAATGTACAAAATTTATTTTACTGAAGATAAAAATGTCTTCTAGCACATCAAAAATTCAAAGAAAAAGTTTAAATAGATGAGATGACATTTAGATTCTTTGATTACATTTCTTTTTCTATTTCTTTTATTACATTCTGATTATTTGCTTATATATTTGAATTTCTGTTTGTGGGATTTAAAAATTAAGAAAGAATTTGATACAAAAGTTTATTTGTTAAATTATTAAATCATCTATTTCTTGGAAAAAGAATTTAAATAAAGCCGAAATAAATACATACAAGTGCATATATTATTTTTAATATATAATTTATAACTTTTTCTTGTTGATTTATTAAAGAAACACGTACGTGATTTTATGTATAGATCTTTGTTAAAAACGAGTAAAATATAGTGACAAACGGTATTTCTTTTTGAAATTTGTTACGAATACGACGTTTACTCAATATATAGGCATTACATCACGTTTTTATGTCAAAAATATATATGAGATTTTGATATTATAACATAATAACGCATATGTGTTACATTTATTTGTTCTACGGTCATCTATTATTATGTATTATATTTTCACTTAAAGTTTATAGTTCATACAAGTAAAAATAAATAATTTATACTATCCACTTTATCACTTTTGACTTCAGATGTACGCGTTTTCTTTTTCTGAAATGTTTTTCTCTGCAGTCACTCCAGTGGAATCTCTCGCTTTACGACCTGCAACATCAGAGTATATTTTATGCATGGTAAAGTTGTAGAATTTTAATGTATTCCTGCGGCACATATACTTTTCATACAATACCTTATTTATTTCAATATCCGCGCAAAAAACAACTTGCAGAAAATAAGAGAATTGTTATTTACGCAAAGGAAGAAGATTGTAAACAGCCATGCGAATCGACGGGATACAATATTAAGTTTTTGTTTCGATATTTATTTCGCTCTCAAAAGCGTTTTTACGTAAACAATACATGTTTATGTGATTAGAATTCTTTTCTAATTTTGAAAATTAGTGTTAGTGAAGATTTATACATGTTTTTGTGTAACACAAATTTAATTATGTCTACTGAATACAAAAATGTAACAAACATCTAATTCGAATATGAAATAAAAGATTGATTTAGTATATTTTATCATTTTCACTATAAATTATTAAAGTATCTTACGAAAGAAAAGATGGCAAAACTTTAAAAGTATGGAAAATAAAGTAAATTGAATGTCATCTCACACACAGAATACAAAAATTTCATTAGATGCGATCTACCGGATGTCTATTGAGATTTCAGTGGATTTTGTTTTGTGTGGTTATATGTATGTAAAATATATATGTGTGTGTAAAATAAAACTTTCTTAAAGAAAATGTAAATTTCTTTTCTAATTCATCTATTTTTGACAGATTAATTCGACTTTGTAAACTTGTAAGTGCAATACCTCGAACAACGGCGCACGACGTAGGTGCGGCTACACAACGGCGTTATTCGCGACAGTCTTCACTTTTTCAGCCCGAAAAGCTCCCGTAGCACGCAAGAATTCTACTTTCACGCAATCGCTGTTGTTCGGTCAGTAGGTCACAGCGAGAGAGCAAGAGGAGCGAGAGGAACCGAAAGAGAAAAAGGAGAAGGAAAAAGATCGTGTTAGTCACCTGAATGCACGCCTCAAGATAATCCCGCTCGGACATTTCTTGGCCCTTCGCAGGAGGAACTTTTCCCCGTCGGCGCAACTCTTGTTTAGCGTCGTTCAAATCAAATATCGCCACAGGGTCCAGCCGGCTCTTGAGCACCAGACCCGCCAAGTACTCAATGTAGTGCTGCCTGCGGGGAAAAGTACCCAAGATTTTAGTTAGGCTTCATGCAGGCTTCACCTGTTTACCTCAATTAAGTCGTGCTTGTAATGCTCCGGGTCGCGGCCGTACCAGTTCGCGGGCAGTTTTCGCCCGGCGCGTCGCACGCACGTTTCAAGATCATCCACGTTTAGCAAGGGCAGCGTTTCCAGCTGCGTCAAATGGATCTTTCGCACGAGATATTCGACGTAATGAATCCTAACAGATAGACGGAAGATATATCTCGTTAGCGATCAGCTTCGTTCCGCGGGAGAATCGTTCGAGAATCACCTCGAAATTGCGATCTCCGCCAATAGTCGCGCGTGAGCGAAATTCTAACACCGATCGAAATGCGTCGCGAATATACTAACTGCTCGGAATTCCCAACGGCGAGTTCTGATTTTGAAGAATTACGGAAATAACTTACTTGATACATGATATACGGCATAATATTTCTTGATTGTTGATTTTGTTAATCCAGGCTAATAATTTGTAAGAATATTGTGATAAAATGCAGATTTTTTATATTTGTGTCAAAAGAATAGTTATCTCATCTGAGTAATAATAAATCATCAGATAATGCAACTTTTAGTTTGACAAGTAAACATTTTCATATTTAAATAAAAAGATAGGGAGAAGGCAATCATTTTCATATTAATTAGAATTTATAAAGTTTTTATAAATGTAAGAGTGTTTACTCTTTTTTTACTACATTATGTTTTAGTGGAACTTTTTTGTTAATGAATTTGTCACTTGAAAAATGTTACCTGCACAGACCAGCGTGACCTTCGACGACATCGGAATTGCACACGGCGTCGACAACCCCTGTCGGCGTTTCTTTCTGCAGTTGCATCTTGCACTTGCGTTCTCCAACCGGACCTTTGGTGTCGTATTCGATGCCATTCTCTCGGAGTAATTGCTGCAGCTGCGCCGGTTCCTTGTCACGAAGATAGAAAAGACAATTGCGCGGATGATGGGCGTGGAGGCCTAGTTTGGCGCAATATGGACTGACCGTGCATTTCGCTCCCATCATGAAGGCTTTGCCGCAACCGCAACAAAACTCATATTTACACTGGCTGCATGTGAAATGCATGCAACCTAAAAAAATTCACAAGTTGTTTTTTCCAGTGAACATCCAGAAAAAATGCAATTCGAATAATTAACCTAAATAGACTTATATTTTGATCTAATATTACAAAGTAAAAATACGATAATTAATTTAATATAAAATTTCTCTTGTTCTCACACGCATATTATTTTTCGGAGGTTTTACATGTTTTGATAATTTTATATGAATACGCGCAAATAAATTATATATATTAACACAAAATCATTAAATTATATTATGGAATTACCTCCTCGAGACAATGAATAACGGAACTTGCACTTAGGACAATCTATGCCATTATCGGCCAAATGTTTGGCTAAACCCGCGGCTTGATTGTCCGGGTCGTTTTCATCCTTCCAAGCAGCGAACTTCTCACATGAGATTCCTTCGTGTTGTTTTTCCCACTATAAAAGAATGTTTCTCACGTTAAATACAAATTATTGTTATTATTGTAGTATTTAACACTAATTCGATTATAATTACAAGAAGTCGCGCGTACCGGTTTTCGGCAAAAAGCACAAGTAATAGATCGACAATCGGGGCAAATTAAACGCTTTTGATCAGGATCAGCGTAAAATCCGCTTGAACACTGAAATAAGCAAAACAATACATTAGTCTTTCTACAATGACGAGTTAAAAAGTAAAGCAATTAAATAATTACTTGAATGCACCACTTGAAGTTCGGATCTTGCATCAAAGTCCGATCTCTGAGCTTTCTTTGGAAGAGTTCGTGGATCGGTGGATCCAATAGGGTTTTAAGTTGTATGTCCAAGTTGCTGAAATATTCGAGAATTTCGTCTTCATCCGCGTCCTTTAAATTAGGCTCCTTACAATACGGACAAACAGCATCTGTGATGTTTCTATCGCTGATCTGGATAGTGAAATAATTCTTCGCGCATTCGTTGCAGCAGCGATGTACGCACTTCAACATGGATACCATCTAAAATTGGAGAAATACTTATTATCAAATAAAAACCAAAACGTTAATTATAATTTAGTTTTCGATTTGGTTTTTTTTTTGTTTAAGATTAAAAATAAAATAAAAATTATAAAAAAAGAAAGACTGACATCAACAACGGCGAGATTTTCTTCTCAAAATTGGTTTTTTTTTCACGCATTTTTCGACATCTCTCGTATCGACAAGAGCTGGAAACTCACTTGACTCATTGCAAAACGACCGGTGCATAGCTCGCACTCCTGTTGCAGAAAAGCTAACGCTGATTCCACATTGGAACATTCTTTCGCGGCTTGAAGTGCCTCGGCGTCTCCAAACTTAAGGGCCAGCAAACTAGCGGCTACCTCAGCCTCATCGTAATTCGCTGCTCGACCCTCTGCTAAGAGACGACGTGCGATTCTCTGCACACGTGACAAACATAATGTTGTTCTAAAATCAGCACGTACAATTTTCACACATCGTACAGAAAGAGAATCTCAGGATTGTCCACAAATCTCGGCGTAACATGAAAAATCTTGAATTGTCTATCAATATGTAAACTTACAAACCTATATGAAAATATGTTAGAATTAAAAAAGAACACTTTTTTACATGTAACACTATACAATTGATATAATTAAATCTATAATCGGCTACATAAGAAAATAAAATATTCTATTTGCTATATTTTATTTAAAACTGAAAGAAAACAAGTATCATGCAAGCAAATAAACAATGAACAGCGCCAACGTCTAGAAACGAGCTCTTTTTTTGGACAAATGTAAAAGAATTTTACAATTATATATATATATATATGATGAATATTTTACTGAAATGTAAAATATTAATCATATATAAGTATATAGTATTATAAGTACATAGATATATATTATAAAGTGGTTTTAATTGTTTACACCTAAAAACAAAGAATATATTTAATACGTAATACATATCTCATACTTCTTATAATAACTACACTATCATATTTTATGCAAGACATATAGGTATGTAACTTTGTCTCTCTTGGCAGACAATGAGAGTTAGTCTCAATGAGAGTACTTACCTTCGCGTTAGCTACACATTTTAACACGTGACAGTTAAATTAACAATTAACGCAGTTAAAATATTAAGGGACATTTGTTCGTCGTGTTTGATTTCGTTTTCCACTCGGTTTGACGTTTCGAGCTGTTTGTAGACATTGGCCTGTCAACAGTTGGAAAAGTCGGTTCCTGGCAACTGTTCGTCTGGGAGGACTCTATGTCAACTGACGCGGTTACAAGGGGTCATGTCACTTCGGCAATTCTCGTTTACTGACCTCCCGTTCCGTTTTGGGAGATGATCGTCTCTTGATGCTTTTCACGTGCGCTCTTTCGGTGTTCTCTTCGCCCTCGAACCGACGAATGCAACTGGCTACGAGGGAAAATCGTTTTTTAAGCGACCGGTCCATTCCCTTTAACGTGTCATTCTTCTCGATTTTGATCTCTTTGCTTCCCGTACTAGCTCTTCGATCTATTTTTATGTGTTTTGCAGCGGTTGTGACTTTTGGTAACTTTACCTTCTCGTTCTGTATCGATTGATCTTCTTCCGTGATTCTATTTGCATTTTTTATTTTTGATTTATTCTCCATTAAATTCTTTTCTTTTGACTGAGTGCTTTCTTTAGATTCTGAACTTTCCTCAATCTTTGCTGAAGATACTATTAAATCTGTTACGACAATACTAGAATCTGAAGTTTTAAGACTCGAAGAAACTTCTAACGTTTCTTCATTGATATTTGCGATCATTTCGGGTTGATTTAATTCTGTGACTGCAGTACTAGTCTCACTTAATAGCTTCAGGTTAGTTTCTTCATTTTTATGTATATTTTCCGTTGTCTTTAAATTGTTGACCTTAGTATTATTAATTTCTCTACGTGTCGCGTCATCAATTCTTTCATCTGTCACTTCAGATTGTTTTTTCATTTCACGTTCAGACTGATTATTTTCTTCTTCTTCTTCTTCTTCTTCCTTTTCTTTTTCAAATGGTAGTTCTTCGTACATATCCTCTTCCGCTGTATCTTCGAACTCGCTTGACTTAATCTCTCGTTTATCGATCGAACTCTCGGATAACACGGAATCGCGATCATGACTCTCTGTTTCGTACGAATAAGTGACATCCTCGCTTTCTTCGGAATCGCTTGTCTGTTCTTCTTCGGATTCCGATATCTCAGACCGTATCTCATTTAACGTTTTCTCTAACAACAATTCCGCGTCTGTGAATTCCTCCTCGACGGAATTGTATTCCGAGTTATGATCAGAAATGTACTTTGCCGTGTCTTCGTCCTCTTCGGAATATTCGGAATCAGAGCTGAAAGCATCGGAACTCTTCTTCTCGACTGCGTCTTCGACTTTCAATTGTTCGCTAAGATCTGCGGACGAATCGTTACGCGTCGAGTTCGACGCTCGCGAATTCTCGCTTAATATCGATTCCATTGACTTGACTTTCGGGATCTCTTCGGTCTTCACCCGCTCTGCCGTAGTCTCTTTAGCATGACACTCCTCCGAGATTTGCTTGTCTTCCACATTTTCTGTAATTTCAATGATCCCTGCATTACTAGATTTAATTTCGGTCGCCTTCCAATTATTCTTCGATTCGATTTTCCGCGCAATTGGTAGATTCGATATGTCGGCGCTTTTTTGGATTTTTAAGGTTGATTTTGAAACTCTCTGCGACGCTATTGGCAATTTGGTCGATGTACCTTTCAACAGTGATGTGATATTTAAAATTTTTCTAGAAAAGTTTGATGGAACAGTACTCGATTGCACGTGTTTTCTGTGTATTAAAACGGGTATTTTTGACGGTGAAAGGACTTTAGAAACTTTTAAATTATTCTTTAGATTTCCAATTAAAAATGTTTTTTTAAGCATTTTATCGTCTTTTGAGCTTTCAGTTTTGCAACTTTTAATTCTTTTTATTTCTCGATTTTCAGAATTCTTTATTTCACCGAATTTCGAACACTTTTCGTTTTGTACGTCTATAAGCTTTGTGGTTTTAATTTTTTTGTTTTTAGAATCTTCCGATATAATTTGTACTTTACCAATTATTGTTACTTTTTCTGTACCGGATGTAAACGCATTGTTAGAATTATTTTCCTTAATATTTTCTGTAAAGTTTTGCACAGTGCTTTTATTCACATGTGATTTGACAGTCATTTCTTGTGTAAATGATTTATTTTTACCGTTTATCTTATTATTTGCAACAGATCTTAAGGATTCTCGAATCTGCGATTTGTTTTCTTGCGTTATTACGCGATTCGAGTAGTTGATAGTTTCGCAAGCAATTGGTTTTGCTTTTGTGAAAGTCGTACTTTTTGAATTTACAATTTTCTTTGGCGCGCTGATTGATTTTTTTACTGTCTTAACGGGAGACTTTCTTCGAACGACTTTTTTAACGGGCGATTTTGATCTGTATTGTACGACAGGTTTGGCGATTACGCTTTTAAAAGGTTGATTCGCTTGTTTTGTGTCGTTTTCCATCGACTCGTTATTCGGTAATTCTGACGGTGGTTTTACCGGTTCGTTACGCGCGACAACTGATGCCTCGTTTCTCGATAAGTCAACATCTTTTGCTATTTCCGTACCGATTGTATCAGTATCTGTGATTTTGCTCGTTTCGCTTTTGACGATATTTGCGATGTTCTTTATCGGCGCGCAATCATTTACCGTTATCACCGGCGATTCCGATATCTTTATTTCGAAAGTATCAGCCATTCCGGTAGTCGCGTCGCTCGTTGTAATAGGATCCGAAATGGAGTCTTCGTTGATTGTTAAAGCGATATTCTTCTTCTCGGTATGCGACGTGAAAAATACATTGAGATTTTTAAGCGCTTGTAAAATACTTGTTGCCGCGGAATTGGATGTTTGCGCGTCTTGTTCACTGTCATCGTTCTCATGTTCGAATTCTTTGTCGCGATCGGTGGCATGCAAAATAACTTGGTTCGAATTTGAGACAAGAATACTTTCGACGGATAATTCAGAGGGTACATTATTCAATGCGTCATTATACGTATTCGTTAACTCGTATGATTGATTGTGTATATTTCTGTCGAGAAGAATGTTAATGTTTGCATCCGACTCATTATCGACAATGGAATTAAAAATATTAGAAACATTGACAGACTCTGTTTTGCTACTTTCCATGTCTGTTGCAATTTTAATTTTGTCTGAAACACTTGATAATCCATCAGTTGAAATGGGTGAGTTACTTTCAGAAGAAATATCGACTTCAACGTTATCCGGAGTTATTACTTTCTTATTTAAGTTTGAAAGTATTTCTTTATTATCACTTAAGATTAATACTTTATTCTTATTCACATCTTTTAGATTCGTGAGCAAAGACTGCTCATTTGATATTTGTTCGTTCATAATCCTGTCAACATTCGCTAATATAATTGCTTTTTCCTGGTCATACAGATGATCTAAATTTATTGCTGGTAAAACGCGCGAGCCTGTTAATGGCGATGAAATGCTTTCATTGGCTTGTGATACAGTAATGGATAAATCATTGATCGTATTTTGTTCAACGGGCACGTTTTCTTTCAACGTGCTTTCATTTTTATCGTCGCTCGCGGGCGTATGATATGTGATCGAAATTGTCTGTTCTACTTTTTCCGAAACGTGCACCGCATTTTTTGGAACAATCGGTTTTGTATCATTTTCATCATGACGCAACAACGTTTCGAGATTATCGAATACTTCGATAGGCAATTTAACATCGGGAAAATGATCGGAAACTTTTGCGAATGATGAAGTGGACGTAACATGTACATGAGATGATTCATTTAATTGTTGTTTATTTTGTTGGTTAATATCTGTGTTTGTAGATTGCATATCATACGAATCAGATAAATGATCGATATTTAAAATTGGATTTGTTTGAGAAATGTTTGCGTCGGTTATTAACAATTGAGAAACAGATCTTTCCGCGTTAGAGTTATTTATTAAAGCGGATAAATTTTTATTTTGCAACAAATCATTTTTTAAAGATATATTAATGACTGCGGAAATATTGTCAGCGGAAAGCTTGTCATTAGATGCGATGGAAGAGTTCTTCGCTTCCTTTAAGGATGATGATGCGTCAACCAATGTGTCGGTGTGCGTAAGCTCGAGATGTTCTTGAATGACGGTCTGATTATGCGTTAAAGATGCTAACGATTGCACATAAGAACTTAATGATTCACCTGAAGACTTTTCTTCGTCTGATCTTCTCTTTGATAAAATTTCGTCTTCGGTAGATTTTTCTTCATTTTCATTCTCCGTAATTATTTCTAGAGAATTCTTACGTGAATATATTTCCTTTGCGAAAGTAGTTTGCGGCAGTTCGATCGTCAATTCCGCTACTTCGATACTTAACGTTGCCGCTTTATTTGTAGTCGCTGTTATTTCGGGAATGTCATCATTTGCTATCTTTAAGTCTACCGAATTCGAGAACGTTTCGGATGTCAGATCATCCGCTGCTATGTTAGTCTGTGAAATATTAGATTCGCTCGTATCTGTACGTACCGATCTGACATCCTGATGCTGTTGTTTAATATCTGGAACGCTCGACCGGGACTTTGCCATCCGAGAGTCCGGAAGTTTAGTTTTGACAATGTCCTTATCGATTATTTTGCCATCTCTCGTCTTTTCCGGGGTTTTCTCACGTTTCTCATGAATCTCCTGCGGAAATAACTGCGATCCGACTTGTTTATCTTCAGTCACAGGTCTTTCTTCAACAACTTCGTTCTTCGGTGTAACATCCGTTGCCGCAAATTTCTGAACGTCTGTTTCGTTCGTCTTCTCGATTATTTCAGCCTCAGGGATCCTTTTTGGATCTACAGTCTGCATACTGTGTAAAGTATTCAACCGATTCATAAGTTGAACGTCGGAATTCACGTTGGTGTTATCTTCTCTCGACTGTTTGGGCGACAGCATTTGCATTGCCGTGATGAAAGGCGTCAAAAACTGCTCCGGCAACGATTTCACAGCTGACAACAGAGCTTGCACCGTTACGGACTCGTCTTCTTGCTTAGGAATTTCTCTCGAAGCATGCTGATAAGATCGATCCTCGACAGAAAGATCGTTTTCGAATGTTTCCTCGTAAACTGTCATCGTGCGCGAGGATTCGTCCTGCAATGACAATTGCTGCCCCATATCGGCTTGTCCGGGAGCACTCGAATTCTGGAAAGAGATCCGAAGTGCTTCGCTCAATTCTGTAGACTTCCCAACTTCAACGAGCTCGTTGCTCCTCGCGCTCTGTCCCGCTATATTAGGTGATTCAGGAGTGCTCCAAGTTTCCTGGCGCGGAGGAGAGGACTGACCTGGTTCCTCTTCCGTATGGTTCGTTGTGTCGAGCGCAGAAGTTCCTGCGGACAAGGATGCTTCAACTCCGGTGTCACTCGACAATAATCTTTTCCGTTCTTCCGATAGTGATAAATTCGCAACTTCTTTTTTCGTCATTGCAGTATCGTTAATCAATATTGCCGCAACGTCTGTGTGCGTTTCTTTTTTTTCTACTTGTGTAATTTCTTTTATTTCGACTTTATCACTTTCACTTTTCTGTCCATCACATTTCAATAGATCGGATTCGGTGTCTCGTACAATAATAGCTTTGTCCTCGTCAGTTATGGACGTTTGGTAAATGTTTGCTATCAAATGGTCGTCAGTTTTTGAAAAGTTTTCTAATACGAGCAATTCCGTCGCGTTTTTTCTCACGAGATCATCGGCCGTAGCTGTCGCGGAAATATTGATAAGCAACGTATCTACTCCGTCCGGATGTTCTTCAGACGATTTCGCAGTGTTCAATGAGCGCTTCGTGTCTTCTTGCGAGTTTACGATCGCCTGTCTTTGCCGCGTAACAAGATCGCCCGACTCCGCTACGCCGAGCGCTTGTTGTACGGCCCTTGGGACCAGATTTTCATCGATTAAAACAGTGCTACCATCATCAGAGTGCACAGACAGATTATCAGACTTATTATTACCCAATTTGTTCGAGGGATCTTTCTCGTGTTGCCAGTTACCGGTCAGTTCTCTGAGGGCCGCCAGTTGCTTTTGAAAGTCGGCCTGCAACGCCACAAAATGATCTACAATTGGTGACATTACCTGCTTCCGAGCCTCTGTATTGGACACATTTGTGGCTTGCCCCGCGATAACCCCCGTCCCACCGCCGACCGCATCCGATGTATCTGCAGCAAAAAACAATCTGATGTTTGATCGATGATCTTCACACTTCTTTTCGAAGATGGGAATTTCACGTAAATTACACAATTACTTTATGCTATAGAAACAATTAAAATTACATAATATAATTGAACACGTAAATAATATATCTTTGTAGAATTATATTTTATATCATCTCAAGAAAAAAAATAATTGTTTTATCCGAAATTCTCACAATTATAGCAAACTTTTTTTAAAGAATCCATAAAAATATAATACGAAATAGATAGAAAAGAAAACATTTATATTGTTTTTTTTCTAAAACAAAACGATCTATAAAATATTGAAAAAATCAGAATCATATGTATGTACAACAAAAAATGTTGATGTAAAATAACTGAAAGCATTTACTGACCATCGTCATGCGGTACAGCCTCGTTCTCCACCCCGACCGGAGGACCCCATATTCTCATTAAAAACGGCTTGAGCTGATTTTTCTGCAGCTCGAGAAGAGCGGCGTCCTCGACGCCGGTGTTATTATCGAGAGCTCTGACAACGTCCGCGAGAGTGAAATTCCCTTTTGCCATGATTTGCTTGCACTGTCAATCGAAAGGACAACAAATCAATAATGATTGAAGCGCCATTATTCTCTATATCGGGATTATTAAGTTTTTCCTCTTCACACGCACTTTCTGCTGTCTGCGTCGAATGGCCGCTGCGACAGCGTTCCACATGTCACCTTTAACCGACCGTAAAGCCTCTTTTGCTTCGGCCAACGAGAGGATGCCAATATTGTTCTCCTTCTGTTCTTTGCCCTGCGCCGTCGCCAGAACCTGCACCGTCTCCACTAAATGCGGCCACTGCGTCTGTAGCCACTCGATCGGATTCGACGAGCCTTGCGCCAATGCGACTTGAACGTCGTCTGTCGTGAATCCTTGTTTCTCGGCTTCTCGCAGCAGCTCCACTATTTCCAATCCTTGACGCGTCAACGTAGAAAGTCCTTGCTGTATTGGGCCGGTATTGGGACCTGGATCTACGTATCTCGATTGGCTGGGCTCCTGAAATACAAAAGTAATACAGTTGACGTTTGCCATTGTTATTTCTTTCATCTATGTAAATTGACAGAAAGGACAAAATCATAGTGGACAATGTTACTTGTGATAATTCACAGCTAGTCACAATCGTGGGGAGTTCCAACGTAGATTATTTTTATTCATGTGCTGTTAAAAGCGTGTTGAGATTAATATTAGAGCTGGTTGTAGCTGTAAACGTATCATGTAAATAAGCATAATAAATATAAAAATACAAATAAATAATAAACTATCAAAGCTGATGAAAAATGCTAAAAAAAAATTAAAATGTGACAAAATCCTGCATATGTTCACACCGAGGCTAATTATCAACTAGATTAAGGATAATGAGGTACAACAAAAAACCCGTGAGACAGTTCGTAAATAAGTTTACCCTGGAACGATAATAGAGATGTGATGAATCAAGAGAATTTCTTCTTATTCGCTCTCTGCTTCGCTGTCCGGTTATCAGTTGCTGAAGATACTGCTCTTGGAGCGTTCGCGGATATAAATCTGGACTATTCGTGAATCTGGTTGGTTCCTGCAACAGATACTCCGCCTCATCTCTTTACTAGAACGCGTGAAAAGCGCGGATAGATTGTGACAACGCGTAAATAAAACACAGTTTTTATAGAATAACTTTTTAAATTATATACTTTCTTTTTAAAATTAAATTGTATACGCGAAAACGCGCGTATTAATATAATTATGATCTTTTGCTCACCTCTTCGTCGCTATTGTCGTAATACAAGTAACTCTTTGACGTTGACAGCGATGTGGATCTTCCGAGAGTTCCTTTTGCAGGAAGATAATCGTAGGTCTAAAATATATTTAAATTTTATATAACATTATCTACATCACAGAATATTCAGTTGTCTCTTATTTTAACTAGACAACTCTCACTTGAGTTGAAATACTCTGTGGTGGTGGGGACGTTCCTGTAGAAATCGAATGACTTTTTGAAAATTTTCCACGAGTCTTTGATGTGGCATTTGTGACTTGAATAGTATTCGTTGGAGAAGACGTTGAAGATGATGCTTCCGTCAAGGTCTTATTAACCGGTGATGACGTGTTCGTCGATTCTGATAAGGCTTCTTGTGTTTGCGATGCTACAGCCATAATAATATTTTTAGAACTCTTTAGAAGAAGATCATCATCTGCAGCAATCGCATCTGAAAATCAAAAAGTTTTCCATGATTAAATAAAATTAAAATTTGCATTTTCTATCATTTTAATTTTATATGCAAAATAGTACAATTCATATAGTACAATTTTTAAGGTCATTAAAAACTTATGCATACTTATAATATTTGTAGAAAAAATATCAAGATTAACAATAATGCGTTGTGTAAAACCATGCTTACTTTAAATTACAATCTGATAATTTGATTTGTTTCGTTGATTTTTTTATAATATGATTTGACGTACATTAATGTATTAATATTTAAATAGTAGTATACGTAATTAATGTAAATTAAAAAAACTTTTTGAACAATGTGAGAAGTTAAAAATAATATCTCGTACATTTTATTGTGTTAGGTAATTTTTCAATTTATCAAACCAAATAAATCTTTTGTTGCTGACACGGTTGTCGAGCCAAATACTTTGGTACTAACTTCCATCGACAGTTTGCCTCGGAATAAAAGAACATATGCCAAATGCACGCTCGTGCTTGAAAACGTCGCATCACTTGAATGAATAATATAGTGCCTTAGACATGTGAACAAAAAGAAGATGGCCGAATTTCAAATACGACTATGCATTTGGTTCCGTTTGGTAGCGTGAGTACGAAAAAACAGTTTCCATGTCTCTTTATTATTCATTCAAGAGAATACATCGAAAATGGAAAACAACCAGGTGTACGACTCGTAACTACCGTTTTACGTAAAAAAGAAGAAATCGTACAAATATAAATGGTTTAGGCCATTTGCATTTCTGAACGGGAATATGCGGAAAACAGTTGACGTCACTTGGACAATTTGGTACCGAAGGAAAAACTGATTTTACGCTTCGGTCTACCTTTGTTCTTGACGGATCCGCTGTCGCCGCTCTCTTCACTGTTCGAGATCTTTAGCAGATTCGTCCGTTTCTCGGCATCGGGACTGGGATCATTTTTTGGCGCTTCATTTTTTGAGGCTTGCGTGTCGGCTTGATTTTCAAAATTGTCATCCAAGGTACTGGGCGGTAACGCGCTGCTCCTTGTTTTGCAACAAACTACGCAGACGCGATCATTGATCTTGTTGATAAAAGTGCAGTGCTCGCATGCCCATTCTTCTTTCGGGATTTCCATTGAGCTTACTCTCTCATTCAACGCAGTTTTTTTGGACGATATACTTGTGCTTGGATTCACTTTCGCTCTCTCAGTTTCATCTTGAGCCTGAGCTCTTTGCTCAACCTGTTGCTGCTTTGTATCAACATCTTGTCTTTTCTGTAGAACTTCAGCTTTTGAATCCTTGACTTGTTGATTTTTCTCGATAGATTGCTGACGATCGTTAACTTGAAGATCATTGACTCTTCGACGTAGATCCCAATCTTCATTGTCCTCGTGCTGTTTTGGTATTTCTTTGGCAGATATCTTTCTAACATTTTGATTGTCAGATTCGAATGAGGATCTGCCAGAACTTCGTTTGCCGGTAGTATTTTTGTCGTAATCGTCATTTCTTCTCTGAGACAATTCTCTTCTTGAAAGAAGCTCACGATCTCGCGAAATGTCACGGATAACCTGTTCTTTCCTTGACAAATGTGTTTCGACTTCATCTTTATTTGTATGTTCTCTATCAGATTGTCCTCCCTGAGAAGATTGTCTTTCTAGAAGGCGTGCTCGCTCTCCAACTGTTTTCCTTGGAGATGATACGTCTCGAGAGGAAGTTTTCCTGGATTGACTATCGCTCTCGTAAGACGATCTGCGAGAATCGTGGCGAGTAGAAGATCGTTCTGGATCATCTAACACGTCTCTGCGAAGAGATGACACTCTTTTCAAGGTATTCTCTACCTTTTCGAAATGATCTTCGGATGAGCTCGTTACTCGTGTTCGACTTGACGCGTTAAATTTCCTATCGGAGGACTCGTCGTCGGTGCTTCGTCTTTGAACGCGTTCTAGCTGAGATTCCATTCTAGAACGGTCGTTTTGACTGTAATGTCGGCCGAGAGTGTTGCTCTTCTGAAATTCATCATAACTTCTTGAAGGTGTCGAGTATCGTTTAGTGGACGAAGTCTCGCACAACTGATCTTCGCTCACCATTCTTTCCTCAGATATTAATCTTCTAAAAAATCAATCATCAAGAACATAATAGATTAGACATAAAATGTCAGATAAATTATTTTTATTTCTCTTTTATTTCTTTTTTTTTTCACTTACTCTCGTCGACTTCTGGATAAGAGGCTTCTGTTATCATCCTCATGATAGTTTCGTTGCCGTATACTTCTAGGTACGCTACCACGTCTGCTTCTAGATCCTCGGGACAGCCTGTCCATATCGGACTCACCGGAGTCTTCCGAACTCGCGTCCGACGGTGATCCGGGTGATATTCTCGATCGTGATCTCGAAACGTAAGATTTTTTGGATTTCAAACTGGGAGATGGAGAAGCTGGTCTTGATCTTCTGGACTTTATACTCCTAGCAGGACTGTGAGCTCTGGAGAATGATCCCGGATAGTGCGGAGGTAGCACTTGAGCCGACGGATAGCCCATAGGATATCCCCACATGCCTGGATGATGCAAACTCATAGTGGAACCTCCCATCGACATATCCCAGGAATTAGCCGAAGGATACCACATCATCGGCACGCCACCGGGTCCTAAATGAGCTATTGATTGAGCCTAAAACAATTTTTCACATTTAGTACAAAGTCTACAAAGTTTAAGATGTGTTTAAAAATTGTTCTTTAAATTTAATATATTGCTATCTTTTATTTACAATTGAAAATAAAAGGTAAAAGTAAGTAAACAAGTTTTGATAGATTTTGTAAAAAGATAAAAAAATGGACCATGTAATTTTATTAAATAACAATTTATTTATTTTTATCAAGTAAGTTCTATTGTTTTCTATTATCTCTTGCTGTTGTACTTGATAAAATAAAAATAAACCGTTTTTAATATATTTCTATATTGATCTTTTTTTTTTATCACAAAATCCGTCAAAACTTTTGCACTTACTCAATAAAATGAAGATTGAGAGAGAGAGAGAGAGAGAGAGAGAGAGAGAGAGAGAGAGAGAGAGAAATATAAGAGAAAGAAATATCAATGATAATAATTGACAAAAAAAGTAAACTTAATATAAGACTATAAAAAGTACTTGATGCATTCCCGGATTCCACATGTGAGCAGCGGACAAGTCGCAAACGCTGGCTGATTGTATTATGGCTCGAGGTGGTGGCGGAGGTGGAAGTGGTGGTGCAGGTTTTGAATTGCCTAAGTTGAGTGGTCTTCCACTCAAAGTATCCCTCGAGGTGTCAGAAGATGAGTGTCGTCGTCTGTTCGCATCTTGAGCTCTCATTGCCTCTTGATATTTTCTGTATCTTTCCTAGACATATAAGTTTTTGTTTCAAAGTGCAATATATTATTAATATTATTGCAGTACAAGTAGAAATAAAGACTAAAGCAAGCGTCTTCTTTCTTAAAAATATCTTAAAGTTCACACAAGTTTTGGTATTGTAAAAGGTTTAGCTATTACTTGTACAACGTAATTTCTCACCTGTAGAGTGGACATTTTGTCTGTTCCTGTTCCTGAAGCATCATTGGAAGACGTGTTTAATATATTCGTAGATTTCGACACTTTCGAATTCATCTCGGAAGACAGTGACTTTGGATTGGAAAAGTTGCGCTTCAAGCTCTCGACCTTGTCGAGCGAGGGAAGATGCGCAGATCCTTTGGCTAGCGTTGACTTAGCCTAAGCGCGAAACTTTGACTTAATTATATATCGTAAATGAAACAATAGCACTCAGAGTGTTGTCGAAGACTGTAAATGTTTGTTTAAAAGATGATGCTGTCATGAGAAAAAAATAAAATATAGGTGGTCATGATCATGATGGATCACTAAAGCGTTTTTAAAACGCTTCCAAAACTTTTCTTCTAACAAAATATGTACACAAATAAGAATAAACCTGCAGGTAATTGGAGTGTATCAAATCTATAAATAAAAAGCTTAAAAAAAACATTTTTAATTTTTATCAGTTTTATAAGTGTGGCAGATTCAAGCAGCTCGTGGATGACACCGTTCGTCTAAAAAAAAAAATAAATAAAATGCTGAAAAAAAAGCAATATACCGAGTATAAAAAATAAATCAAGAAATGATATCTATAAGGATACTGAAAGTGCGGAGTGGCACGTGATGTCGACAAAAGGTAATGATTGTGTGCGAAAGAACGATCGTGTTCACCGTGTTTACCGTAACCTGCCATATTCACCACTCCGCGCAGAAATCATCTGCTATAAACGATCCAAACGCGATACGACAAATTCCTGACATTATAACGACGGCTGTGTTCGTCTTTTCCGTGTCATTACTCGCATAACAAAACTGGAAGAGAGAACAGGTTTAGTGAATACGGCATCAGTGTTTTGCGGTAACATGGTGTATTACAAAACAACGATAATGCATACAATAAGATCTGTAAAATAAATAAGTAAAGTAAATCTCTAACACGTAAGACAACATTGAAACGACCAGTTAAAGTTTTGTAAAAACAGAGTTAGGAACGCTCTCAGCTACCTCGGTGTGACGCTTCGAGTTTTAAACCTATACATATATATATATATATATATATATATATACATATTAATTCTTTTATATATTATTTGTTTGAACGGAAGTTGTTCGTTCAATCGGACCTTGTCTCCGTCGAATCGAATCAAATGCCCAACAATGTTGACTTTTTGCGACATTTGTTGGGCATTTGACTCGATTCGACGGAGACAAGGTCCGATTGAGCAAACAACTTCCGTGACCTAAATTAGTCATTGATCTGGAGTGCAGACGTTGAAAAACAGCTCGAGGGTTTATTTGACGATTGGCGTCGGTGCCTGGAAGAAGATTCACAAGCAATCGCAAGTTTCAGGCCAGGATGCAGCCTACCTGAGTGGTCTTGCGATTTCTTCGTGGTGGCGGCACTGGAGGATTTGCCAGATTTTCGCCTTTCGGCGGCAGCGGCGGTCTGCTTTTACTCGCGTTGTCGGTTATGATTCTTCGGCGCACGTGGCTCCTGCGCTTTGGATGCTTGTGATTCATGGTGTCGCAGGCCTCGCAGTAATTCTCATTGCACATGTCGCATCGTGAGAAGACGTTCTCGGTGCCGCACAAAGCGCACTTACCAACGTTCGTATGAGGTGTCAAGGTGGATTTCTGAGTTGGCGATCGAGTCGGAAACTCGATGATTTCGTAGTCAGGGTCACCACAATCCCCGGAGAGCGACGGCGGTGGAATTTTTGGAGGTGTAGGAGGACGACGTTGCTGTAGCTGCTCAGCTTCCCGCTGATGTTGTTGCTGAAGAGAAATACATATGTGTGTGTTTAATGATATTAATAAACATTAAAAAATAAAATATTTAATAAACAGTTAAAAAGACTTACCATAACCCAATGAGGCATAGATCTCGCCATCCTCAATTTGGTGGACGGATTTGATATGGCCATTGGTCGCCATTTTTCAGCTCCCGGGTTCTATAAAGAATTAGTATCATTATCTCGTTTACAAAATAAAAATTTATTCCACATACGAGAAAAACATTAGTGTATTTTCCTTTATTTGTTATATATAGATATATATAACATAAAGCAAAGTTAAACTTAAGCACATAATATTGAAAAACAAATCTCTAATTAATAAAAATGTGTGATATATTATTGTAGGTATATATAAGTATTATACTTGAAAGAAACTTTGCTGAAAACTGATTAGACAGAGAAAAACGACACAATGAAGCTGATGATTTGTCGGTTAAGTTTCAAAGCCTGAGCAATTTAAAAGTACTTTGGCAGCGCTTTATAGCCATAACAGTGCGTGAATTGATGTCATCGCACTTTGGGCTCTCACGTATACGAGATTCACTTAATTTCGGCGTTGTTAAAGCATAATCGAGATTTTTCGACGCGGGCGTTGTCGCGAGGTAAGTGTTACGTCAGATCGGCCATTTACTGCCGGAAGTTGAAGCCGGTTTGATCTATTTCTGCGGCGGAGAAAAAGCGATGTTCCGCGTCTAGAAATAAAGTCGAGCCGCGACACTATTTTTCTACAGCGTGGGTGACATCGCCGACGATGTCATTCTTTCCATATGAAATATCGAACGCGCTGTAACAGATTTAAATCCGATACTTAGATATTTCACAAGTTACACATCGTTCTGTGTGAATGTGGAATATAATTAATAGTAGGCGGACGACTTAAATACGACAGCTTTCAAAAATGTCTTTGTAATAACTTCTTATAAACTATTTAACTTTCTTGCCACTCTTCTTGTGTGTTTCTTTTTATTATCGCGCGAACGAACCAAAGCCGATTAATCAAAGATATCGCATGACGTTATTCAAACAAAACAACGAAATAAATTGCACTCGTGGCTGCGTTGTTTCTCTTGACAGACACGATGAGCAGCGATGAGACTTGGTTTCTTGAATTAGAACCGTTCGTATCTTTAGAACATTCACACTTCTGTTCTTCTTGTGCAACTGTTTTGTTTTTATTTTTACTTCTATTTAGCGCAATTTATAGTAAATCCACAAAACTTCAAACAAAAAAATATGTTCCTATCAGTTAAATATATTTTATAATTTTGTAATACGATTTCTATAACACATTATCATGACAGAAAATAAAAAAAATAATTCTATTTGTTATATTTGTTATTACATATATAAACTTTTGTTATTAAGAGTTTTTCTTTTTGTTTTTATATAATTTTTGCATAAAGTCGTACGATATAATTAAAGAAAAGTGCAGAATGCAAATTGAGCATACATCGCACAACCACTTCGTTGAGATACGTCTGCGCGCAAGTTGGAAATCATCCAACTTCGAGTTTATCCAAGAGAATTTCTGTCCGCAAACTTCTTTCACGCACAGATGTGTTTCGCGCATTTTATTAGTATTTAGAACGCTTTTGAAACTAGATCGCAATGCAATTTGCAGATGTTTTTGCTTTTGTCACACTTACCACAATAATATGACAAGATATCGCACGAGTTACAAAATAATTAGATAATGTAGTATGTAGGGCACGATCCGATAAAGAAGCTTAAAGCCGGAAGCAACTGTCACATTCGGTGCACGAGTTACAAGTCGCAGATATAACGTATTTACGTTAATTTTCTAGCGCAAGTTTTAGTGAGAAACAAGTTCTGCTTTATCTTTCGTTACGTTATTTCATTAGTCGCTGGTACCCGCATAGGGAAGATAACACTGCACACTGCAAGACTGGTAATTGCGAAACAAAGGCATAAACAAAACTATTTTTAATTTTAACGTTATCCTCTTTACAGGTTTTAGCTATTTGTTAGAAAAATGTAATTCAATTAAATTAATATATTAAATTAAATTTCTTTTCGAATGTAAAGGTTATTTCTATGTCAAAATCAGATAAATATAATATTAGCAATATTGCCACCCACGTGCGCGATCGCGTCAGTGGTTCTCTTTGCGTGATATTAAATATTAAATTAAGTATCAAGGTAGAGTATATAAATGCGATATCTCACAAGTTAAAAAAAGCGCACTCATTAATTATTGCAATTCCCATCATGTGTGTTCTAAGAAACATTTTATTGTCTTTGTCACCACAAGTAACGTGTCTTTTCTTAAAGAATTTAAAAAAAAAAAACGTTAAGACGGTACTAAGTAATATCTAGTATTTGCAAAAAACCGCCCATATCGTTGCGATTAATTGCATTGTATGATGCAGTCGAAGCGGAAGTGGCACTGAGAATTACACTCGTGAGACGGAAATTGCACTCACGCTCATGTGGGACACCTCGACCGGAATGACTTTTCCGGTTTTCCTCGAGAACTGGTCGACACAATACTGGGTTCGTCTCTTTCGATGCTGGCTTAGCAGTGCTGCTCAGCCGTTGCATCGCCCCGCCGAAATCTATTTCCGTAACATCGCGACTGCTGGACCGCTGCCACCATCAGAGAATCTCCCCGTTCGCGTAAATATATCGCGATGCTGCTGCTTGTGTGTGAGCTTAGACATTAGAACTAGCATTGCTTTGGGAACTGCTTACAGCTGCATCTCATCTCTACATTCTGGATATAAATCATTTATTTATTTATTTATTTATTTTTTTTTTTTCAACTTTTTGAACACGAGAATTATCGAAAAACAAAATAGTGGCTTATTTTGTGCTTTTCAAATTACAATACTTTTAATCATTATTCAAAACTCAATTCTTTTTTTTCCTCAAATTAAGACATTATTTACGAGTCACAAAATATCCAGGAACAAGTAAAACGCCCGCAAGATGAAAAAGTTATTGAGAAGTTAATTTAAGAGAATGGAGTTATAAATTAAAGGTTAAGGTTAAATAATTCAGAAGGAAAGAAGAAAATCATGCAGATGTATGATACTGAGAAATCTATAATTATGTAAATTGCGTGGGCATTAACAGAATATCGCAGCGTTTGTTGAAGATGACCGGCCGGTTGACTTATGTCCAGTCTTCAAATTTACACGGTAAATTTGTTGGCACGCCTCACTGTTATCGTAGACATTCACATTTAACATAATCATATGTGAAAATATTATTACATTCCAAAAAGAAGATACTGCACAATTTTATTAAGAAAGTTTACCAAGTTACGTAATTCCATCAATCGTAAATGATATTAAATGTTTTAGTGTTAATAGAGCATTACAGTGTACAAACTTCTGATAATATTCGAGGAATATGTAATCTGTCTTGCTTTGGTTATTGCGTCATTGATTGTAAATCGCTTCCCACATACGAGAAACGTTCACGTGCGTACGTAGGCGTGCACACGAACCGATCTTGTACTTTCTACCTAGAAATGGTCACTTGCGGAAGAAAAGTGAGTATGCGCAAGTCGATGTATATAAAACATATAGTTACACTGTTTTATATATTACACAATAATTTATATTAAAAACAATAGAGAAAACTGACTCTTGAAGTCGAGATGCACAATTCGTAAGTCGTGATCGTCAGTGTTGGGAAATAGCTTGCTTTATTGAACTTCATTAAATATGCGTGTAATGTGCTTCTATATATATATATTTATGTCTTACTTCCTACACATGTTAAATCATTATGCTGCATCAGTATATTAAGCAATATATTAATGATATTAAGATATAATAAATGTACATTCATTGTTATTTGAAATCTATCCGTTAAGAGAGAAGCGTAGATTCGTGTATTGAAAATTTCGAGATCGACAGAATCAGATGTTTGCTAAATGAAGATGCGCGAGAGAGTGACCGTTACGCAGGTAGAACGCAGGTAAGACACAAATCGGTTCTCCAACCGTAGCGCCACCTGCGCAACCATCAACGATGTCTCAAAATGGCCGTTCCTCTCATCTCAGACCTTCCTGGAACGTCGACGGAAGCAGGTGGCGATATTCAGGTTTGAACTGACTCGCGAGGCCGTCTTGCTTAGTGTCGAGACCTCATTCCAGGTGGCAGACAGCCGAAAGCGTGTCACATACGTTCGTGCGCGCCGCGCTGGAAGGTCGAAAGTGGTCGTTGTGCATTATAATACGCGAAAGCATCAAAAAAGATACCTGAAATTGCGCTACGTATTTGTGAAAGAACAGATTGGCGTGATTCGCAAAATCTGTCTCAAGCGTTCTTGATTGAGGCAATCGATATCGCTAAGACAGGTGAAGTCATTGTTCCATTCAAACGTTCTGCTTCTCTTTCCCACACACAATTTTGTGTTCCTCTCCATCTGCGTCGCGTGGCTCGCGAAACAGAATGAGGCACTCGCGCTGGTGATTTCGATGCACGGTAGCGAAAACAACTGGAAAATCGAAGAGAAGATCGCGAGAATATCACGGGTGCGGTTGTTACGCAGTGACTCGACGTTCGCCATCGCTTGCGATCTCTCATTTGGCTGAAGAATAATTATAAATGCCAGGACGAAAAGACGAAAAGACTAGAAGTAAAAACAGAGAGACATGTCTGACAGACGTGAAACCAGTCATTAAGACTGTTCAAGGACAATGTTGAAGCGAGGATTATGAAAACGTATGTATTTACGCGATATTGCTCGAATAGAATAAATCGACGTATTAGCATTTTTGAGACACGATATCGATCTACTTTTATTAGAACGAATAATTGCTTATTCGCGATTCTGTTTTCGATTTTTAGTAATTGCTCATGTAAGTAAAGAGATTTTGCAAATAAAGAATATCAGTATTTGTAGCTGTCTAAACCTGTGATTAATTTGATGATTGCCTGATGGTGATATTGATCGATTCTGAAACTTTCCACAGCGTCTCGTTCAAGTCTCGCATTTAATTTCACAAATTAAGAAAGCGTGATCTATCCTCACGCATGTTTCGGATCACTGAGAAAATTTTCTAAATACTACTAACATTTTAATGATTATTTATTGATAGTTTCATCTCTCTGACAGCACTCGAAAATATCGTAGGATTAAAATTAGGATACATGGAAAATAGATGTATCATGACGGTTTTATGCACCATATAATCTAATTTATTATTCAGGAATTTTTATTATTTTGCAAAATAGTATTATTAGAGATCAAACTCGATTACAAGAAGACTTTAGAAATTATCTTTAACATGGATCAAATTTTATATAATCCACTCAAGCTTATATTCAATCTATACGTGACATTGATTAGTATTAATCGAATACTTAATGTTCCGATTACCAAAAATGCTGAATTGATACAGTATTTTAGTATAATTAGTTTAAAATTAATATAAATACTAATATATGTTTTTTATAAATGTAACAAAAAGATTCATTTTTCTGTTATTACATAAATACATCATACATCTGATATTTGATGCTTTCACGTTGTGTTGTATTAACATTCAAAAATGTTTTTCGGCTTTGAACCGCGTTAGTGGTTAGTCGGTATCATTTTTATACCGAAGTTTCATGAACATTTCAGCTCAGTTAATCAAGGTTTCACGAGCAGCCTGATACTGCTGATTACGCACTGCTGACTGATGTTCTTTTAGTCGTGTCTTATCATCCTACTAGTTTCTTCTAGGTATCAGATTGCTCTTGAAACTCTGATAAAGTGAGCTGAAATGTTCACGAAACATCGATATAAAAATGACATTAACACGGTTCAAATCCGAAAAACATTTTTGAATGTTAATACATCATATATATCATTTATATAGATATGATACAAGCTATATCTAGGAGATATTCGGAAATTCTGCCTGCTATTACAAGATTTTTGTACCAAACATTGTTAGAACAAAATATCAAAAGAATCGCAAAGCTACTGCATGCTACTGCTGCTGCATCAATAATTAATAACGATGCTGCGCAATGCTTCTCTAATTTACAATGTCCCGTTACCTTGTTGTTATCGCGAAGCAACGTTCGCAAGCGCACATCTGAATTGAGAGTCGCGACCGCATTCTCTGCGATTTGTGTACCTCATAATAAAGTTTCTTGTGTCTTGCGCGCGCACAGCGTGCGTAGCGGGACGCGTTCATACGTGGTAAGCCCGCACGTGTAGCGCGGCACAGCGGGCATAAATACCTAGAAAAAGGTGGGCCAGAATGAGGACACGGATGCTTGAATGAGCTTCATCGCGCGACAAACGATGCGAAGAATGTCATAAATAATTTTCACGTTCGCGAATCTTTTCAAAAGATGTGCTTCCTTTCTCGTCGTTCCGGCACTGCCGTAACCACTTTCTTATTGTCCGCTCGAGACTCGTCTTATGCGATTTATGCTCATCTCTTTCAATTCAGAGTGCAGTTATTGTATCAAGGCAGATTTATATATATATATATATATATATATATATTGGTGATTTGACCAAAACTGCGTGGGTGCGATTATGCCATCGGATTTTTTGTGTATAAACGAACGACGCGATAAATGACGCGCTCTTTCTTTCTCATCGAATCGCCGGAAGACGGCGCGATTTATAAAGCAACGCACTATTACGCGACCATTGCATATCGGCAGGCGACCCGCTTCTCGTCCCGCAGTTATGCAATTCGCCATAATCGTACTGCCCCGATCGCATTCCACAGTGGAGTCGCCGTTCTCGGCATAGAGCGTTGATTCTCATGAGTCGTTGATCAGAAGTAATTTAACAACAAATATAGAAATTATAACAATTCAACATGCATAGCTTGTGCATTTTGAATCTTCTAATTACATCGATAGATTTCGCAAAATAATTTTGATCAGTACTATCTGTCCATTTTCACTAAGCACGTGTATAGTTTAATATCTTTTTGTTTGATTACGCTAGTATAAACAATATCTTTCTGTTTACGAGTTCTCCTATATTATCACCTTGAAAAGCCTGTTCTGTTTTTTGCTGATGCTTGCAAAAGTCGCTCGCTACGGTAAAATTTACAAAGATTTTACCATTTCACACTTCGCTAACGAACTAAAACGTGCGGTTTAATGGGATGTGTTAAGGATTTCCGTTATAACGTGCGCTTGGCTAAGCAGATACACATTAATCGCTAAGGCACTTAAAAAATATTATTACGTCTGATTGAAATATAGCTCTTGCGCGATGACATATCAAAACTTATAGCGAATAGTCTTGCTGTATATAAATTGGTTCATCACATTCTATTAGCAGATATAACAAAACTTACACCTGTGAGCAATCTAGTATCACCTATATACAATCAGGCACCTATCTCGATGCAAGACATTAACACTATCGGGCGCACAGTTACGTCATAATCTGTATTACGTATTATTAGTTCTATCGCCGGCAATTACCAACATAAACAGGATTATATACAATACGCTGATAGCGAGTATAAACATTAGCTCGTTGATAAAGCGATGCAAGCAAAGCTGAGCGCAATACAGCGGCTGTATCTATTTATGCATTGAGGAACGCAAAATAGATGGGAAAGAAATTCAATGTTCATAAAAGTACATACAAAAAATACAAGTGAAATCAGCTAATAATTTACCAAGGTCTTGCAAAGAGAACATCTAAATTACTATTGATCTTAATAATTTTATTTTATTGCATTTCTCACACTTTTTTATTTAGTAATAGAAAAATGATATTTATTTATGAAGCGTGAAGATACATATCTATTTTGACTATATTCTTTGATGCATCTCTAAATTTGTGAAAAGTCTGTTGTGCGGGAGCAACAAACTATCCCGTAGCGAGAACAGGTCGTGCACTGTGGCCTCATTTACAAAGAATTAGCTCATTCTCCAACGATGTGAGGCTCGCGATACGCGCATACAACGCTACGTGTAAAATGTTTTCTCCAGAGATATGACGGTGTGTGCACCTTAAGTTCGTTCTTTGGAAAAGAAATTTTCTGATACGTCGTCATCGGCATAGTGTCGTGGAATGACGATTACCTAAGTATTGATTCGGTTTTAATAAAAACCTTGCGTTACAGAAAAATGTTACTTTGAAAGAAAAAATACGCGCGTAAGAGAAAACAATCTCAATAGATTGAGAAAATTTTGACGAGGAAAGAGCAAAACCGGCGAATCAGGATCTATATATTTTACGAATGTATTGCTAATGGCGTGTAGCAAATGCTATTGTACTCAGATATCTTACGAAGAATTTGTTATAAGTAGACGATGCGCATTTTCGTAAAGTCAATTATGTGAAAACACATAGATTTTTCATTTTAACATTCAAATATAAAATAAAACTTCTTAAATTTTATTTTGTCTATTTAAATTATATTTTTCTTTACTTGAAATGGAAAAATATAATTAGACATTTATAGATTTCAGTTTTAATAGATGTTTAGCCTTGTGGCTAGTAGCCACAATACTATTGTAAGAATTTAGAAAGCATTGCGGAGACAAATAAAGATGCAAGAAGTAGTGCATTCAGCTAATTTATGTAGCTAGATTGTTCTTCTACGATTCAGTTTCTCAAAGAATTGACAATTAAGAATGTTTTACAAAATACAAATCACTCTAAGTTTCTCTATACTATTGCAAAATTACTGTTTTTCTTAAAAAAAAAATTTTTTTCTAGCGTTAACTTGTAATTTTTTTAATTGTTATTGTATTAACAGCTTTTTATTTTTACTACATCTGATACTATATAATCATCTAAACGAATAAAAAAAAAAAAATAGGATCGTAATGATACAGAGACGTATTGACAGGTACCAAGAATCGCAGTAGAAATTCTATCAAGTGTTCGCAGCGCTGAACGATACGTGGGAAAATCTTGCCAACATTATCGTAGGCATATCGAAGTTATTAAAGATGTTGCAATTGACTCTTTAGTCGCCTACAAGAACTATTGGCAATAATTTGTTGCAAAATTTCGCAGGAAAGTGTCGGCGATACAGACTTGCCTCGTATATCTCTATTTTTGGATCAGAATGGATCTTATCTACACCAGAATCTTCTTAAAAAAAAAGGATCGTCGATAGAATTATAAATTTTGTGATAAACTCAATTTGCACGCGATAATAATGTGCAATTCTAGCTTTTCTCTAGGAAAGAAACTTGCTACATTGTCGAATTGGAGCGTAAAACAAATGCGAATACTACGCTCGCATGTTGTAGCCGAACTGCTGGCATAATTAACAGTTGCAACTAATTATTACGTATAATTTCTTCATGTGTGTTTGATTCCCACCTTCGGCATCTCACGCGTCATATCCGGTCTTTGAAAAGAGGTTATTAAGTGCATACGAGCGAGATATAAAACCATCTCTGGGTATAGTAGTAAGTAGCAGGTTCGAAGTAGATTATACAAAATGTAGAGTTTTAAATTTTTACGAGACTTCTCTTCTCTAAACAGCCTTTAATGCTTGGTTGTTCATTTTGCCGGTATCGCCTTGTATTTATCCTGGCAGAGAGATAATTTCTCTATTCTCTGATCGAGGTCTTTAATTTCCAAGGTCGCGCGTATCAAGAGCGAAACACTGCGTTGAGCGAGACTGCAGCAAGCGACGACTCGGGACAACGAGCCAGAGAATCTAGTGCTAGAAAAGAAAACGTCGGTGATACACGTGAACGAGGACGGTCTTTCTAGTCCTTTCTCATCATGTATCGGCCGAACTTTTACGAAAGCACGTGTCTGAGATGCGCTCAGACTGTCTACCAAGTCGATAGAGTGGGTCCTTTGAAGGACTTCACATTCTTCCACGCGGGCTGCTTCAAATGCGCAATATGCGGCACTAAACTCACTCTCAAGACCTACTACAACAATCAGCACACAATCAATGACAAAGAAGTGTACTGTAGCAGTCATGTGCCCAAACCCGGACCCGGGACCCTGGACGGATCCAGCGTGGGTATCAGGAGTGCCCTTAATGTGCCCAGAAGCGGTTACGTTAACGAGCAGATCAGAGCTGGAGGCGCGTCGCCTCGTGGCGTCTATCCACCTTGGTGAGTCATCTTGTTTTGTTTTTTTATTTTTCATTACATTCGACTTATTTTTAACAGTTTGCATGAGTCTGGAAAACTTCGTATTATCTGTTTGTAATTTTTCTTACGATAAAACGCGCGCGCGCGTGCGCAATGTAGAAAATCCGCAATATTATATATACAATAGCTATAAACGCTTACACAGTTACAACAGTAATACCAAATATTAAAAATTCATGAGAGCCTGATATACCGTAATCTTGAAAAGTTTGCCGACTTCTGTCGCACGCCTAGCACGCACAGCTGCGTGCAAAGTATGCCTCAAGCTCGTTATCTCATTTCTCCATTTAAGTCTTGAGTAATTAGAGATTTATCGTAACAGCAACGAAAATTTAATGCATTTTTATAGAATCGCCTTTTTATGCTTTGTGTCTTAGTTTGTATCTTTGTTATGAATATAATATCTGTCTTTTTGTTTCTGGCTTATGCCGCGAACAAAAGAAATCAATGAAACGACGAAAAAATAAAAATATATACATCTGTTGTGATACAATAAAACTGTCGCGATAAAATATTGTAAATTATTCATTTCAACAAGTTCAAAGACAATCGCGCGTGTATGTGGTTAATAAATCATTAGCATCATCTAAAAGTTCAAAATAAAATGTAACTGTACACATACAAGAGCTATTGTAGAACAAAGCAATTTCGAAGACGCTTTACGATAATGAATGTCAGTCTATAATAGCTCTTTAAATATCTCTTGTGTTTTCTTTTAGCAAATAACACTCGCAAGCCATTCACGCGCGTTTGTAGAACGCTGCATAGATTTAAATAACGTAACGCTTTTAGGTGAGCTCATTTGAATAAATCTTAAATATGCGTGATTGACTCTTCACCCCAATTTTCTGCATTAACAAACAACGAGATATTTTACAACGCGTGCCACATTATCGCGTCGTTGTATTTCTAACTTTATTATTCGGAGAACAATCTCGGCCAGCGCTTTCAGCGTTTCTTTGAATCTTTTATGATTTCTTGATAAACTGTTTTTTTCTTTTGCCTGTAAAATATATCTATAATACACATATATATATATATTTAGTATCAGAAAGATTTTGACGCTATGAGAAATATACTTCTCAAAGTGTACGCTTCACAGAATTTACGTCTAATTTCTCTACTTTCCCTTTGCTGACGATCGAGATCAAACGCTGCTGGAAATAATTGCTTGACGTCTCGAAATCGAATTTCACGGGAAATCGTACAGGTGCAACTAAACGTCTCGTGCAAATAACTTCTTCATATAACCTTGGTCGTAACTTGAGAAACTTTTGTACAAACTTAGAGTTTCTATCTTGTATTAAACTGCATATTTTCATAAAATTTTCTGTTATAATTATTTAAATTTTTATAGTTTTACAATAATCTATTTATTTTGTCCGTAGAGATGTTTTACTAGCTAGTACAAGACTCACAGTTCCGCGAAAATTATTAGTCATGTACAAACATTCTTTGGCTTTGTATCATCTCGCGGACTTTTGTAGATACTTTACTTGTTACTTAATAAGACTACGTTGACCTTAATCCGACGAAGTCTGAGATAAAGTCCGAGCAGTTTTGTGTACAAATGCTACACTTGGTCTTTAACCTGAATGCCAATGAGTGCTTGAACTTTTTACCATGTTAAATGAGATCGCATTAAATTACACCGCATTAAGATTTTATACTTCCGTAGAAATATATGTGCGTACACAATATTTTTTTACCACAGAATTAAATAGAATTAATAAAAAAAAGTTCAAACTTTACACTTTTCTACTTTTCATTTTTAAAAATGCGGTTTCTCACAGATCTTGGAAGATTGATCAGCTTGGCGTTTATTAACCTAGTGATTTGGCCAATCCGTTACTGTTTCTTGTATACTTGCCTTTTGTGAATCCTATATCTCGATGATCACGCGCGATGAGGTGAGAGAATATATGCGGCAGAAAAGGGATCGAGGAAAAAAAAAAAAGAAATATATATATATATATATATATAGAGAGAGAGAGAGAGAGAGAGAGAGAAGAGCGTAGGCTTCAACGCGCGAGTGAATGAACTCGGCAGAACGAGCAAGCGATGTAACACATTTAAACGATACGCAAAATTTTCTCTCACAAAAGAGAGAGAGAAAAGCGAGAAAAGACGCTCGGTCAATCGCGCCTGCGGTGAGATTTTTATTGCAACTCGTTGAACTTAAACCGCGACGCTAATTGCAATTCCGCGACTCGTTTATTACTCCTACTATCCGGAATTATGGGTCAAGCTTGTACGTGGGAGAGAAGGGAGAAGTGTTGCGATTGTGTTGGAAATATGTAGGTTAACGTAATCCACTGCATCGACCCGGATTCTTTTTCAGCATCGTTGTCGTATAACGACGCTCGCGCTATATCAAGAACAACAAGTTATCGCCAAGTTACTCGCTTTTATTTCGTTGTTATCGAAGTAATATCGCTTCCCAAGGGCAATTCTTAATCTTTGAGATCTGCGAGACAAACGCGAACATGTTAAGTTTGACTTGACGAGTGTATAATAATTTTTCGGGATTTGACTTTGGAAGTTTTTAGAACGGCAAATGCAATATCGCGGATTACGCGCTGTAAAAGCTCCTCCGCTTTGCATGAAAATTGCTATCTGTAGATACTTTCCGCTCTCGCTAATTTATAATTAGAACATCTTTATTCTATAAAACCCATAAACACACTAACAAATTCATTATAAACAGCCTTTTTGCCACCTAGAAGTATCTTTATTACTTCAGAGATTAGTCTCTTCATTAATCTCAAGCAATAGTCCTTTCATTGTCTTTTCATCACTTCGTGTACGAGGAAACGGCAGTGAAAGTTACGTGGCTGAGAGATTAAAGTGCAACAGTGAGAGAAGAGGCTGTTCCGAAGCTAATCTCGTTATTCTCAGCGGAGTTAAGGTGCGTTATCGCTTCTCGATCCCGGCAATGGAGACCTCACTGAGCAGCGGTTACTGCTCGGTGAACCCTCGCAGGTCCCTCAAGAGACCCGTGTGCATGCTTCTGTTGCAGTTACGATAATGTAGACTCGCCTAATTATGCCAGGCACCTGAACGGGCACAGCTCGCCGCCGGCGGCCAACTCGTCCCAGCGCGACGGCATCCACGGCGGCACCGGCGCTTCCTTACCGTACAATCACAATTATTCAGGTGACGGCAGCTATCAGTATGGCAGGTTCGACGCGAGCGCCCTTCACATCGCCCATGCGCTCAAGCAAACCGAGCTGCAGAAGGGCTACAGCAAGGCCCGCGAGAAGCCCATTGACTATTATTTGGTGAGTCACTTCGCGGCCTCGCGATCATTGATGTAATCGGTTCCCTCGTCACGCTCGTCGCCGTATAAGGAAGAGAGCGTTACTATTACGACGCGTTTGGCGACCGACACGTTTGGCGGTGTTATCTCTTGCGGATGTATTACGGACGTACGCAATTTCCTCAAAAACCGGAAAATGTTTTCCCTTTTAAAAATCGCGACTTCACATGTGTGCTATAGATATCGCTGCAACCTCCCTTCCCTTTCCTCAAGCAGGTGTAACAGTCATTTTCGTGTTCGGAAACAACCTGTTACAAAGGCAGCAGTGGCACCAATAGGGGGGCCTGTGAAAATAATCGTTAATTAATAACGCGAATTAGCAATGATAATTTCTAAGTACGTTGAAGGCGAACAATGGCGATGTGGTAATTGACTTTTTATGCGCGTATACAGACCGCTGATTACTGACTTCTTTCTGAAATGGGAGGAAAAGAGGAACAAGAGAAACGTATTGTGTGCATGAGCGAAAACACGCACAATAGCCCGCACTAGCTACTTCTATAGTAATAAAATCCGGATCAATAGCGTGTTCTTCTTTTGTTTTCGCGCAAAATTGCGTTCTTGTTAAAATTGAGTGTTTTTTTTTTTGTTCAATTATGTAATCCATATTAATATTAATTAAACTTCAGTAGCATTACCCATTAAATCGCGGTCCACCGAAACCATGGTATCTCAGATCGCAGATTTCCGAATTTCCGAACGCGGGAATGCGGTCCGACATACATTCCGCGCCGACGCGTGACTTCCATACGCGTCCGAATAATCGTCCGACTGGTGCGATGCAGGAATGCGGCGAGAGAACCGTCGTCGCGAGGGACGGACTTTACATGAAAATGAGATTACCGCTTTTCCCATCCGCGCGCGGACCGAGTAATAAGGCCGAGCCGCTAGTCGCTCTACTATCGACCGCGTTTTCTCTCAATGCGCTTTTGCACGTTCGCACTGTCGGTGATCGCTAATCACCGTCACAACGGCCGCCGCGATCGATTAATTTATAGTCATTCGACGAGACATCGATCGGTTTATGTATGACGTTACGTTACAATCGAGATCGGCAGCGTGGGCATCAACGAGACAAGAGAAATTTTCTGTTTGTTTTGTCTTACAAAACTTTATACGAGGCCGAATAAATACCAAACGGATAATCCGCGCAATTCAAGTCATTATCTTTGTTAAACTATGACACAATCGCGATTTTTCTTCTGCCGCATCAAGGAATTAATCATCGTAATTCATTTGATATCACGTATGCTTCCTTCCGCCTTCTTTCGCATACTATTGACAACGCCACAGTCAAACAAACTCTCGAGGCGCTCTGTCTGTGCGCACGCAGTGACAATGATCAGATAATCGCTACATAGAATAAATACTCTCTTTCTCACGCCGGTATTAAGCGACAATCACCAGTATTATCTGTAATTGGCGGAACTGCAAATCCCGGGAATCCCGTGAACGAGATGCATATAACAAACCACGTTGCACGTGACTGTGATCGAGTGACTGGAATTATTCCGATATGTCGTAAGTCTCTTTCGAGCAAATATCAACTGCAGTCACGAACAAGAGTCACGTGATGTGAGGGACAAAATGAGCGGTAACTGCTAATACATTTGTTTAATTTTTTTAAATTTAAATTGAGTTTTCTCTCTTGAAGAGAATATAATTCAAAGTAATTATATTTCACGGTTTTTAGTAATTATATTTCATATAAACAAGTATATATAATTGTTTACTCAAGTATATAATTGTTTTACTCAAAACGCGGAGAAACAATGCGTGCCAGCGGACTGCTGCTGCACTTTGCCGTTCGTGGTTATTCAAATCGTTATCGCGGAAGAACGCATATACAACGTCGTCTTATTTCCCTCGTACGCAAAATCGCCGGGCAGGATGTGTGCACGCGAAGGAAAGCTTTATGTTTGCAACGAGGGACGAAGGGCGGAAAAGAGAGATACGGGCGAGGAGGAAGAAGCAGAATTATTTCCGCTTGCGGTACTTCTGCACTTGATGGCTAATTAGAGAATCGTTGCCGGGCTGCGGAAAGTGCGGCGGAGATAGCGCAAACGCGCGCGCGCATCTCTCACGCGCCTTCGTGCGTAAACGTGCGCTTAGGGAAAATTAATCCATTAAAAGCCCGTTGTCCCACTTCCAGGCATAAACTAGAAGCGGCTCAACAGATCTTGCAACAGATCACAACGCATCTCCATGTGGGAAAATTTACCTCTTTACTTTGCGCGCGTAATTTATCTCAAAATAATATCGTGCGCGCGTGCTTCCGTTTGTGTTTCTAGCATAACTTGATCCGGTAAAAAATACGATAAAAGTAGCTTTAAATTACGTTAGACTGCACTCTCGTTGGTCATTTTGAAAGTTGTCACAAGCACATTTTCTCATGAAGTGCAATTTCTACGCAAAAATCTTGTGCGCAGTATCCTCGTTGGCTTTATTCTCTAACTTTTCTATATAATTAGCACTGTTGTTGAGAAAACTACGTGTGTATTTTAAGATTACATAAAAACTTTTCTTAACATAAGTATAACAAGATTTATCTTTTTCTGCATGAAACCTAAGTCAGTCTATTCAAATCAGACGACATTTCATTACGTTGACTAACTACAGTATAGATCTTGCCAATATTCTTACAACAGCATAAGTGTGAAAAAAATTATGAAATGCATTGCCTCTCTATATAATTCATGCAGATATGAATTTTACAAAAACGTTGTATGTAAAGTTTCTTTTATTTTCTCATTATCTATATGTGATACGCAATGAGTATTGGTATTCAAGAGTAAATAATTCAAAGAAATTGCTTTAAACACAACTTTTTACATGATTCCGAGAGAGCGTTCCTGTTTCTTTTATTAATAACGCGTTTCTTCTGCTTATTTTCATTGCATCAATATTTCTGGTCAACATCATAGCGGAAAAGAATCGTGTAACGTATCATTTTTTTAAAAACACTGAAAGAGGATTAGTTTACTTTTGTCGGCGAGCGATGAGTTGTCTCCGAGAAGATTCTCCTGGAAGCGAATGAAAGCAGAAACGCGACGTGAAAGTAAATTATACAAAAAGTAGAGTACCTTACCTCTAAGGCCAGCGCTGCAGGCGTTTTAAGAAATAGAAACGTTTTATTGCGTCCAACTGTATCCGCAAACTCCGCCTTCTTACGATTAGTGGAATACTTCTTGGCACGTAACGATAGTTTAATCCTCAAATTGGCAACATAGTGCTCGCATGTTTGCTTGTTGATATTACGTATTGCGTAATAAATATTGTAATATTATTGTATCTATACTTTTATCAAAAATTAATCTATCGTCTTCATAAAATTATACATTAGAATTACTATGTGTACGTTTGCGGCAATATTTTCAGTACTTCCGCAATTTTAATATTTTTCTAAAAAACAAGTACGATTAGAGTTAAGATTTAACTCAACTTGTTTGAATAAAAATTAATACAAAGTTGAGCTTTTAACTTAGTTTTTTACCTGCTGAATTAGGATCGCGATGAGCAGACGCGTCTCGAGATGAAACATCGAAAAGAAGAGGATGATTTATATCGAAAGTTCGCACATCATCGCGAAGAAGAGGACAGACGAATTCGCGAGGAATTCCGAGTATGTAATTAAACGGAAATTCTGATTTAAAAAATGATGTGATATATTAACATTTTGCGAATAATCAAGTTTTTTCTAATATTGATTATATAAATTAAATTTGAACACATTATGTACTGTTTAAAAAGGACGAGTGGGAGAAGGAGCTGGAGCAATTGTCGGCGAGATGGGAACGAGAAAAAGGCGGAAGAACTCGAACCCAACAATTTCAGCAGGAGAAGGAAGACTTGGAGAAAAACATGACTCTACGCAGGGACAAAAAGAAAGAAAGTCTCACGCGCAAGATGCTGGAGCACGAACGGTATTTATTGTATAATTAACGTGATAATAATCTATTTTAGATCGGATGTAAGCAATACTTACATCATGATGCAAACATAGTTTATTGCATTAAGCAATATGTAATTTTTTTTGCCGTATTAGAAAGAATGATAAAAATTTTTCGTTTTCTCGCGAGAGCGAAGCAGATAATTGACTTTGTTATAATTAAAGTAAGATGAAATAATACTAAAGTCAAAATAAAAATAAATATTTAAAATTTATGAAAGATTTTTGAATATGACAATTGATTAAAATTAAAAAAAAAAGAACACTTATTTTATTAACTTCGTAATGCAATATATGTTTCTATATTTTTTTAGTTCTGAAAAGATATTTTATATGCGTATACTTCATCTCAAATTTATTACGTCTAATCTAATTTATAATCAACAATCTCAAATTAAACTAATACTTTTTATGTGTGCACACGCGCGGAATTACGCTAATATCAATTGCCAGCATAATTCTCGCTATAGATATAAATTTATAAAAAAGTTAAAACGTTACCATGATACGGAATTTATGGAGATTTTTTGTCGAGCGATATAAAACAAGTTCGCGTATGTTCGCGAAGCAGAAATCCGGGATTTTCGCGCGCACAACGAAGTTTCTCGTTACTCCTAATCAATTTATAGGGCGGCAACCGCTGCGCTGGTAGAGAAACAAAGCTCGGAAATGCTGGAGCTGATCAATGAGGCGAGAAGCGAGTACATGCTCCAGGAGAGCTTATACCTTGACGAAGGAGACGGTTATACTCAGGAAGCGCCGCCTCCGCCGTATCCATCGCGCGCGCCACCTCCACAACCTCCCGCTCTCGCCAAGTATCATATCTATAATGATCCTCTAGAGTTCGCTGACATGGATCAGATAGCTATTTCGGTAAGTCTTCACTACAGAATTTTTTCGGCGCTGCCTTTTTCTTACAAGTCAATTTGTTTGTCTCTGAAATAAGATTTTGCCGTATGTTGTTGATTTTATAGTCCACATTGCAAATATTATATTTTACAGTCATTATATTGTATCTTATATTATGATTCTATCTATTACTTTTCTTCAATCTTAAAATGGTTTGCGATAAATAATTGTATTACACACGAGATTAAACTTAAGCAAATTTATTTTAGTCAGTTCTATTTGATTTCAGCTAAAATGTTTGCCTTTCTTTCTATATTGTACATCTTCCTTTGTATTTTTGCACCTATAATTTCTGATAGAGTTTTGTCGAGTCAGAAAATTACATCAAATATTCTAAAAAAACAATATTGATATTTTATCGCTCTCGTAAGATACGCTTCTCTGATACTCACTGAAATATCGATATTATTCTTTAGGTAGCTCAAGAAGATCAAAAAACGTTCACGGACTTAGTTCGACAGTTGGTGAGCAGATGCGGATCGGATATAGAAAAGGCAAGAACAATATTTCGATGGATCACCGTGAAAAATCTCAACACTATGCAGTTTGATGAAAACTTACGAGGTGACACTCCCATGGGATTGTTACGGGGCATCAAACACGGCACGGAAAGTTATCACGTTCTGTTCAAACGATTGTGCAGGTAAAAATATCAAAGATAACGTTTTATGTGTAAATAGAATAAAAATAACACCTAAGTATTAAGGTCAAATTTGAATTTTCACGTGTGTTAATTATCGCATGTAAAAGCTGATACATGCGATCATTTTACTTTTACTTACTGAATTATTGCGCCGAGCATGGTTCGCGCAACGCTTATAAAAACGTCAAAAGCGTATAAAAGCGCTCGGTTCTTATAGAAAAAAATCTTATAGAAAAATTGATGATGTATCGATGTATATTTATACCTTTGATTTTATATCGACGATCTTGTAACGTGTTCAAACGTAGTTACGCCGGCCTGCACTGCGTAGTCATCAAAGGTTACAGCAAGTCAGCGGGCTATCAGCCGGGCGTTTGTTTCGAAGACAACCGATTCCGAAATAGTTGGAACGCTGTATATGTAGCAGGTGCGTGGCGATTTGTCCAGTGTAATTGGGGAGCGCGACACCTTGTCAATGCCAAAGAGGTACCCCGTCCCGGTCAAGCAAAGGCCAAAAATGATAGCCTCAGGTACGGATAGCCCGAAATTTACCGTGATTTCGACGGTTATGACATGCTATGTGTGTTTTATCACGCGATAAATAAAACAATCATGCGATCATGGAAAACATTTTTTTTATTTAGGTACGAGTATGATGATCATTACTTCCTAACGGATCCTCGGGAATTCATATACGAGTTCTTTCCTTTGCAAGAAGAGTGGCAGTTGCTCAAACAACCGATTTCACTTAAAGACTTTGAGGAATTGCCTTTTGTGCGCTCTCTATTCTTCAGGTGAGACGACTATGCTTTTCAAAATGTATAGAAAACTTTAAAGAGATCTTTGCATCTATTGTGTGAAGTAAAAGCTTCAATATTTATATAGCTTGATTTTTATGTGACAAACTGGTTTCACATCTAAGTTATGTCAGGATGTTCTGGTTCAGTTATATAACTTTGAGTTTATTAGATGTAGTAAACAAATATTTATAGTAACTTAACAGATAGAATATATAGCTTAACAATATTAGATCTATACAATGAAGTGCGTATAAAAGTCGTTAGAACGTAAACGGATGATCTTGCAAGCGTAACTCTTCTCATGCGCACGTTGATCTATTAAAAATGACTATATATAAATTGCATGCGGAAAATACCGTTTGGATAAATTCTGTAGGTACGGCCTTTACTTTCCGGATACGAATACAAATGCCGTTATGTACACGGATTCCACCGGTGCTGCGACCGTGAGGATAGCAATGCCGGCACATATGCAATCATCTCTTATCTTTCATTACAATCTCAAGTTTTACGACAATGACGGCGATGGCTACGACGGCGTGTCGCTCAAGCGTTTTGTCATGCAGGTAAATTGATAGTCTGCGCCTTCCGTATTCGCACGGCGCTTTATCTTATGATGATTTAAATGGCATCGCCTCAATCTCACAGTGCCATAAAAACTTCAATTCTGTGTTATGTGTAAATGTACAAAATGAAATGTTTTATAAACAACATAAAAAACAAAGTCATTGTTTTGAGTATCAACAACAATTACTTAAAAACATTATATTATTTTGATTTTTTGTTACGTATAGAATACACTATTCTTTTTTAACATTATTGCGTGTTTAAAGATACAATTGAAAAATTGTTGTTTCCATGTTTTCATAAATTTTCCGAAAAAATTAAAAAAGCGATTTTGGCTTGAAGTGCCGCAAAGTAAAATTTTTACAGTCGGTCGTAGGGAATATAGTTGCATTTCGAGTTCACGCTCCGTGCTCCGGTGCCTTTCTGTTGGACATATTTGCCAACGCTGTGACACCGAAGGAATACTTGACCGGTGAGCCAATGAAGTTCAAGAGCGTCTGCAAATTCAAAATCGCATGTGAAGAATTGCAGACGGTGATGGTACCATTGCCGGATTGCGCCAGTGGTGAATGGGGCCCCACCAAAGCTACCAGATTATTCGGACTCATACCCATCACTCATCAGGTAGGTTAATCGGATGTAAATCGGTTATATCTATATATTTTTATTGATTACAATTTACATATATTTTACGCAGAATCCAAAAACTGAATCTGGTTTCAGTTCGTGATCAATTTTACAAACATTTTTATTTCACTTTCGCACGCTTTTTCCTTTAAAAGTTTAAGTTTAAAAAAAGATAAAATAGTTTGTCAGAAAGATCAGCAAAAGAAAGGAATCTTTTGATCTTATCACGCCAGGAATGATAAGATCATCGGGCGTTGGGTTTACAATCGTGTGATCTATCGATTTCAGGAGGCTCTTGTGTTTGCCGGACGCGAGCTGGAAATTCAATTTCGCATGTCAAGGCCGTTGACGGACTTTATGGCGACTCTGCACAAAAACGGGATCGAAGAGAAACGTCTGTCCAAGTACGTGACGCATTCCATCGCCGACGACGACGTGGTCACCTTCTCTATAAGCTTTCCCGAGGAAGGCCAATATGGCCTAGATATTTACACTAGGGAGTCCACAGTTTCGCCTGCTACACAGCATGACGTCACTGGCGAGAAGCATCTGCTCACGCATTGCTGCAAATATCTCATCAACTCCAGCAAGAGGAATTGAGAGAGAGCTTGCGCTTCTTTGAATTTTTATTTTATTTGAAAATTTTTGCCAGTTACGGATAATTCATATGCTAGTTACGGACAGCTTCTTCAATGTTTGTTAAAACGACAAAGTATGTTCCTTTTATGTGGTGCTTATGAAACGTTTTCTACGATAAAACAACATCGGAGTTTTTTTCTCCAAAAGCTTGTCTTATTCTAAGAAAAAAACGACGTCGATATTTTTGCCGCAAGATTGTTTCAAAAAGTGCAATTGCTCACTCTTCATCAGTGAATCCGTGCTGTGCAAGTAAATAACGAATCGAAGAAAGAGGCCGAGAAGTGGAGACAAGGAAGACAATTGTGAAAGCCGTGACGGTTTGCGTCATTCTTTAAGGACTACTTTTAGGTTGCGCAGATTGGACGACACGGCATGCAATTCCGAGCTGACACGCTACCTCGAGAGTCTAACAATAGGCTTACGACTTGAAAATAATGATTAATGTAGAACTAAACTATCCGGTCCCCGTAGGGCCTCAAGTCGCGTCTTCGTACTTTAAGCAAGCGGTGTAATCTTAATTATCATCTGAACATTCAATACTTTTGGTACACGCTTGAAAAGATCGTGTGTATTTGTGTTATTTATATCGAGTTATAATAATTCTCTTCCGTCATGCTTTTTACGTAATGTGTTAAATAAATTATTGCGATCCTTGATTCTTCTTTGTAAGGATTTCACATAATAGCTTTACTTTCACTAAGAGATTTATATTTATCGCTAATACTATGCGCGCGCACGATATATTTTAGTACTGTTGTGTGTATTTCCTCGGTCAATTTATATTAGGATAAATTTATATTAAGATAATACGTGACGCGCATGTATTGAATTGAGTATAATATATATTAAGAAAACATACATAATATATTTTAAAATAAATAGAAAAAAGGAAGTGACGCGCTTCCGTACATGTACGTATACGATTATTACGGTTTGAAAATATTTGAAAATATATCATCAACAAACATCAATATTTAAAATATCATATAATTTCGCACATATTTAAAAGTTGCTTTTTTCTCGTAAAATATATATATTTGCTTTCTATAAGAATTTTTACTGTTCATTTTGACAATGACAAAAATGTTTTCAAAATTGTCACATTTTCAAGTCGTAATTTTCGAAATGCACAGGTGCTATATATTTTATATCATTTTTTATTACTATTTGCACAATTAAATAAAAGTCACACAATTATCTAGCAATACTACAAATCATAAACTTTGCAAGCAAAAATATTACTTATAACAATTAAAAAAACAATAATACATATTTGTTAATCCCGTAATATTATTAATCTCACTTCTTCTTAAGTAAAAGTTAAGTAAAAGTTTAACCACGTTTATACACACACACACACACACACAAAGAGTTCCCATATGGCTTATGTACTAAGTAAAACTCGAGCTTATGATTATTTTATTATATATTAACGGTTCATAAGTATGTACATTAATTTTTTATATTATGTGGCTCTACTCTTAATAAAAAATGAATATATTCTTGTATAAAGATTTAATAAACTCATCTTTTTCATAAAATAATATCAATGTTTGGTTTACTTTTTTTTTATGTTTGTATCATTTATTATAAATAATTTAGAATAGAGAAAACTAGCAGAAGAGTAATATAGTTTAACAATTAATTAACCGAGTAACTAAGACAATTTCATAGATTTCCTAAAAAAGAGCAACCCGTTAAACTATTTTATCGAGCATAGTAAATGTGACGGTACGTCTATCTAGCGGTAAAAGCAAAAAATATAAAGTAAGATTTTTCGATATATCAATTCATTTATTAAATTAAACCCAAGTAGTACTTGAGTGCGACCACAGCGGAACTATATTCATAAGTTATAAAGTTATGACGGTTAAAAGTATAGACGGTCTTCTTGCTTATCGTTTATACTTTCTTTTCAGATAGATTTTTTCTCTCGTTCCGTCTACTTATTATAAAAACTAATTATCGGGATTCGTCTTGTGCATTAGTTCACAGATGAATCGTCATTTGCGGCGGAGATTCTTTATTTGCGTTGCGACGAATCGTCGGTTCGTCGCTAATTAAATAGCGCTAGTTTCTGAGTTGCAGCCAACGACGCCGTTAACTTCCGGAATAGAAGGATGACATCCGGAATTGCCGGAACGGGAAAGAACTTTCCTTATCCCGAGCGCTCGCGCGATGCTACGTGCGGAAAGAAAGATTTCATTGCAGGCGGACCACTTTGTGATTTATAGCCCGCTAACTGCTTATTGTAATTGCAGATGAGGGCATTCATTATTATTATTATCAGCGTCGACTGCGGAGACAGGACGCGGGATTTAGAAAGTATTCTTGTCTTATCGTCGTGCAAAAATGGGAATTTCTGTTCGCAGTTGTAGCGCGGCTAGAATTTTTAATGACGCTTGCAATAAAACTTGCCGCGCTTTTTGTTCTATTTTTGTTTAATAATCGCTTTTTATTTAATATTTATTAAGTATTTGACTTTACATTCGCTACAGAAATATAGACTCGAACTAAAATATAAACTTGACTGTTTAACAATCCTCTTCCTCTATTTTGTTTTCTTTGTTTTTCTTTCCGTTAGAGATGTTGAACCTTTATATAATTGCTTATAGCATAAATGATTATTAATGTCTCTATTTGCTGTTTCCAGCAGCAACATCTTAATCATCGCAAAGTAAAAATATCTACTTATTTCTTTTGATAAACTCTCGTACTAATTCTTTTTTTTATACTTTTATTTAGTAATATATATTTCAAAATTTTCTTATCTTCTGACAAATATCTACATATTTGTTTTAAATACTAACAAATAATTTCAGTAATCGCGTATAGAAAAATTATAATAATGCAAATATATATATAAATATATGTGTATAATATGTGTGTAAATATATATAAATATAATGTATATATATATATATATATTATTATATATAAATTAAGGTAAGTGTTTTTTTACACAACACATTAGTATCTACTATTATATAATGTGTATAATATACACTCTATATATTATATTTTATAAAAACTAAATTACAAACTATAATATTTGTCAAATAATATATAATGTATGTATTTTTATAATATGTAGTTTAAAAATATAGAAAGATTTCTAACAGATTTTACAGTGTTTTAATTAATATGCATTATGCGTTTATATATTTATTACATAAACCATGTAATATGTGTGAAACAAATTTTTTTGTTTACTTTTTCACGTTTCGAACAAAGCGTCACTATCCAGTGCGTGCATCGTATCGGCCTATTTAAAATACACGAACATGGTACGTAAAAGGTATTGCCTTTACGAGTGGGCTATTTTTGCAGGGCGCTACACGCCTCCGCCCACCGCCTATTCTAATCTAAGGCGCGCGAGCATCTATAATATATGCCGGAATCGTGAGGGTATTTCTAATCCCACGCAACCCTCTTATAGTGCGCAGATAGAGAGCCAAAATATCGGGCGTAGAAACAGCGTGCGCTCTGTTTTTCAGGAGGGTGGAAAATGGGAGGGAAGGGTGACAGCTGTACAACCCTCGCTGCCTCGTCGAGGCGTGAGTCACGCGAGAAACGGTCGCGCAATCGTCAATGATCTCTCGACGACGAGACGGAAATGGCAAAGGGATAAGATAGCTCGGAAACTCAATCCTCTTGCGTGTGAATTTCCGTGCACGCGGTTCGGGCAAATATCGTTAAAACCACTCTTCACGATAAAAGCGTATATGTGTAAAACGAGAAAAGAAAAATTCAAGAATTATTATTTATAATATTACAAAAACTGTTGGTTACAAAAAAACAGAAAAAAATCAAACAGAGCGTAGAAACGCGATAAGAAAAATAAATTTTCTGCGCTAGCAAACTGATATAAAACTACTATTTCAAACGTTTTATCGTTTGGCCATTATAATTAAATATTGAAAAATAATAATATTCCGCGAAGCGTTTGAGCATGTCGAGCTCTTCGACATTGCAACTGTGGAAAGCGTTATTTATTTGTAATGGCAGTATTCTGTGGTGTGAGTCTTATTCTCGTATCTTTCAAGATAAAGCAACAGCTACATCGACTCTTCACTCTCGTCATTTCGATGATATGTTCATGTGCGCAGTCCTCCATTTTCATGTCGGGTAACGCAATGGGAGACGATCTTCACCGAATCTCCAAATCGAACGATGCATTATTTATCCAGAATCAGAGACGAGAATAATCGACCTAGGGGCGTGCGAGATGAAATCAGGGGAAAATAATGATTTCCACAAATCTGATGTGTGATCTTACAAGACGAGAATCGATGTAAACGGAGAATACAATTTTTCCGGTTAAATTATAACTCACTGTCGTCATATATTATAATTTAATTAAGAAATATGTGTACGAAATATGGTTTAGATTTGAAAAAAATAATAATTATTGGGTACTATTAATTTTAAGTTAGAAGTGATATACTTTGCTTTGTATAACTTAAAAATAATATTTTAATAATTTTTTTTTGGAAACTCCGCAGAACGTCATCTTATTTTATTTGTTTTACTAGCACAACACAGGCGCGCGCTACGCGCACGCTATTGTTATTTTTATTTAACGTGTTGTCAGTGAACACAACCTGTCACCGCGATGACAGATAGTATATACTTCTTCTTCTTTGCTAATATGGCACCTGGGGGGGGGGGGCCCTGCACGATTTAGGCATTGGCCAGTCTTTGATAGGACAGATAGTATATACGTCTTATAAACCATATAATACACATATGAGAAATGTCAGAAATAACGCATAAAAATCAAACTCAAAAAATAGTGAGAGAGAGAAGTGGAAAAACAACACGTGACAGGGAAAAGAGTAAACAAGAGAATATTATATATATTATATGTAATATTCTATATCTATATATAATACACACACATACGCATATATATATATATATACCGTAATCACGTGACCGAAGTCAGTAATACCGCCGCGGTCGCGCGGCCGAGGTCAGTGACTCCACCGCAGTCGCGCGACCGAGGTCATTGACCCCGCCAAGGCCGCGTGGCCGAGGTCAGTGACTCCGCCAAGGCCGCGCGGCCGAGGTCAGTGACATTACTCTGTAGTATGTATATAATACATATAATACAATATAAAGTATAATATTATAAATATATAATAAATTATATGTATAATATGTATTATTTAATGTTATATATAATATAAATTACAGTCACGTTATTTTTACGTTGTTTTTCTTTACGTGTTGTTTTTCTACTCTTTCCTGTCACGTGACTTTAGTTACGTTTTTAATTTTCCCTACATATACGACGAAAAGACTGTCTCAAAATCGCTTTTATTATTTACTCTCTCGATCTTACCGATTTGATTCGATCAACCAACCAACCAATCGGCAACGCGGAAAAAAGCCAACAATAGGTGCGATATATTCGACTCCAAACGTGCAATTCTTGGTACACACATGCATTTTTTAATATAGGATAGGACACATCACAGACGCGCGCTACGCGCACGCTATTATTTTTATTTTAACATATTCCGTCAGTAGACACAACATGTCACTGCGATGACTGCTAGTACACGTACGACAGTATGACATGAATCGAGAAACACATTATCCGAGAAACGTCACCGAGACGTCCAATCACCGTCGCGGAAAAGAGGCAACAATCAAGATCGATAGAATCGATTCTGATTATTTGCACACGTTTATTCTGGTAGAAACATATTAGAAACATATTGAATGAAACAAAGGAAAGTAATTTAGATATTTGTTTGTTTCTCGATAATGTATTTTATGCATCAAAAGGATGTCAAAAGGACATCAAAAGTCTTTATTAATTATCAAAAGGATGTGTTTCAAGCTTTCCAAAGAAACACCAATAATTGAACAATACTACGGTCCTGTCATTCTCGAGAAAACCTTATCGAACGATAAATCAAATCGACATAATTCGATGCAAACTATGAGTATTCTCTAACGACT